GGACCCCAGCCCACCCACCGTACAACGTCCGACTGGGTCCACCACCACCCCCGCTCTCTCCGCTCCACCACGTCCCCCCAGCCAGAACGTTGTACTGTCCCAAACGGGACCCCAGCCCGCCCACCGTACAACGCCTGGCTGGATCCACCACCTCCAACGACCGATTTACTCGTCGATCGTTTCGAGGCTCGCAACCGGGCTTGGGGGGGGGCCGGCTGTCTTTAACGTGACTATCAACCTCTCTTAGAAGGTCTGCTCTTTCAACCCGAATCTCAGGGAGGGTCAACTTACCAGCTTGGAGGCTTGGTAACCTCCTTGTGGCGCCCCCCGAAGCGCGGTATGCGAGCCACGGTTGCTTCTTCTTGGGCAAGCTGGGCCCGCATAGCAACCGCCATTTCCTGGCGCCATTGTCTTCTGTCGCGCCGGATTTGGAGGTGGTGGATGTGGCGACGCAGGCATATAACGACCCACGCCGCCACAGGGACACCTAGGCCGAGGCCTAGGCCAATAGAAAGCCCGAAGGCCACGGACGATGTGTGTGCCGTTTGGTCGGCACCGATTGGAAGGGCCTGGCAGCCCTGGAAGAGGACTGCCAGGAGGCAGAGGAAGAAGGTGTTCATTTTTATGAACGTTTGTTTCGTTGTGTGTGTATGTGTGGTTGTGTGTGGCTTGTTTGGTAGGCCTTACTGGCAGGAAGAGATGGTTTTGATGGAGATGCTTTTTTAGTGAGGAGACTAAAGTACATGTAAGAGTTCAGATGTGAGGCGGAAGTGTGAGAAACCCAAGGTGGCGAAATGTGCCATACAGTTCGTCATAATAGCATAGTGATAGGTGGCAGTGCATCCGTTACCAAATTCCCAAGCATCCGCGGGGTCGAGCTCTCGGCGGGTATTCCTGAGGCCAATATACCAACATCGTTATGTTCAGATATACTGCTAGGGCTTCTGGTGCGATGGTGTTGTAGTGTTCCGCGGAGGTGTGGTAAAAGCGCACGTACGGTAGCTACCCTGTGGCCCATCGCTCCTTCCATCTCATTTCATATACTGACCGAACCTGCCTCCGTGGAGCCTGTAGAGTCTGCTGCCAGTTAGACCTAACATTCAAAGACAGCCACCTTCTATGGTTGACTCACCTGTAGTCGAACAGGTCAATTCGACTCATCTATTTATCCTCTTCTTGCAATATCTCTGTTTCAGGAAGCTGTTCTTGCCCGTGACCTTTCCATTAGGAGCTGCTCTATCCTCATTCTGCACAATGACGACATCTAAGGATAGAACCCAACTTGTATAGATTGGGCCAGTACCAAACCAATTGCTTCGTTTCATCTGATCGAAGCTCCATCGCAGCTAGCGTATAACGTGTCCTCGTCAGTATCGCAATCTCTCGGATGGAATTATTCTGTACTCCGTATTGGGTATGCAGTGACTGAGCCACCTACCCTCCGGACTCCTTATACCAACGAAAGCGAGCCATTCGGGGTCGACCGACGAACTGTATGTTGATACCATCATGACAGAGGTCAGTTGCTCAATGTATAACAGAAAGGCCAAGAGGATATGGATCCGGACTGAGACAGGCATCTTGAATTATGTTTAACAGGTCGGAACGCGTCGGGCGCGTTGCTAAACATGACACACGCTCTGGTAAGGAGACAATGTGGGAGCATTGAGCCGGGTCTTCTTCCTCTTATGACGGCTGTAACCCGAGTACATACTCAGACCAGAGAGAAAAGGAGAAAAGAAAAGGAAGAAGACGCACCCCTGCCTCTCGAATGCCTCGGTCCCGACGCGTGGTTTTGTCACACTACCCAGTCTGGGAACGATCCTGCATTTATATCCATGGTGGCATTCGTCAAGTAAGAACTTTAGGCATGTCGAAACGCATAATCTCTCCGTGATAGCCCACATAATCTTGAAAGTATCCTTGATCCCCAGAATTCATGATTCCACTAACACATCCATCGTTGACCATGATGCTCTGGGGGGCATAGATCTCCATGAGTGAACAGGATTTGGCGCTGTTCTAGGACAGCACGCTGGCCAGGTAAGTTGGTGACACAACCCTGGAGCCTTACATGACTCCTTTACATATGTGTGTCATATCAGACTAATGTCGAGGTCATATTAAACTATAACTAAGCGTTCCTGAGCTTACTAAGTAACCCTAAAGTGGATCTGACACCCGCGCTATAACACGTGCTCACGTGATCCATTTTTATCTCCGCCGAAAGCTTGCCGGTACGTCAATCAGATACTTCCGCGACGGTTCGAAGGAAAACTCACCATTTCTGGGCTCCTTCCCTCGGCGACTAGCATACTATGATCGCGGTGACCTATTTAACATAGCTAAAACTCATTTATTTCAATTTTTCATTCCCCGCTTATTCCAGATCAAATCACCATGCCACCTCCGCTACCTTCCCACCACCGCGGTATGACCGCAAACCCCCTCAAACCTAGCCGTTACCGACCTGGCAAACCGATTGCCGAAGAGCCCTCGTCATCTGAGGAGGAGGAAGAAGATGATCAGGAAGAACAGACCAAGGAGCAGGAACGACGCAGGTTGGAACAACAGCGGAGGCAGCGAGCGCAGGCACCGAAGGCAACTTCATTCCCCGGCGGGAACATCACGAAGGGGGTAAAGAATGTGCAAATAGAAGCGGATGAAGATGAGGAGGGCTTCGTTACCGAGGAAGAGGAGGAAGACTCCAAACCCGCCCCTCGTGTTGCTGGCGACAAAGGGGGTGCTGCGGCTGCGGCTGCGGCTGCGGCTCCTGTTCAAGCAGCGGGTGAACCGGTGAGCAAAGAAGAAAGTGAGGAAGAGGATGAAGAGGAGGAAGAGAGCTCCGAAGAAGAGAGTAGTTCGGAAGAGGAGACGCCGAGGAGGGTTCTTCTACGGCCTACATTTATTAAAAAGGACAAGCGCAACAATGCAGCAAATCAGACACAGGCCGGGCAAGGAGCAGCACCTAATACAGCCGCTGCGGATCCAGCGGCGGAGGCAGAGGCCCGCAGAGCGCAGCGACAAGAAAAGGCCGATATGCTGGTGCGCGAGCAGCTGGAGAAGGATGCAATCGCCCGGAGCGCTGCAAACAAGCAGTGGGATGACGATGAATTAGAGGCAGTTGAAGAAAGTGGTATTGACGACAAGGATGGAGTAGACCCCGAAGCCGAATATGCCGCCTGGAAACTCCGCGAACTCAAGCGCGTCAAGCGAGAGCGTGAGGCAATCGAAGCCGCCGAAAAGGAGCGCGAAGAGATCGAGCGTCGTCGGAACTTGACGGCAGAGGAGCGTGAACGCGAAGACCGCGAATTTATTGCCAAACAGCAAGAAGAGAAGGAAGCTACTCGAGGACAGGGTGGATTTATGCAGCGCTACTTTCACAAGGGCGCCTTCTTCCGCGACGACCTGGAGAAGGAAGGGTTGGACCGGAGAGAGCTCATGGGTGCTAGATTTGTGGACGATGTATCACGCGAAACTTTGCCTGAGTACATGCAGATTCGAGATATGACAAAACTTGGAAAGAAGGGTCGGACACGATACAAGGATCTGAGAACAGAAGATACAGGACGCTTCGGTGATAGCTTTGATAATAGACGTCGTCGCGACGCTCCGGTTGGCGTCAGAGATGAACGATTCCTGCCAGATCGGCCAGATGACCGACCTAAGGGGCCTACGGGAGCCAATGCTGGTCCGGTGCGCGAGAGACGGAGGTCGAGATCTAGATCATACTCACCAAGACGGGACCGACGACCTGATAGAAAGGAACGTCGTGAAAGTCCCGACCGGGACCGTTCGAGAGATCGGTACCGCCCTGACTCGAGCAATCGCAGGAAACGAAGCCCTTCGCCGTTTGACGATCGCGAAAAGCGCAGACGGATGAGAAGTGTTTCGTAAAAAAGCAACAGAAAAAGTGCAAATAGAATCATTTTATTCCTATTGGCGTTGTGGGTATCTTGAAAGCATGGGCGGGTTAGGGTTATGACGCTTTGCATTGAGAAACCAATGTTTTCTTTTTTTGCCTTTCCTCCTGTATTTAATGAGGTCTCACCAGAGGTGACATAAATTATACCAGTTCGCCTTCTGGTCGTAACTTGGCCAAATGATTAATTGGACATCTGCCTAGGCACAAATGTGTAGCACGATGTCACCAGCTTGCTCAAAAATCTTCCCTATGCATAAATATAAACGCAGTAGCCGTAGTTGACCGCATGGAGTATGTCAATTGTCCCGTTCCAAACGTCGAATAGTAGACACTAACACCAAGCATAGTCGACGAATTGATAACCTTACCACCCTCTATCGTAACCGACGTCCAGTTTGATCATAATAGCCAGCCAGAAGTAGCAATCAGTCAAAGGGATCCCTGTCCTAATTTCAGGCTGTGTGTTGCGGCGAGTTTATTTGATGCCCGCCCTCTCCAGAACCTTCTCCCTCTCCATAACACTCTCCCCAAAGCGCACTAAGAAGATTGTCCGACCAGGCCACATCTCCGTTGGTTGATTGTGAGCCGTAACCTTGGCCTCGAAGCCACAACCGTCGCAGACACCCTCAATGATTCCCGCCACGAAAGCCGCACAGTTAAGCATACTCATTTCCTTGGGTACGCTGATGTATGTGTTTACAAGCGGATCATTATCCGTAATCATATATTCGTTGGGTGTGTCGGGAGACACAGAGTGCTCGAGAGCATCTGCCGGACGATTGAAAAGGAGTCGCCAGAGGGGGCCGTGGATGAGATGGAGCAAGGGCAGAATACGGAGGGGTCGATTAGGTGGAGCGGCAGAAGTCGACGAGCTTGATAAAGACGATGAGGTTGAGCTAGATGTGGTTCGGTAGTAAAGTAGATCAAGAAGACGGAGTCCGAGGGGGTATCCTTGTTCATTCAATCTGAAGCTCGTTTCAGCACAAGATGGACCGCAACACAACATTCCCCCTGATGGGACTTACCGTTTCTCCAGGTCCTGAATGCCCGTTACTCTCCTCTGGGCATATGTGACCATCTCCGCAAAGAGAAAGGCGAAACTTGCCCGGCTGATTTCCGCATTTCGACTGCGATTCAGATGTCTGTCATAGATGGTTTTCCGGTTCGATGGGACGCGCAACCCGGTATTTGCGATGTGCTGAATCTGCTGCGGTGGCTGCTGCTGCTTGTCGCTAGCGTTTGACTGATTTGGGGCGCCGTTGCTGACGGACATCATAGCGGAATGTCGGGCGGGGTGTGCCATGTTTGGAAATTACTTCGTTGGTTGTTCTGATAGATTGTAGTAGTAGTGATTGACGGAAGTTATATTTTAAGTTATGGATATTGCTTCATGGTGATTAAGCTTTAATCCGTCAATGGATAGGAGTGTCGACCAATTCCAATTCCACAGGGACCCGCGGGGATTAGTAAAAACCGCACATGTACTGGAATAGCTAGCCCATACCACACACACTCGTCGGTAGTAGGTTGTTGTTCTTCCGTATCGGACGGCGGTTTGAGTTCTTACGGCGGAACACAAAGACATGCAATGCAGTTTCAAGGACCACTTAGTGTAGTTAATTCTTGATATTCTAGATTCTTGAGGAATTCCTCATGAACCACGAATCCTACAGTAGCATAAACTCCTACAACTACGAAAAAGACGTCTACACGGGGTACGCAGAAGATAAGATTCACAAAACAAATTGTATTCTTCATTGATAATCTAAATGGATATTGTCCCTAGGATGTTCGCAATCTCGGAGACAATCCTTCTTCCAATAGACTTTCTAACAAGACCCTTCCAGTTGTCATATCAATCGGTCAAGAGCTACCTGTACTAAGCGTATGTCGTTAGCATATATTGTTAACGGAACTATGATACTCAAATCATATCATATCAATGACCAAAAATGTCAGACATCCAAGGAAGTATTGCGCACAGAGCACGTCTGGTATGGGTTCATAGCGACGGCTAGCGTGGAAACTGCGAATGTGGGAAAATTTTTCATCATAAGAGCCCGAGGGCCTTTGGTCGATCGAAGATACAAAAGAGAAAACAATCGCTAAAACTCACCTAGTTAGTACGAATAATTGAAAGGCGTATGGAAAATTCTCAAATAACATGACAGTGCTATAGATTATAGCCAGTCAAAGTTGGACAGAAAGTCACATTAGACTCCAGTTAATGACCACTGTGGTGGTTGTCGTTGAAGTTGTGTAGGAAGAAAAGAAATTTCGGAACGGGAGGGCTTTTTATAGTCGGCCTCAGGCTGCCGGGGAAACCTGCCGACCCATACGAAGCTTCTAGAGAATAGCAAAAATTCATACACACCTCCACAGCATGCGAGATCGAATGCTCGATTGGTTTTTAATTATTCATAGAATTCGTGGGGTTTCAATTCCAGGATATTATACACATATCTATCTTCGAAGAGAAGTGTTGCATATGATACTGTTGAGATATATAGTTTTGCAAAATTCGTCTGCTTCATCACAAGAACGCACATAGATTAAGATCCCAGGCAATGGATTATATGCATACCCCACGTAAGACAGACGCCGTAAACAAAACCCCGTACCAAAATAATCATCATTATCTATGCTCCATGCAAAAGATACGAGTCCAAGCTCTTCAATCATTACTTGAGAGCCCTTTGCTTTTGCCTTGAGTTCCAATTTAATGTCTTTGAAATACTGTGCACCCAATCATTATTGCGCCGATCTTGCGGTAACACATTTGCGAATGGGTACCGTGAGGCAGAAACAGTCACGTAGTCACCTGGGTGCAATTCAACTCTGTGGTCGATGTTAATTTCCGCTTCTCGCTTGATAGAATAGCTCGGGATGCACTCACCTTTCTCGGCCATCGAAGCTTGCCCACGAACTGGTACGTGCATCATAGGGCACGCCCATTCTCAGGACGATGGTGTCAGGTAGTATTATCGGTCGGAAAGACAGCGTATGTGCGCAGATCGCTGTGACCAGGATCACCGGGTTGTCAGGGTGGCACAGAGATCCTCCAGCGGCTAAGTTGTACGCTGTCGAGCCCGTAGGTGTAGCGATACAGACACCGTCTGCAAGCAGAGTGGTAAAATGCTCATCGTCGCCGAACAGCTCAATGGAGGACATTGCTGAGTAGTTGTTAGCAGGATATCATAGAACTATGTAGCAAGACTCCGTGAGCATACTGGGATTTGGCCCCCGGTCGAGGACAACATCGTTCAAAATTTGAACAACTTTTTCCGGCTTGTGTGTTAACGTGCCTTCAACTTCTTCGCCGATCAGCTCTTCCACCAAATCTCGTTTCTTCGAGTGCGTTAATGATTCATCTCCTCGCCCATTACTCCTCATAATTGTGCATTCGAATCGTAACCTCAAGCTAACGGCAACACCGTCTTTAAAAGCGGACCCAAGCGTCTTCTGATAATCATTAAAATCGAATTTGGTTAGAAATCCCAATGATCCCAGTGAGAAAGAGAGGACCGGCGGTACTACTTGCTGGAAGAGCCAGCTCGTATAAAGAACCGTCCCATCACCACCCAGTGTAATGACGAAGTCAAAGAGATAGGCATTCTCGTACACAAACTTATTGTCCCAGAACTTGAGCCGCCCTGCTGCGGAAGGTTCATCCGTCAGCAATTGAGAAGCACCGAAATCCGCAACCGCCTCCAGTCGTCTCTCCACGTAGACATTATACTGCGTATCACGGTCTTTAGACAATAACCATTCTGTGACCTTCCTCGTAAACGCAATCACGCTATCATCGCCCGCTTTAGTCACCACAAAGACATTCTTGACAGACAGCTTGAGTTTGATGCTATCCAGCTTTTTGGACAACTTCCGTACATTCCATGCCATATCAGACAACTGTTTTTTCGTCAGCTGCCGTGACTCCACGATGGTCTCGGATTGCTTTGGCGTCCAGTCGTCCATATCGGTGACGGTGACGCCATCGTCATCTACGACGGTATCGTCGAAGCCAATTGCGTCGTCCAGCCCAATTCGTGCATTCTTCGCTTGACCCGGGGGGCAAATCCATTCACCTGCGATCAGGGAATGTACGAAGCAGGCGGTCTTATCGTCTGCGCGGTCAAGGCGAGGCTTGCCTGGTTCATTCGCCATGACCAAGGACGACTTACGGCGGTGACTGCAATCGGGGGTAAGCACAACCTAGTGAAAGAAACATCGCGATGTTAATAATACAATATGGAATCAAAGTGTCGTCAAAGATACCTCTAATTTGTGGGAGTCCGTATCTCCACCTGCCCCTCCATTGCCCTTGAGACAAATTAGCTACGGTTCTGATATGATCTGTAAATCGACAACCGTACAGCATTATCCCTAAACTGGCCTTGATCCATGATTCAACAGCCAAACTCAAATTTTTTAATTTGTCTGTTCATATGTTGGGGGAAAATTCGCTGAGGTTTCATCAAAGTCGCAGCTCGAGCGACGTTTTGGTTGAAGTTCACGCCGCATTGGGCAAGTCGCGGCTATGACGTCGCTCCGCAGCATCAGTGGGAACAATGCATCTCAGGTACTAGGTTACTAGGGTGCGCCAGGCTCCACTGAAGATCATTATGAATGATAGTCGTTAACTCCAAGCAGACATACTAGGAAAATCTTATCAATCACATGTATATTAAATCTGAATCGTAACAATTGAGTCGTAGCATGTTCCCAACTAGACTATACCTAACGGTCGACTATCCCATGTATCTACGACCTCCCATCCCTTGTTCTTCAGGCTATCTAAATCATGACTTGTCCCTGTGCGTAGGTTCTGGAGTGAATTCCTATCCTTTCCAAACCGCCCTGGATCCCCATGACCACCAGGCAAGTCGTTGTCCACATGCTGTATCCTCTCCTTGAGCATATTCGTCCAGTGATTTGAGTTCTGCTCACAGGTAGAGAGAGCATAGGCAAACGAGAGCAACCGCCTCTTAGAATCCCATTGTGATGAGCATAGAATATGGTCCAGCCACATATAAACTCCTTCACAATGAGCATCCTCCTTCGCAGCCGATCCAGCAAACGCCAGCACGTCGACCATAGCCTCCACAAGCGCCGTCAGGAAAGCAGGACATCCATCAACGATGATCTGCAAGAAATAATCCCACCTGGAAAACTCATCATCCATAGATGCTCCAAGCCTAGGTAAGAAGAAGTCAGCACACAAACCCCAAAACAAAACCATGAAAAAGAAAAGTAAAAGAAAAGAAAATTCAACATACTTCCTCCCTCCAGCAACCAAAACCTCATCCTCCACCAAAACCCCCGAAACAGCAGCAGCTCCCTTCCCAGAGCTTTTACACACCGAAACCAACTGCGTCGCAACACCAGACAAAACCTGGACCTTCCTCTTCTTCCGCGGCGGTTCCGACGCATCCGTCACTTGTGCTAGACAAGCTCTGGTAGCAGCCTTAACAGGCTCGATGTCATCATCGACACCGTCCGGTGCAAAACCGGCGTTCAGATCAATCTTGGCCCAGTAGTAATCCCAGAGCCATTCGAGCGACCGTTGCGCGGCATTCCGCAGCACCGTCAACGACGGCAGTTCACGATGAGTTGCTTCATGTCGCAATTCGACGAATGAGGCAGGTAGGCCTAAATCAATGGCACGCTGGAACATTGTCTTGCGTTGGCCATGAAGTTTGGAGTCTACAAGACCCGTTACAAACCTGTATTCAATTAGAACTTCATCATTCTTTACAACTTCAGAACCAATATTTAAGGATTAAAAATATATGTTGGGGATAAAAAGAAGAACTCACCGACAAAAAGCTGCCGAGTAGGTCGCCCGTATCGAAAAGATCGAGTTTTTTCTCGCATCATCATGCAGAATAGCATCCGTCAGCAAAGCCGTAGCCTCCACGGGATGGGGCAAATTGCCTCTCAACTTCCAAGCCGCAACCTTTATACAAGAATTAGTACGGATCGTTTGAATTGTATCGAACTAAGCCATATTATATACCGTAGCGCAGGCTCTAGACCGCATGTCCGGTCCATTGTATGTTGCCGGAGGATAAAATTGACTCCGCACTTGTTGTAATTCCGACTGTTCTTTCCATGGTGTGAAGATTAGTTTTGACATTTTTGGGATTATTTTATTAGCCTCTAGTAGATGAGGCTGATTTTTGTATTTAGTATTGGGGTTTTTAGATATTGTGATCATGGGGATTTGGACGTTTTGTGGTCGGAGTTTCCGGTTTTTCCGATCCGCGGTTCCGGCAGGGTCCCGTGCCATTAACTTATTTGTCTACCCTACATAGAATACTGTAGACCGAGTGAAGAGAGTGTGTCAATGTGACACTCATTTGCTTTGATGATGTCTAATACTTGTGTTTCGATGATAGTTAATCAAGCCCGCACCCTTTGGGTATCCTTTCGTAGATATAGAACGCCGTCGAAAGCCTAAACGCCACGCTATGCAATAAGTCATAGAAAAGATTTATACAGTGAATAAAAAAAAAGAAAAAGAAAAAAAAAGAGAGAATGAACAAGTGTCATCAGGACGGCTAGATCCATCCGTATCCATAATTCATGCAAGGCTGACTTCCTAGGTTGAAGAGCTGCTGGGGTGCAGACATGGTCTGCTGTTCGATGTCATCATCATCAAAGAAGAATGACTTGTGCATCATGTTGGCCGTTGGGTTGGCCGGCTGTTTCTGGACTGGAGCAGAGCTGGAGGTGCTGGTATGTTCTGCGGTCTCTTGGTTGTCGTCTTCACTCTCGGCATCTTTGCTGTCATCTGCTTCATCGTCCGTCGAGGGTGTGAAAGTCTCCTCCAGCTTGAGACCCTTACCAGGCACCTCATGGAGTGAGGTATCCAGGAAAGGGTCAGGGTGATTGTAAAGGCCCATTCCAACAAGTTCATCCCCAGGTTGCTCATCAGAGGTCGATTCATGCAGTGACTTGGAGGTACTGTCTGGATGCTGAATGGGAAGGAATTCGGGGGTGGATGGCCCCGTCAAATAGCCCGACGACGGTGCACTTGCATATCCCGAAGCCTCAACATCTGCCGATGGAATGCTATTGTTCATAGACACCATGTCGAAGGGCCAGCTATCGGGCATTGGTTGAACCATGGTGGTCATGTTGGGTACACTGTTATCCCACGTGACCGGGTTGATCTGGGAGCCGCTCATGTCTAGGAAAGAGGACTGTTGCATCGATGCTGGGTCTGGCATGGCGGTGAAGGAGAATGCTTCCGTTGGTGCCGAGAACTCCGGTGAGGCATAAGATGGCAGCATACTTCCGTCTGCGAGTGTTGTTGGGGCCGGACCCACGGACTGAGTAGACGGAGCCATAACTCCAAAGTTCTCTGCGGTTGTTGATTGAAAGTAAGGCGGGGATGAATACGCAGCAGTTTCTAGTGATGCTGGATGCCAACTGATTGGGCGAGTTGCCGTTGCTCGCCTCCTTCTCAGAGCGGAAGCCAGGACAGCAGGATTGACCTGAGTTTGATACGGCTGGGCTTGGACTGGTTGATAGATTGGCGACCCATGTGATGCCGCTGCCCTCCATCTGCCAGCAGACGAGGGACTGTTGCCCGCACTCCGAGGCTTCATCACTCGACCCGTATGCCTCGGTCTGGGGAAAGCATACATCATGTCACGGAAGCTGGACGACGGCACACATTGCTGGTCTGCCTGGAGCCAGTGGGAGCCCGGCTGAGAGACTTGGGATTGGATGTAATTGGCCATTGAAAGAAGTAGAAGATGAACAGTCACGGTGTATCTGAAGAACAGGGAGGCTAGCGGTGGAGAGATTATCAGCTTGAGGTGTGAGGGTTGAGAGGGTAGATGTAAACATACATATTTGTATGAAGTGGAAGGGTGAAAGGGGAACCCGTGATGGAAAAGGGTTGGTAGGCTTATATGTAGAGAATATTAACTGTGGATAAGCCCCATGGGTGACTGCAGGAATGCAATATGCAAAGGATCAAAGGATCTGTAATAAAGATCGGGGCTTTTCCATTCAAAGATGACACAGGGGGGTGTGAGGGTCACAAGGCTTCGAGGTAAGGTACGGAGGAAGTCAATCCATAGGATCCATGGAGGGAAGGATGGATGTATGGATGTATGTATATGTATGAGACTAAAGGGTAGGTAGTAGCTAAAGTAACTTCTTACCCAAATAGTTCAAACACTTAATTATCCCTCGGTCAGTAAAATGGAAATTAAAAACGGAAAAGAGAAAAAGAAAAAAAGGGAAAAGAAAAAGATAGTAGGTAATACAAGTGGAACGCATTGCTTGATCTACCATCCGCCCCAGTTCCACGATCCCATTACTGAGGATGGATTAGCGGACGCATGTTGGGAATTTTAGCATGACATCCGACAACGTTGACACCCATCGAAAGAGGTTTAGCTGGTGGGTATTCAAGAAAGGATGGAAGGCAAGGAAGAGAAGTGATGATTCAGATGTGCCCATGCCACACGGTTGTTTGCTCCACTTTGACTCGGTGGTGGCTGTAGGGAATTTTAATTTTGAATTTTTTTAGATTATTTTTTTAATTTAAAACCTTCAATTTGTACCCTCACATGGTCATCGTTTGGAAAGATGGGGACCTGGAACGACAATCCGTCTTTGACCCAGACACTTTGGACCTCCTCGGGATCCATGGTATTGGGATCCTGGGAGTGAACGAATGGTTGGTCGTGGTGGAGAACCAAGAGTATTGAATAATGTTGACGGTGGATGATCAGACCCATTATTGGCGATAAAATGAATGAGTTTTAGTTTGGTTTGGGTTTTAATTTGAAAGTGACTCCAAAACGGAATCGTCTACAATGCAAAGTGATTGGCGGGCCCGGCAGGGAACTGGAACTCGGCAGGGAAAACGAAGGAACCAGAAAAAGGACAGCTAAATGTGGTCTGGGACATGCCGAATCTAACCCAAACTTCAGTTAGGGCCCGTGTGAGTGAGAGTGAGAGTGAGAGAGTGAGAGAGCCCCATACCTGACTAAGTCTGGGGCTAAAACGGGGGGATTACGTATGGTATCCGTACAATACTACTTGACCCTTTTGCCTCCTGCCTAAGTATGTACATACATACGGTACTCACCTCCTCCTTCTCCCCCCTACTAACTCCGTCCTGACACTACTGTATGAATGCACGTACCTACAAAGACAATACTAAGGTATGCACCCTTGTAACTCCTCCCAAGCCTGATTTCTTGGTCTTCTTCTCCGTCATCAGTTACATTGGCAAACTTTCTTTCAAATCCTCTTCTGAACTAGTCCCATTTCATTGGGACACTTTCTGTACCTAGTAATCGACTCATACATAGTACGGAGTATGTGCGCCAGCCAGGACCCAGACCCAGACCAACTGACCAGATCATCGTTTTTGACTAATAAGTAAATCATCTATTGACGACCTAACCGGTGATGAGCATACCAAGTGGACATACCGCCGGACCTCACCTACCCTTACTCAGGAACTTAAAAGAGAAGAGGGGGGAAAGAACACCACAGAATGCGGTGTATTACGGAGTACGATAGAACGGTACTGGCCACGGTTTTGATGGGTAAGGCAGAGGCACATACATACATACAGTTCTGACCCACGATCCGACCCGATCGTCAAAAAAGCCCCTGCGACTTCACTCCATTGCCCATTTTTGACCCCCCCCCCCCTCTCCTCCAACACTCCTCAGCCCGCTCAGTGTCCCCCCCGTTGATTGTCCCCACAAGTTCACCGTTTCCAACGCGTCACAAGTTACAACGCCGTTACGCAAGGGTTACAATAATGTGGACATGTTCCAGAGCCCTTGTCCTTCCTTTCGCATCCTTTCAGCCTTGACCTTTTTTATTCAATTTTACCCTTAAGGTTTCAGAAACAGGAAAAGTTGCTTTGGTACAGTGAGGTAGTTAGTGTCTTACTCCTCGATATTGCGAATCCATACGTCCATTATCGTGTCCTTTGACATGATTTGACAAGGCGAGAGAGATCACAACGGACGCGGCCATCTTCCGTTTCTCTCTCTCCATCGTCATAGATCGATCCTTCGGCCTTGCCGGGCGCTTATCCCGCCATCCTTTATTCTTAGGTACAGTACCACTCTACTTGTTCCTAACCAACCGCTTCAATAATAGGTAATTAATCTTCTCTTTCAAACGCTCTCGGTCATGAGGCGACTATGACTCTGCTGGCACCATCAATCAATACCAAACAAGGGAATATAACACCTCTTATCCTTTGGGTGGTTGATGAATATATAATATATATATATATATATTTTTTTTTTTTAAAAAAAAAAAAAAAAAAAGAAAAGTAATTACTGCTGGTGATACACATATCACTCGAAAGTTCTCAGTTGCCTCAATAGTACCGGTTACAGTAAATGACACCTGACCGACCGGTTGGCCCTGATAACGATGACGAGAATGAAGTTAATAATGCCTCAAATCTAGCCCTCGCTGCCTTCTGAATGTGCATGGTGGAGCACATGTTTCATAGCCATCGACCGCGCACATACATTTCTCACAAGTTAGGTACTATCGCCACTTCATAAACCCTACTACCATCGTCGGTGTGGAAAGAAGTGGGCAGAAAAAGAAAAACGACGGGAAGCTCGGCTAAGGGAAGTGAGATGACAACATCCAGGTCAAGGCAACACAGAATTTGCTCAGAAAACTCGAGACCGCCCGGAGTGGGGGGAAGCTGAGGCACAGGATCTGTATCAGACTTGTGCCAGGCCAATGGCCGACGACTACGGTACGGGGTAATTGGCGCCAATAATGTATTATGACAAGTCTAACTGCACCACACACCGGAATAGACACATGGATTGGACAGTGCACCTGAAGTTATGTACGTATGCGGTTATGTACTCCGTATGGAGTATGGAGTATCCATCTGCCCAGCCCAACACCACCACCAAGGAACGGAGAATTCCTCGTCAGTTACTGGAGACCATTTCCAGAACAAGGGACCCTCTCTTAGTACCATACTAAGTCACTAGTACAGTGACTTCAAGGTAAGCTGACGCTGGCGGACATTAAATCACTTGTATACAGGGTACATACCTCGGGAACCTCCTCCGTGCTTTAGGGTACTTGGCGAACTACGCTTCTACCACCTGGGAAAATAGACTAAACGTCACAGGTAGGAGAAGACTGAACAATCATCGACGGAAAAGGAGACGATCAATGGTCGCTTGTTCCTGGCCGCCTCCTCTTACCTGAAAGGATCGACTCAGTACCTGTACTATCATGAAGCCCCATCACAAGTTGGTCAGCGACTAGACATGGAATCCTCTCTCTCCTTTACCCGAAGAAGCAACTCCCCGGCCATTTGAGATAGGCAACTTCCCTAGCATACTTCCCGAACCCAGCAGGTCAGGGAGGACATGCGTTGGAAATACTTCTGGGGTTCATTATACTCTCTCCAATTTAATTTCTGTTCTTGGATCTTTATCTTTGCCATCTTCATACTTGTAAGAGTCTTTTTTCTGGACTGATTTCCTACTACGTGGTATCTTCTGTGCAACTTGAACGACCGTTCCATCAATATTCAGCACACGGGACTGCAGATTCATCGACATCATCGAAAACGACTAATCGGACAATTGAGATCATCATCTACCCGTCCTACAAATCAGAAGCCGGAGATTACAGGAGGAAGACCACCGGGGCACATGTGCAGACCCACTTGACCGCAGGGGCTAGAAAAACAGAGAAAAAGAGAAGAACAAAAAATTCCAGAAGGTCAGGGGTCAAAATCTCCTCTGATGGGCCTAAAGCCAGGCGAAGAGGGACCAAAAAAAATAAAATAAAATAAAACAACAAAGCGAGATGGGGCCCCACTTTTTCTTTTTTTCCTTTTTTTTCCTTCCCTCTTTTCCTTTTTCACCTGTGTTCACCATCTCCGTATCGACAGGAGCGAAGTTAAGGGCGAACAGGGATTTCGACCAGGCAAGAGGTAAGCTAATGGATCCTTGGATTTGGGAACTCGCGGACGGATCGGATCCTTTTCAAGCCATGATCATGAACCCAACTTACGTTGGTATGACTGCCGTCAATATAATTAATAATAATATTTATTATTATTATTATTATTGTTACTCCTACTACTCTGTACTGCTGCTCCTCTGCCTTTTTCCAGCCTGATGGTACCCTCTTTTTTCCTTTTTCTTGCTGACACGACTCCGTATCTGCCGATCTCTTTCCCACAAGAATATCCCATTCCGTTTGCATACGAGGCGTGTACTCTTCTAGTGTGATGTTTCCTTTTATGCGAGCGACAACTGGTATGACTCGCCATGATGTATATAACAATAACTTGAAAGAAAAGGATAACATAATATTAAAATAAAAATCTCTTACTGAGAAATCTCAAATCCCCACTGATAATCAAGATCAGTAAGCTCAAGCTCTCTTCCCAAAGAGGGCAAGGGAAAAAGGAAACTTAACCCCTCGCCACTTTTTGGTCACCCTTGCTACCGACTCCGGCTATACAAAACACGGCAAAGGCCGACAGGACCTGTTCATCCATGCCAGTTCGAAGACATGGCGGAGATTGATCTTGAACCTCCCTTTATCCTGGGAATTTACATATCAAACCCCATGGTCTGATGGTGACAAAGAACGGAATGCTATAGTTAGTTAATATTAATAGTAGTCGCAGTAAGACAAAAGGTTCACCCATCATTACACCCAACTAATAAAATCGAACCCGGATAATTAATAATACAACTAATAATCCTGCGGAGTATAAAGCATAAATTAAGTAGTATCTGCAACTGTCGTTAGGAATTGGATCTCTCCATCCGCCTAAAACTAATGTACCACGCTTAATCCAGCAACTTTGGGGGGGTGATGCGAAATGGCGGTCGCCGTCCGAGACAACAAACTAAACAACGCTTGGGTTTCGGAGAAAGTTTTCAGCCCTTGTAGGGATCTTCAGACGAGGTTTTCGCTTTCGTATTTTCTATAATTGCCGGTTTTATTGTTACTAGTTCCTATCTTGATTATGCTGACTTAACTCAGCTTTGAATTTGGTTGGTGTCAATTTTACTTTGATTGTCCCGTTCTTAATTTTGAACGGTGTCCGTGCCCGTCCACCTGCTGTTCGCCGTATTTGTTAAGATTTTTTTTTTCTCTTTTTTGTCTTTTTTTTTACTTTGCCTTTTTACTTTTGATTTTTTTTCGTTTTCATCGAAACCTAACCTTGGTTTAGGCCCGAGCGCCTCTAAATTTCAAGTCTCCACCAGAACAATGGAACACATTGGCGCTAATTAATTTGGCTTGCCTTAGTGGCATGTCATCAGCCCCTACTTTGGAGGTCCCCGTGGTAGGGAGCAATCTGAATCTAATATCGACAATGGCACTCGGCGTCGTCATTGGCGGTTTGACCCCCTCCGGAGCAGCTCTCATGCGATGTTCGATTCTCGTCAAAACAGACCAGTTCTGGGCGTTTAAGCCTCATTTCTCTGGTCATCCTGGGGAGAGACAATAACACTCACACAGCCACCTTCACTACAACGGGCTGAAAACAAGCGCAATCTCGAACAGGCTGCAGCCGAACAGGGAACCCAGTTTATCGGTAACGCGTGGATGTGACACGGCAGGCTCCTCCCGCCTAGCCCTTGTGATGATACTAGTTACCTGGGGCTTCACACAAGGGCAAAAAAAAAAATTAAATAAATAGAAAAAAAACCTAAGCAACTAATTACACCGCAGTCATTCAATGTGGGCTATCCTTCGATGCACTGCCGCGTGCCCAGGTCCCGGTGCCACAACGCCTGGTCCATATTGATCCAGTCAACTGTGCAGCACAGGAGAGCGTCCCATACGGAGGGGGGAAGTGGCTACTAACGTTACCGGAGTGGGTCGCAGGAAGATGCGGTCGAGAGACCCGCGATGCCTCGCTTTGGGAAATTCCTTGGTAGTCCGGGCGACTAGATTACAATACTCCTATCGACTCGGACACTGCTTTCGATACAACAACAACCAAAAAAAAAAAAACCAAGGCATCGGGCTGAGGAACTGAAATAACAGAACTGCCTCTTCTGTCCGCATCTGCAGGTGGCCATGAGTCAAATGGCCTACATACATGCGCCCTACCTGCATGCATGGAACCAGTGTAGGTGGGCTCCTTGCTCTGCCAATCAGGACGGGAGGAGGGATCAAGACTGTGACCCCCCTTAACGAAGTTACGTGAAAGAGAAAGCAGGATTCTAAATATATTAAAATATTCAGGATGCATGGTGCCAGCACCACATAACTCGGCGGCTGCTACTCTACCACGCTGCAGCATTCTGGGCATTTGCATGGGTTCCGATCTAGAGTACATGGCAAAGTAGGTACCATGGGTTTAATATCACAGAATGTGGCCAGTGCTTCGTTAGGTTCCAATGTGCTATGGCGGCAGTCAACCAGTCAGAATGCAGTCTTCGATGCTAGGCTTGTCGACGGAACAGACGGTCTGGAACCCTAGTACTACCTCTGTCCTGATTAGGTTTATATTTCACCTTATGTAATGCCGCCTTGAAGTCGAACAGGGGAACTAAAAATACCGGAGCCAGAGTTACATACTTACCAGGACTGGCTGAGTTAAAAGTCAGGCCACAAGTGTGACTCAGGCATATGCAGGATATCCGCACATACCGACCGACAAAGATTGAGATGCAACCACATGACCTTCCCGAGTAGTGTCTTAACGGGATGGAGTCCCTCTGCTTTAGTAAGAGTGATAGTGCAGTGCACATCACTTATGTGTAATTTTCTTTCTGCCCTCTTTTCTTTTCTCTTTTCTCTTTTATTTTTATTTTTTTTTTTATTTCACCTTTACTTTTTTCTTATTTGGATCCCCCCCCCCAGGCTCTGTGATTGCATCCGGTGCTTCAACTACTGGATACTTAATATAGCTGATTCGCACAGATTCACAGCACCCCTCCTTTCGAGACAGATACTAATGTCTCCGCGGGTGACCCTCCTCTCGACTTCGTCAAGGGATACGAAGTGCGTTCCACTTTCATCCTCCCCCATAACCGTTCCAGTTTAGCCATGTCACCAATGCTGTACTACATACCCTTTGGATCTTCCTACATATCCCCCTATCAACGGAAAGATCGACTGGAAGTCCAATCCTAGGAGATGTGATACTACAGGGACATAAATGCACCTGCGACCCATCCTTGATGAGTGATAGTCAGAGTCCCCACTGATTTTTACCCGAAACAGGCAATATCGTCAAAAGGGCCACATATATTTATCGGTACCTAAGATCCTGAGCTGCAGTGTCACGGTAGATCAAAGTGGAGCACGGGGCAGGATGTAAGTATTGCAGTCGCAAAAGTTTGTCTTGCAGTGGGGATTCGGACTTAGGCAATTTTTTCTTTTTTCTTTTTCTTTTTTTCTTTTTTCCCTGTTTCCGCACACCTCCCCGAAGACCAACTGACGGACTCCTCACGCCCTGTCCTGAGTTACCCGTAGCCACAGCTCTAGTCAGATATCTCAAAGGCAAATATTCCCACAAGTCCAGCTCCACTAAAAAATCGCCCCAACAACCAATAACTCCAAATCGCCTGACCGTTAAGTGGACCCGAATTCCACTCTCCCACTAAAGGGGCCAAGATTTTAGGAGCATTAACTTCACCAACCAACCCTGTGCCGGGTGTACCTTGGACCACTGAGATACCATTCCCCTCAACAGGTAAAGAGCAAGCGATAGCTAGTCCGTCTAGTCGCAAGCCTATCTATCGCCCTCCGGGAGGAACGGACGACGGAGGTAGACTCCAAGGAAAATCCAAATCTAGGAGGGATCCACCACCGCCATCAACAATTCGTTTCTATACTCCGATACTTCTCAGCCCACAACAATTTCACCCAACCTAGTCCAGATACGTCCAAGCACACCGGTAACTTGGGCAAACATCATCGGCCGAGTAATGATCTCTTAGTCTACCACTGTTGAGTCTCGCACACACCTCCCGTTCTCCAGTCTCAGTCTCCATCCATTTTCTGCACCTTCGTCTGGACTACTGTTTTCTGTCTCAAATGGAGGTCTTCGCCTAGGTTACGGATACAAGAAAAGCCACATGGCTGACCTGAGTCTAAATCTGGGTCCGGATAGCCGCTACTTCCGTTGGGGATTGGGCCCGCTTGCTTTTCATTTCCTGGTCTCGGTACTTGGCCTTATTATTATTATTATTATTTAATTTTTGTAAATTCCCCGAGCGTATTCTTAGATTTGTCCCTAATGAAAGAAGGAAGGAAAAATGTGCATGGGCTTATGACTGTTGAATTTTTCTAAGTTTGAATTATATGGGGAACTGGCCAAGCTAACTAAACTAACCACAGTATCTAGCTCATTCAACTCCGGAAGTAATGGAACATGTCAGAAAAGACAACGATTCAACTTCATTGAATCTGATGTTCTCATATTGAACAGAACAGGGGTCCTGTTTGGAAGTGCGGGCGTGCATGCTTACCTCGCAGCCCTAGTTGGGTTTCAAACATTCTCCTTTCATCTGCTTACATGAATCAAATCAAATGAATCACAAGAAAAGACTAGACTAGACTAGACTAGAAAGAAGGATGCTTAAAAAATCCTCCGGAGATAGTCTACTACCTAGTAAGTGATCAACTAGAACTGGCCACAGTACTCAGGACTTGAACGGGGTGGGAGGCAAAAATAACAATCCCCATCCCATGCCAATTAAAAATAAGAATCGAATATATCCGTATTTCCAAGAGGAATAAAAAAAAATATATTTCTTTTTACTTAGTACGGGACCCGCCGAATACTTGGCTTATTTTATTAGTAGTAGGGCTGTGGAGCCCCCGAATTATTTGGTGGCTGGCAAACTGGCACGTTTGGGATGATCGCTTCCATAAACTATTTCCGTGGACTTGAAGGGAGGGGGGAACCAGTGACTATCCATCCATCCACTCTCTCTAGACTAGCTTACGGGAAGATAGAAACTCTTCTTCTTAAGTTCGACGAGTCTGGGCACTACTACGTAGTCTATGATTCATTTATGGGTTGTTGAACGATGATGAGACAGACTATGGGATCGGATTATTGAACTTTACTTTGATATCGTGCTTAAACTTTTCTTTTTATTTGCTTTTCTTTTTCTTTTTCTTTTTCTTTCTGGGGTGGATGAATAGGAATCGTTGGTGCAATTGATTTAGATTAGAAACTATTCCATTTTTATTCGGGTTTTGCACCTACCTAAGGTCTTGGCTTTGATTTGATATTACTATACTATACTATAGTTATCCCATACGTGGGTTAATTGGCGGGGGAGGTTATGCAGGTTCCTTTGGAAACTTTGCTGATGACCGTTTTTCTTTTTCGGTTTTCAGATGCTGAAGTTGCTTTAGTTTTAGCCCCGCAGGTCACTTACTGTCATACGTGTCGTGTGGCGAACTGCTATCTAGGTAAGATGTGTGTGGTAGTTATCTAGTCATTTAGCTAGCTAGCTAGCTAGCTAGTTTAGCTATTGTTGATCATGGTTGGATTACCCATGGGTAAGGTTGTGTTCGATTATCCTGGGTTGGCTTTTTGTTATCTAGGTAGGTAGGAAGTATGGCACTGCTGTATCCATGTACAATACATTTTCTTAAGCTCAGGCTCAGGCTCAGGCTTCCAGATGACCGCGTAAGTCATCAATCATATCGCTGCCATCTTTGCCCCGTGTCATGGCATGTCATAGCCACATTTTGTCTAGGCACCAGGATTTTTTATCGGGGGAGATATTTGTCTAGACTCTTTCTATTTTAATATTATAAATGTAATATCTGGAACTTGGGGTATGTTTAATTCCGGATGAGATGGTTGTCACATGTATGCTGAGACGAGAAGTGAGTGAGAGGCCTTAGCTTGCTGTGTGCGGGGACAACAGTTCTTGTTATGATACGTGTGTGATGTCGACTGCATGGAGGAGGGGCGGCGGCGGTAGTAGTTTAGTAGTATGGGCGAGGCGAACTACTAAGTAGTATTGGCATGAATATGCATATGTATGCCCGCTGTGGAGGATCCGATTTGTTGCTTTCTAGTACTTTACTTGTACTTGTTGTCTGTGCTGCCTTGTTACCTGGTTTGAGTGTTGGGACCCTTCTTGCAGTGTGAGATAGTATCTACGTCTGTGGTTGGTTATCTTGATATCTGATACATGGAGCAACGGCGTCTGTTGGCTTGGTAAGGGTGGATGTAAGGTGGTTGTTTTGTTTCGTTTCTTGTTTGCTGGTTTCGATAGGATTGTTGGTTATATATTTTGTGGTCCGAGGAGGAGGAGCAAACCCCGCTCGAGTAAGGATTGGTGAGCGAGCTGTAGGTCAAGCGTTTGATGTAGATCTGTGATTGTCTATGCGACGCTATTCGATTGACGGATGGATGTCCAACCTATCATCGTATCTTCCGTGAATTGATATTTTCTCTAGACCGTTGTTATCTGGCAGGATCCGATTTGTGGTTTGCATCACCGGCAGCTGCTTATTGAGTCCATGCGACATGTAAACTCCCGTAAGGCCACGAATATTGCCGAGCGATTCAGTCGAATACGAGTTTAGCATCTATGTACTGTACAATCGAATCCCGATGGATTCGAACGTTTTACGATACTCGCCGAATCTGGCTTTCATGTTGAAACACATGATTAGCTGCGAACCGTTCAACAGCAGGTGATACTAGATGGCGCCTGGGCGGATTTCCCCTCCATTCGTACTCCGTGCATCAACATTAGCTCGGACCTGTAAGCAGCATGTCATTCATACGCCGCACCGTGTAATGCTATTCAACCATGGTCATCAACTGCGTTGATGGTAGCCCCGAGAGTCTCGAAGGATTTGGTCCCATCTGCAGTGTCATTCTCTCCATACTCGAGCATTGATGTTCGGACTTGCTCAGTCACTCGCCTTGGGCGGAAGTAGCTTCGTAATGGCCCGACCTCTCCCAACACGAGTAGACGAAGACTAGTAGTGCCCCATTCCTTGATACCAGTGGTGCAGCCGGTAAACCACTGCCTATGGTTGTTCGTCAAGACATATCGTGTTCATCCGCGTCCTCATGTAGTGAGTAATATGTCCGGATTCCATTGTCAGCTGTCCGGTTGATCCAAGACGGGCTATCATATCCATATTCCCGCCCCATCCTGCTACGGACCTAAGCCACCGACACACCCTTTCCTCCACCCACGTCGCCATCTCATTAGATCGTCACTGTGTTCATGCACAGATGCAGTGGATGGGTCAGTTCACCGCACTTGAGCGATGGGACTGAAAGAGCCTCGTCGACTCGGAATGAAAAATGGAGAGGTCTGCGACGGTGGGATGGGCGGTGTATGCGTGTGGATGTGAGCCTGTGCGCGCGCGCGGAGGGAGACCGAAGGCGTATGGCCGCATGAGCGAGGCTATGTCGGTCCCTGAACTAACGGATATTCCATTGGTATGGTGTTGTCAGAGGTAAGGTGACCCTGACATTGCCCAGATTCATTGAGTTTGAGAATTGGGGATTTTCTGAAATGGTCATCGAATACCGAATATTGATTGTGTTCGTTGTTCCCCACTAAGCTCCTCTAGGTTAGTGCCTCGTGGATGCCTTGGGGTTGCTGTCCTTTTGCACTGAGTCGTTCTTTGTGCGTATTCTACTCCGGAGTATAGAGCTGTTGGATGAGGTGTACATGTAAGGCGCTTGGGAAGGGGTGTTGAATGATAGTTTTACAGATATGTGGCCCATTGCTATCTGCGTTGAAGTATACATTGGTAGCTAATTAGCTATACCGTTGAACTATTTATTTAGTAGTGTTGGTATAATCATTTTATATAGTAATCGGTAGAACTGCATATGTTAAAGTATGGTGTGAAAGGCCATATAGGGGAGGGAATAAAGACGACAAGAGAGAGACACTGCTGCACAACCATATCTGGAGTCCTGGACTACGGCAGTGGATGGTTCATGATTTTTGCCCATGACTCAACAAACTTTCGTTCATTTCGATCTTTGATCAATTATACTTTTGTCATAGTTATAAGAATGACTACACCATCATCAAATCATGGGGCATCGTGGGCCACAAACGAGTTTCGCAAGAGAAAGTACCAGTGCTCTACAGTATACGGTCTGGTCATTGAGATCTCCCTGTAATCATTGACATTCAAGATTATGATGATTTGAGGTAAGGACTGGGCGGGCTTATGCACCTTGTGTAATTGATAAGGAACGTCAGCACTGCAACCTCTACGACAAGTGAAGAATGAGACAATCGAGGTAGCGACAACCAGGCCAGGAACTATGCTGTATGTTACTGGCATTGGCCTTCCTTCTTCCTCAAATTCAAAGATAGATCCTGAGATAGGCGTGAATGAAGTTAAATATACTTTTTGTGTTTAAACTATAACTCAGTTCTATCTAAACATATGTTTAGCTCCCAAATTCCTATGGATTTATAGAGGGAGTATATATCCTTGGTAAGGTGGGTTTGTGGGAGACCTACCCAATCCGGAATAGCGCAGCCGGGACTGAAGGAAGGGTATGAAGTAATCCCCAATCATCATCATCGTACAGAAGCTCTCCCCGCATCCACCGTCGTTCGTTTGATTTCAAATCAACTTCTCATCATCCATGAGCTTCTCAAGATTATTCAGACCCCCTATCGGTTCTCCATTTCGAGTCCAGAATTGTTCTGTACCAGTTCAAACGCAACAAATCCGAGCCATGCATATCCAATCGATTCCGATGTGTGAGTGACTTGTCAATATCAACCTTGATTTTTTATGTAGTTCTTCTCGCTTACCATTGCAGGGACGGGGAAGGGCAATAACTATGCCTACCTGGTGACGGACGAGCCAACTAAGCAGTCTGTAATTATTGATCCGGCTAACCCGCCAGAGTGAGTTATTGTTCTCAACATGTATTCGTTGTTTGACATGCGCTGATGAATGCAGAGTAGCACCGGTGTTGAAGAGCCAAATTGAAGATGGCAAGATTGACCTGACAGCTATTGTTAACACTCATCAGTAAGTTCGGCAGTTTTTTCTTTTTCTTTTTTTTTTTTTGAGGATGAGCTGTGTTGACCGCAAAAGCCACTGGGATCACGCTGGCGGCAATAATGAATTGGTGAGCGAGATTCATCTTTCCCTACCGATGACCCGGAAGTAGTGACTAACTGTCTAAGCTCAAAATCTTCGGCAAACTCCCTGTTATCGGGGGTAAGAGCTGTCAATCGGTGACGCAGACTCCAGCGCATGGAGAGACATTCAAGATCGGAGAGCGTATCTCCGTAAAAGCTCTCCATACCCCCTGTCATACTCAAGATAGTATTTGCTATTTCATGCAGGATGGCGAGGAACGTGTCGTTTTCACGGGTGATACCTTGTTCATCGGAGGTATGGGTTTGAAACTACTCGAGAATTCAAACTATGTTAAGTTTGGCTTGATGCTTATATGTTATAGGATGTGGTCGCTTTTTTGAAGGCACCGCCCCCGAAATGCACAAGGCGTTGAACGAGACGCTTGCCTCTTTGCCAGATGATACTAAGGTCTTTGTAAGTTGCATTTCTTGACTATTTCTTTCGGTCGAGTACTAATACAACACCAGCCCGGCCACGAGTATACCAAAGGCAACGTGAAGTTCTGTCTTGCCGTGTCGCAGTCAGAGCCTATCACGAAGCTGGCGGCCTTCGCAGAGCAGAACCAGCAGACTCAGGGCAAGTTCACGATTGGTGATGAGAAGGTATTTCCCAGAAATCAGTTATATTCTGTGTAGCAGCGGCTGACAAGCTATGTTTAGCTCCATAACGTGTTCATGCGCGTCAATGTGGGACCTCTCCTTATTCCTATGCCATCTTGGATTGAAAGCTAATGGTACATCTAGGACCCTGAGATCCAGAAAAAGACCGGAAAGACAGACCCTGTAGAGGTGATGGCAGCTCTGCGGGAGATGAAGAATGCGATGTGAATGCGAGATCGTAGTGTATGTACAAATAGTAGCATGGGTGAGCGTTGGGGGCGACGAATTTGAAAAACATCCGAGCAGCGAACTAGACACTCTTACATGAACAAATAGTACTTGATGCATAAACCAGGCCAGGCCAATATCCGCCAATAGCCTGAACAACAAATCTGCACAACCATGTATCCATGATCCAGCAACATCTCAATCATCGTGACGTCAGGCTGAATCTATATACTATATATCACCAAAACAAACCATCTACATCCAAACAATTGATACTCACACTTTACATCACCACAATACCACACTGCAGGATACATACCACCATCCATATCCCAACCCAAACAAGCTCATATCAAAGATGACTACCCAAAACGACCCCCCCGGCGACCCCAAAACAACCAAATCGCAGATCCTCGAAACCGGCGCTGCAGTTGTCCAAGACTTCACGCCCGTAAAACAAATCTGCGCTCATCTGAACGCGTTCCACGTCTACGCCGACGACCCGACCCGCTGCGTCGAGGCAAACCACTACTGTTCGCATATCACAGAAGGTACAGTACATCCCTACAGCCATACATATACTCACCCCATCCATCATGTATACCGGCGTCATACACTACACTCCCACACTAACAACAAACCTCCTATGATGCTCAAAACTACAGACCTGAGACAATGCCTCCTGTACTCCTCCCCGGACCGCAACGCCAAACTCCTCGGCGTAGAATACATGATAACGCCCCGTCTCTTCTCGACTCTACCCCCGGAGGAAAAGAAACTCTGGCACACCCACGAATACGAAGTCAAGAGCGGTATGCTAGTCATGCCTGCGCCGTCTGGCGTTCCCTCGACCGTATGGGAAACGGCCGAGACGGCCGAGATGAAGGATATATTGCCGTTGTATGGCAAGACGTATCATTTTTGGCAGGTGGACCGTGGGGATCCGGTGCCGTTGGGGGCGCCGGTGCTTATGGGGAGTTTTACAAGGGATGAGGATGTGAAGAGGGTGCATGAGGGGGGGTTGGAAGGGTTGTGTAAGGGTAGGGATGAGAGATTTGGGGTTGATGTTAAACATAAGAGGGATGTTAGAAGCGGAATTGAGAGGCCAGAGGGGTGGGAGATTGATTCTGGTGAGTTTTCCCTTTCCTTTGTATTTTCTTCTCTTCTGGTTTGTTCTGGGGGTTGTGTATGGCTGACATTGGGGTTCTAGAAGCGGATGTTGCGTGGAAGTAGGTTACTGTTTATGATGGTTCCTATCAAAAGTGAAGTTGAGCAGTCATGATTGAAAGAAAAAAAATTGTATTGATTCTATGAAAAGTGTTGTCTCCCGGCATTACCACCCAGCTTCCCATTCCCATAGTTAAATGGGGTCCAAGCCGGGCTATCGTTTAGGGAATCGACCACCGTAGCGGACGAAATGTGTTCATCTTGCTTCACTGTCCACACTCACGCGTTCTGGTGTTTAATTTCGGCAACGGTGAGCTCTAGCAATTTTAGAAGCGATGTATATATATCTGTACGATTGTGATGTGTATCATATCATGCAAGAGGAAGAAACTATAGGGGATTGGCAGCATGAACCAACGACCCTTGATTTCGAATGACCGTCAAGGGAAGAATAAATGCAATCATAAAACACTTATATCCCTCGACCATCCATCAAAACCAAAAAACATGGGCGAATGAAATTGACCCCGAGAAAAAAACCGGGTTTTGTTGTGCGAAAGTCTTGCATGTCAAGAAAGAACAGAAGGAAAAAAAGGCCGAGAAAAAAGTTCCCGCAGTTTTATACCTCTCCCCACGTGACCATCCCGAAGCTCCACCGGAGAATGAGTAGCAAAAGCAAAGCAACCGCCATACATAGTAAATTGGTAATTGAAATCGAACCGGGGGGGCAGATTCAAACCAGAAATGTCCAGCTAGGTAAAATGTCGCGCATACTTCGAGAAACCCTGAGAAGGGCCACGCCCGGTGGGGTGTTCCGTCTTACACTGGATGGCGTGGGACTCTTCTGCGCCTGTACGCTTACCTGGGAGCATCTCATCACGGTACAGCTCAGTGAAGGGCCGTCAATGTACCCCACGTTCAGTCCGCGAGGCGATTACCTGTTAATATCGAGGGTGCATAAATATGGCAGGGGGATTGAGGTCGGCGATGTGGTGCGATTTTATCATCCTACGTTTTTGGGGGTGAATGGGGCGAAGAGGGTCATTGGGATGCCTGGGGATTTTGTCTGTCGGGATTTACCGTTTAGTACGGAGGCTGGGAAGAGTCAGGAGATGATTCAGGTTTGTTCTTCATTATATGCCCTTGGGGCGGTGGTACGGCGTGGCTGACAGCTTTTCTGATGTTAGGTGCCTGAGGGTCATGTGTATGTGGGAGGGGATAACCTTCCCTGGTCTAGGGACTCGAGAAACTATGGACCTATACCCATGGGCTTGGTCAATGGGAAGATCATTGCCCGTGTTTGGCCGCTTTCTAAAGCGCAATGGGTCCAGAATACGATGCAGCCGGCTCAGCTCGACGACTAAGTGTATCCTCTACAAGCATGGTTTATGGCGGAGTCTGGAGTTGTGGGATATTTGTGCATATTCATACAGTTTGATTGTACAGTACAGATATAAGGCCAATGATAGAATAACCGGAAAGGGAAATATAGCGGGAAACCATTTACCGGAAGGTAGATGGGTTTCTCCTCTTGTAAGGCAGAGGCTCGACCCTCTTGCGGCGAAGCTCCATGTCCACCTCGGCGTATCCGTTCTCCTTCATGACCTCTGCCATCGTTGAATCCCATTCGGTACGGAACAGGTGCGCTCCGATGGCCTTCAGGTGGTACCTGGCTTGCAGGGTGCGGAGGAGCTTGTTGTCGCGGGTCGTCTCCTTGGCCTTGACGGCAGCGAAATCGAGCGGCTTCGAATCCTTCTGCTCCATAACGAAAACCGACAGACGGTGGTAGGGGCTACCTTTCTGAGCAACAGGAGCCAGCCATGGCAGGACGACCTGCGACTCCGACGAGAGCTTGGACAGATCGACCTTGGTGGAGACAGCCGAGATGGGCACATTGAGAGCCAGATAATGCATTCTGTAGTCGAACCCATCCTTCTCGACATTGGGAACATCGGAATCGACCACGGCGATCGTCACAAGTTTCTCACCTCGCTCGAAGAGCTGCACGTCAAGTTTTGGTGCAGATGTGCTGACGCGGGAGTTGACGAACTCTCCGGGCTGAACGGGCGACCGGCCGAAATAGAGCTTAGTGTCGACGACAGGGTCGCAGTGAGGAAGGACATCAGGGATAACCTTCATCTGCGTGATTCTTTGGACAAGGATCTTGCGGCGGTACTCCCTCCATTTCTTGTCGGCCAGATAACGGTAGATGGGCTTGCTCATATCGCCTGCAATCAACTTTGGTTAGGATCAGACGTAGATGTGCGATATCTCAACAAGGGAATCCTCACCCTGTCCGTCTTCAAACTTCTTCTTCACCAATGGGTCATTAATGTCTGCAAGTATCTTCAGGCGTTCAAGATGGAGCTCCATGGCTACCAGTCGCGACTTCTTCACTTGCTCGCCTCCCGCTTCTTCCGTAGGGACAGCCTGAAGCCTGGCGATCTTCTCCCTCATGGACACGATTTCTTTGAGTTTCTCCTCCCGATCCGCAAGGAGAACCTTCCGTGCCTCCTGGAAACATTGGTAGGGCAGTTGCTCGAAGGGAACATTTGGTGAGCTTTGCAAAGCTGCGCGACGTCTGCGAGATCCAATGGGCGAAACACCCTGTCGTAATAATCTTCGTTCCAGTCGAGGACTCGATACAAGCGCTGGGTCGGGCGCTTTGTAGAAAGGTTGGCTCTTAGGTTCAGCCTGAGCTTCCTCGCGAGCAAGAGCGGTAGTTTGGAAGGCCCGGGTTGACTGCACCTGAAGGGTCGGAAGGGCTCTAGGGTAGGACTTCTGAAGGCATTGGAGCAAAGGCTTTGCTGCCCGCTCGCAATGGGCCATTTTGACGGAGACGATTGGGTGTAAAAGGGTGTAAGGAAAGAAGGCGAGGTGGTTCTCGTACAGTCGTCGGGGAGAGTAGGTGTTCCTTGCCGGACGGAACTTTTTTCGTTGTCGGAGCCAAGCCTCAGCGGGTTAGCGCCTCCCGTCTGAACTTTTGCTTCATCGCCCATTTGGCAACCCCATTCTCTCCCCCCCCCCAATCACGACATTCCTCAGGGAGCTTTGCTGACAGCACAATGCCTGGAGGTGACGCTCTTCGTGCTTTAAGATGGCTCTCCCGGAGCACTGGTGGGTTGCTCTCCGGGTCTGAGACCACTACAGTATGTGCTGTTGTTCTCTTTACGTTCCCGGTTTCGTTTCAGTTATTATAACGTCAACTCTAACAATTATGATCACCTTCCACAGCAACGATGTCTTACGAAGTCCTTTTCACGGTCAATGGCTACAGAATCTCAGGCAACTACCGAACACCTCACCCGGGAAGCCCCCCAAACCGTATGGACTACGGAGCCTGCGCGGGCGACCACCTACTCCTTCCCTTCGATGGAACCATTGCGCTTTGTTGAATACTCTCGGAACCATCTTTTGATGCCCCTGCGGAAGGATATTTTACATCGGGCCGTCATCTACGAAGGTGACATGACTAGACAAGGTTCGGCGAACACCAAGTGGAGGGACGATGTGCACGGAAGTGGCAGGAAACTGCATGCGCAGAAAGGTACCGGCAAAGCACGTGTTGGCGACAAGAAGTCTCCCATCCGTAAAGGAGGTGGTGTTGCACACGGTCCTCACCCTCGAGACTTCTCCACGAGCCTTCCTCAGAAGATCTACGACCAGGCATGGCGGATAGCTCTCAGCTATCGGTATCGACGCGGCCAGTTGATCATTATCGACAATGACATCTCGATCCCGGAAGACGCTACTCCGTACTTGATTAAAGAAATCTTCAAGGTTAACAACTGGGGTCGCGAGTTTGGACGGTCGACCCTGATTACGGATCAGCCAGATGAGGGTCTTTTTGCTACGGTGCGTGAGGTGGGCGAACACGCGAAGATTCTGGACCGCAAGGATGTGGATGTCAAGGACCTCTTGGAAACGGGACGTTTGATTATCGAGAAGCAGGCGCTGGACCGTATCCTGGCCAATCACTCGAGGGACTTGGCTGCTAAGCCTGCGAAGGCTCTGTATTGATTTGTCGACGGGCGAATGGATGTTACTTTTTGGGCTTTGAGGAACTGTTATCTGTACAAATAGAATCTAACAATGTATGATCGTCACTTGTAATTTGACCTGAAGAAGCAGACAGGCTTCGTTTCTCGTGTCGTTTTGATCGTGTGATATGGATATGCATAGGGAATGAGTACTCCTACAACCTATAGTTGGAAAAAGATCCAGTCCGCTCTTGAATTAGTACCGATTGAGAGAATTAATAATTTACAAAGTATATTTGGACCAAGAGAACCCCTCAAAAATGGATCTGTGGAGGTAAATGGACCGGCTATCAGCTGTTTACAGGACGCTCGGCTGCTCCAGTCGGCGAGGAAAATCGTCCGCCGCGAAAAACTCCGAGGTCAAGCGAAGCGGAGATCGTCTTTAACCGTGAGCTTCTCTGATACTACTAATACACCCCCTCTCTTCGCCATTTTTCTGTTTCCCCTTCGTTTCCGACAGGCTAAGGTCTGCCTAATGTTGCTCCGACACAATATCTCCCGGTTATCAACACCGTCGAGCTGGATCTCGCGGGTTTCACCAGCAACCATGCCTCTCCGCGCCAAAGTGACAAACCCAGCTTTCAAAGCTGCCACAGTATGGATCTGAACCTTCCTTTATTGCTTAATACATCGATTGCTAACGATTGTCACGATAGATGTCGACTTCAACGAACCTTCCCAAAGAGTTGCCCGGCGATGAGCCCGATGATGTTTTGTTCAACTCTTTGTACGGAGTGCGCTTGGTCGAGCTTAACCGCCCTAAGAAGCTCAATTCCCTCAACGGTTCAATGGCTCGGAAGATCCTCCCTCGGCTGAAGGTTAGCTACATTGGCGAAAGGGTATACAAATGTTATGGTTGCTAAGCGTTGAATAGGAGTGGGAAAAGTCCCAGCTGGCAAATGTTGTCATGGTTGCTGGCGCAGGCTCAAAGGCTCTCTGCGCTGGCGGAGACGTTGCTGCACTTGCTCTGCAGAATGAACAAGGCCCCGAGGGACAGCAGAAATCAACCGACTTCTTCGGTCTGGAATACCAGCTCGATCACACCATCGCAACCTACTCTAAGCCCTTCATCTCCGTCATGGACGGTATCACCATGGGAGGTGGTGTCGGTCTCAGTGTTCACGCCCCCTTCCGTATCGCAACTGAACGCACTGTCTTCGCCATGCCCGAGACCACCATCGGATTCTTCCCGGATGTTGGCGGCTCTTTCTTCCTGCCCCGTCTTGACGGCGAAATCGGAACCTACCTCGCCCTCACTTCGGAGCGTCTGACCGGCGTCCAGGCTCTCTATGCCGGTATTGCCACACACTACTTCCACTCCAGCGTGCTGAGCAACCTCACCAACCGTCTGGCCGAGCTGGTCTTCCAGGATCAGGCTACTGTCAAAGAACGTATGGACTTGGTGAACAACACTATGGCTGAATTCTCCACCGGTCTCCCGTCGCTGGCGGAGGAGCCAATGCTTCTTGCTGGTGGCCTGCGCAGCGCCATTGACCGATGCTTCAAGTACAACACCGTGGAAGAAATCTTCCAGGCGCTGGAGAAGGAAACAGAGCAGAAGGAATGGGCGCAAAAGACCCTGGAGACTCTATCCATTCGCTCCCCCACCTCGCTCAGGGTCACCCTGCGCCAGATGCGTCTGGGTAAGAAGTGGTCCATCTCCGAGACCTTCCAGCGTGAACATCATATCGCCGGCAAGTTCATGAAGCATCCAGATTTCGTTGAGGGTGTCAAGGCCCGTCTCATGTCGAAGCCTCCCCGCCAGGCCTCCTGGCAGCCCGCTACCCTCCAGGAAGTCTCCCAGGCGGATGTGGATGCTTTCTTTGAGATCCCCAAGGAGGAGTCTCGCCTGCCACTCCTCAGTGAGACCACTTACAGTGAATATCCTCACGCCCACTATGGCCTTCCCACAGAGAACGACATTGCCAAGTTTGTGCGCGATAACACAGAGACCCAGCAGCAGACGGTCAACGACTTTGTTCAGAAATGGGGCAACAAGGAGGGTGTCCGGGAGAAGGTTGCGGAGGTGTTGGCCAGACGGACTGTTCAGACTCCCGAGGGTCTGCGCTGGGAATAGATAACGGAAGAAAAGTAGTAAACGGCGATTTTTCAATTCCTCTGTACTTTTGATTGTCAGGTTTTTACAATGGGTATAATTTTATTGATATGTATTTCATAAATCTACAGGAGCTAGACGGTACAAATCAGATCTGTCTTTGAGCGTACATTCATTGACCCTTGAATTCCATCCATAGTAATTGATCCGTGCGGGATGTGTGTACTCCGTAGGTAAGAATGACAACTAGAAGTATCTCATGGTATTAAAGCAGGGGCTATATAGATCATATATACCTGTATATACCGAAGGACCAAGAGTGTATCGGTTGACTATTGTTGGGTGAGAAAGATGGTTCATAATCTAATCAGATAACGAATTGATTTATGGCTAATTATCGGTAAATTAAATTAAATGCGCTTCGGTCCGGGATTCACATCGTCATTCCACCGCTCGTTCGGTGTATTTCATCTTCCAACAACCATCGCCATAGACTCTGTGACTCAAGCTCTAGATGTAGCGAGTCAAGAATAAGTTAGAAGAAAAAAAAAAGAAAAAAAGGGAAGGAGGTAGAGAAAGAAAAGAAGGACCTCTCGTGAATAGATTCGCCATCTCTGAAGATACAACCTCATGTCTCGCGGGGACTCGACAGATGAGGCGGAGCCATTCCTGCCATCATCATCTTCATCCGAGTCTATCGAGACTCCAATACGTGCTTCAAAGCCAGTGCTGATCAGATTATACATCTCACATAGCTTGTCGACATGGAATTCGCGCATGTTTGAGTTCGGATCGGTCTTGTTCCTGGCCTCGATCTTCCCAGGCACTTTGCTGTACGCTTCCGTCTATGCACTGGTGCGCTCTTTATCTGCAGTACTACTATCGTCCTGCTTGGGCTCAGTGGTAGATCGGTCGAACCGATTGAAGGTGATCCGACAGTCCATTAGTATGCTCTGTCTATCCTCTATTCCGCTTTAGCTATGAGATCCCGTATTTAACCAGAGTCCAGTATGGCAACGACTTCCCGTGGCGTTATCTTGTGCGTGCTTTGCTGCGCTTCTGACCCCATTAGAGCCGTCATACATCTCTCCGCTTCTATTCGCCGTAGTCAATCTGCTTGCGTGCTTCGAAAAACTGGCATTTACAGCCAACACTGTGGCGGTGGAAAGAGATTGGGTGAGTTCCTTTCCACTCTTTAGGACAAGCTAAATATTCTAATTCTAAAAAGGCAATTATTGTATCAGATGCTTTACAAATTCCAAGACAAGGTGAGATAATCTTCTGCGGTAGCCCGTATTAGTGAACTGACGTTTAGTCAGACTTGAATGCATCCATGAGACGGATAGATCTCTTCTGCAAGCTTCTCGCTCCTGTGGTTATCTCATTAATAGATAGCTTTTCTACTCGGGTTGCGATATGGACGACCTTGGGCATAAATGCCTCATGCATTCTGGTAGAATATTTCGCAATTGCCCAGGTACCTTCCCATTACTCATTCTAACTCGGTCGCAATCACTCACGAAAAACATAGGTATATAAATCAGTGCCAGAGCTGGTCCGAAACCAGGGAACCGATGAGAATCAAAATGAAGGAGAAGAAGCAACCTCCAATGGTCAAATCGCTCAACGCAGCATAGCTCACGGCACGGTGCAGTACGCTAGAAGTACAGTTGCCCCATGGCGCGAATATGTCTCAAGTCCTCTCTTTCTGGCGTCATTTGCCCTTAGCTTACTTTATCTTACTGTCCTTTCATTTGGAACTACGATGGTCACCTATTTACTTCACACCGGATTTAACTCTCTGCAAGTTAGTGGCATGAGGATTGGTGCCGTGATCGCAGAACTGTCGGGGACATGGGCAGCTCCATTCATCATGAATAAAATCGGACCCATTCGATCTGGGTTGTGGTTCCTGAATTGGCAGTTTACCTGCTTAGCCGCTGCGGTTGCTGCCTTTGCGTTCTTCGACAACAATTCCCAACTCGTTGCGGCGAGTCTCATTGTGGGCGTTGCTCTAAGTCGAATTGGACTTTGGGGATTTGATTTATCGGTGCAGTTTCTCGTCCAGGAGGTAAGTAACGGCCCTAAAGAATCCTAGCCTCTCTGCTGACAGTTTCAGGGCGTTGATGAACATGCGCGCGCCCGCTTTTCGTCTACGGAAATGGCACTGCAGAATATCTTCGAACTATTCTCGTTTGCAACGACCATCGCCTTCCCTCTCCCGGAGCAGTTCAAGTATCCGGTGTATATCAGTTACGGGGCAATTGCAATGGCAGCAATATGCTTCGCAGCCTACGTCCGGAAGGAGAGAGGGCATTTGCTGCATACGGCCAAGTGCTTTGGAGGTGATAAATTGCGATTTTCTGGTCGGGAGTTGCCCTCTAGGGACATATGATGTGATGATAAATCACCCATAGGGTAAACACAGAACAAAAACATGGAAGATTCAATACATGAGAAGGAATTAGCAATCCTAATTTTATTCTGTTATTTTATATCTCATTTGTGTTCGTTTTTAGTATAGAAATCTATATGACCTGCCAATCACGCCCCTTGCCGAATTGCGGGGAAGTGCCGTCTATCTTTAGTCTCTTGAAACTAATCCAACCAACTTCAACTCCTACACGACATCCGTTACACCATGACTACAGAGCACCACAGCCAACTATGGAGGTGGATCCCCCGCAAGATGCTTCACAAACCCATAGCTAATGAAGACCAGGTTCCGAAAGCACGGGGAACAGGCCGATCAGGTCCCCGCCGCCGTACCGGCTGTTTGACGTGCCGCGCACGTAAAGTCCGCTGCGACGAGGCCAAACCAACCTGTGCCAATTGTACTCGACTACGGCTGCAATGCATCTACAAAACTATTGTTCCAGGAGCTACATCCCGACGAAATATCCAGAGGATTCCCCAAGTTCTTCCGCAGGCTTTCACTATCGACCCGGCCTCCACTCATGTTCCAGATCGTCTGGATGTCAACTACTTTGACACAGTTCTGCAGCCTCGTGAGCTGCGTCCTCGTCGGGCATCGCATATCTTGCCTCACCAGGTGGCAGACCATACCCTGCCCCCAACGTCGGTTTCAGTTCCTGATTTTCCGAGTTTTGATATGCTCAGCTTCATTGGGGAGATTACGTCGGATTTCGAACAGAAACATCTCGACTTGACGAATGGTGTGTCTGCATTCACTCTTACCAGTGAAGCGCTATCTCCAACGACGCCGGGGCATGTTGGAGGTAGCAACCAGATAGTGCAACAACCGACGTGGACTGTTGATACATCCGCCGAGACACTTCCTAGCCCTTCCGACAGTCAATCGGATGGGGTACAAAATGTACTCTCAGGTGATAGAAATATATGGCCTGAGACGCGGCAAACTTACGAAGAACGGCTACTGTCTCATTTTGCGGAGATAGACCCGCCGCCAACAACATTTGGGTCTATTGCCCTAGAATGGAATTATGTACGCAGCGTTATTGTCTCGCATTCAGGAGATACTAGCTGCTTGTTAAATGCATTGTATTGTTACTCCGATATACATAAGTCGATGGGAGAAGGCAAACGGTGGAGAGCGGCCCCGATGTATCATCGACAGGCGAGCTCGGAGATTCAGTCTTGTGTCACTGAGAGTATGGATGATTCGCTACTGAAGCGGGCATTGACGGCGGTTTTCCTGCTTATGCTATCAGAGGTATGTAGGTGTTTCCTAGCATGTGTATTGAGCTAAACATGTATAGATAGTATCACTGCCAGACCTAGGGGACTCTAGTACGTCCTTTCTTCATTCAGCGTACTTGCTGCTACAGCGCTTCCACCACCGAACCAAGTTATGGACCGGGTTTGGCCATTTGATAGTTTCATGGGTCTCTCTGCTGGACGTTAGAGCACTAATTGCTGGCCGTGATGGGGACCCGCTTGTTGAGCTAGGGATGCTGGATCAAATCGGCACTGCTGAGATGGATCAAAGACCAGAGGATGAGCTTCTCTCGCAACCGGGCTATCTCATACACAATGCCATTGTTGGCCCCGCATATTCCTTCCTATTCAAGGCGCAACAAGTAATCCGCCGTATTATTTGCCTCGACATGCATCACCGCAGGCGCGGGACAGTCAGCGATGAGTTCGAAGTCCTTCAGGTTGCGCACCAGATCGGTGCCGACCTAGAAGCCCTCTGGAACAGACGACCACGAGTACTAGACGTTTATGACAAGCCAGAAGAACTATATAACACCCTTCAACCAGCCGTGGCAGACGAAGTCTGCCGCACGTTTCGCCAGTATATAGCCAATTTCCTGGCCATCTTCATATATCTCCACCGAGTGGCTTTTGTGATCTACCCGCGGACAGACCGGGTGCATCGCGCGGTGGACCAGATCATCCAGCTGGCCACGGTGGAGTCTAGCAGTGAGAAACATCGCCTGTCGATCAGCTTTACCTGGCCGCTATTTGTGGCCGGGTTGGAAGGCTCACTAGAGCAACGAGGGTGGATTATACAGGAAATGCAGCGCATGGCCGACTTGCCCAGTGATCACAGCCCCGTAGCACAGCGACATCCCAATGCGAAGAAGATCCTGCAGCTACTTGAGGAGATGACAAAGCGCCAGGATGCGTCTCGAACGTGGGCAGATTCACGCCTTGTACGGCGAGAGCTCTTCGTAGACCCCTTCGTACTCATATAACGTGAAATCGTGACGTGAAGCTCAACAACTGAATCATATACAATACCCATTAATCATGACACTCGTACAGAGATATACATCAACAAATCTACAGTTAAAACTGCTTAACAACTCTCTGGAACCTAGGCGGGCTTCTCATGAACTTGTCAGGCTCATCTCTGGCCCCTTTCTTCCAATAATCATACTCCATCCATGCATTCTCTGGCATCTGCGCCTCCGTTGCCTCCAGGAAATCTCCCAAGTCTGGATTCAGCGGAATCACTCCGGTCTCAATAACATATTGGTCCCACAACTTCAGCAACTGCTTCAACCGATCGGGATGTTGGTCGGCCAAATCATGAATCTCCCCAGGATCGCCGGCGAGATTGTACAACTGCCACCGTTCGGGGCCCTTCGGCTTAGGGATATAGACGATCTTCCAGTCCCCGAAGCGCAGCGCCGCTCTCCCGCAAGTCTCCCAACCCTGGATAAACTCTTGCTCATGAATCCGAGGCGCATCACCACTCGCCCACGGGTAAAAGCTGCGACCACGCATAGAGACAACCTCACGACCCTTATACGAAGGTGCCGGGTGCGTCGCACCCGCCATCTGCAAGATAGACGGAGCTAGATCCATAACCGTCGCAAACTGATCCGTTATACTTCCATTGCGCACATGATCTCCCACAGAAACAGACGACGGGAACCGAGCTAAGAATGGCACTCGGACACCACCTTCCGTGGTAAACGCTTTGTATAATCGACTCGGCGCAGTAGCAGCCTGGGCCCAACGGGGCCCGTACCAGATGAAAGAGTTGCCATTACCGAGATTCTCGAGTGAGTTATCATAGTATTTTTGGAGATGGGGCATGACACCGCTCTGTACCATGGGGTAGGCTTCGTAGGCAGCGCCCTCAGCACCGTTGTCGGACATGAAGCAGACGAAGGTGTTGTCCAACTCGCCGATGGAAGCGAGATAATCCACTACTTTGCCTACATTGGCATCGATGCACTCCACCATTCCAGCGAAGACTTCCATGGCGGTGCAGGAGAGCTTTTTTTCTTCTGGTGTGAATTCGGACCAGGGCTTGACTTCGTCTGCGACGACGGGGTGAGCTTCTACGTCTGAGCGGATCATGCCTAGCTCTTTGAGACGCTGGAGACGTTTCTGACGAAGCGCTTCCGGACCGTCGTCGTAGACACCGCGGTAGTGGTCGATATACTCGCGAGGGGCTTGAAGGGGCCAATGTGGAGCTGTGAAGGGGAGATAGGCGAAAAAAGGACGCTCATCAGAGCGGTCGTGCCATTCACGGATGTACTGGAGCATTTTGTCGCCATATCCATCGGATGAGTACCAGCCCTCCGGCAGTTTCTTGACATACTTGTCGTCTTCCATGTGCAGGGCGATGTAACTAGCTTCCAGGAAAGTGGGTGTCTCGTCCGTGCCCTGTAGCTGGGGCTCATAAGCGTAGTGATTTGAGCAAGCAGGGAGATGGGCTAGAGAGCGATCAAAGCCGCGGTGAAATGGCGAACGCTCGGGCGTCAGGCCCAAATGCCATTTCCCTGACATGAGGGTGTGGTAACCTGCGTCACGAAGGACCTCGGGGAGTGCCACAACGCGCTCATTGAGATACCCCTCGTAGCCTGGCATGCCGCGCTGGGGAGCGGTGCTCATTGCGGAGCCTTTGGGGCCGTTCTGGCCGGAGATGTTGGTCCATTCGATGAGGTTGCCCAGGCCGGCGATGTGGTGGTCTGTGCCGGTCATGATCATGGCGCGGGTGGGACTATATCTTGGTCAACTCGGTTCTCCTAGAGGCAATATTGGTGTCAAGAGAGGGGACCCACGAGCACGCAGCCGCAGCATGGAAGTCAGTAAACCGCACACCCTGTTTCGCGATGCGATCGAGATTCGGCGTGCGGATCTCGCCGCCAAAGCAGCCTATATCCGAGAAGCCCAGGTCATCGGCGACGACAACGAGGAAGTTAGGGCGCTTGGGAGCCATGATGTCTGTTGATACTACATAGAATGTAATCTAAAGAGGAACGAGATCGCATCTCAGTCAGAAACGCAGAGCGCGCTTTATTTATTACTTCTATCTACCACTATGTATGCTGATTGTATCCGATCGTCTGTCGGCTGTCGGCTCTTGCGAAACGTCTGACCCCCAGGGGTATGGATGTTATCTGGGGTAAAAGCAAGCTGAATGGAGGGCTTGAAAGCCACCTCCAGTGAGGTCCTCAGATGGAAGGAATATCATTTCCTGGTTGATATGGCGCCATTAGGGCTGTTCGTTGCGTATCGGCTGTCGGCTGTTTGTCGCTTTTGGGCGTCATCAGCTGACGTCAGCTGCTTTCCCTTTTGGGTAGTCAGTGTACGTACTTCGCTTGTTCCTCTTTTCCTATACAAGGGGATGCATCTCATTTTTCAGGAGAAATACCGAAGGCGAAATGGAATAATATGAGGTCCTACGCACAGATCCCGCAATGGGATCATACCGATTCCACCACAGTGCAACCTGAGCTCCTATCGCGACAAGGAGTATTCCGCATATACTGGCTCACGGCCATTGTCTGTTGCGGTGGCATACTTTTCGGATATGACTCGGGCGTCATCGGTTGGTTTTAACATGGCGTGCATTCCAGATCTATCTAATCATCCACAGGGGGTGTCCTCACCTTCGACTCATTTCTCCGCGATTTTCATTGCACCCCTGAGGTCCAAACCCGCGTGAGTGCTATCGCGGTGGGCATCCAACAGGCCGGCGCCCTGGCTGGCTGTCTGGCAATATGGCCTATCACCAACCACCACGGTCGTCGACGGGCTATGATGTACTGCTCGGCCATCTTCTGTCTGGGAGTCATCTTTGAGGTCATCAACTCGCACTCTCTGCCAGTCTTCTACCTTGGCCGTGTCATTTGCGGACTCGGGATCGGGGGATCCGCTACGGTGATCCCCATCTACCTCTCTGAAATGAGCCCTACGGACATGCGCGCCCGCTTAGGTAGTTGCTACCAGTTCACGTTCACCGTAGGCATCCTCGTCTCGTACTGGATCGACTATGGAATCCAATTCCGCCCCCCTACCGCCGCCCAGTGGCAAATCCCACTAGCCCTACAGCTCGTCCCCGGCGCCCTAATGGGCCTTGGCATGCTAAATCTTGACGAAAGCGTTCGCTGGCTCCTCAGCCAAGGAGACTCTCACCGCGCCTGGACCAGTCTAACCTGGATCCGAGCATCCTCCGGGCCCGCCGTCGCGGCCGAATTCGCCCAAATCAAAGAGGGTATCGAAGCCGACCGCCACGCCACTGCAGACTTCCATGTACGCGAACTAATGGAAAAACCCAATGCGCGTCGTTTCCTGCTAGGAATCAGCCTCTTCCTCGCGCAGCAATCCACCGGTGCCACGGCAATGGCCTACTTCGGCCCGCAGTTCTTCTCTCTGTTGGTGGGGGGCGGTGGCACAAACCATTCCCTCACATTACTCTTAACGGGGATATTCGGCGCCCTGAAAGTAATCAGCTGTCTTGCGTTCATAATCTGGATCGCCGAACGTTTCGGCCGAAGACCCCTGCTTATCCTCGGCGCTCTGGCCATGTCCCTCTGCATGGTCTCCACTGCCTTTGTCGTCAGATCTGACCCATCCCCTACCCCAACCCACACAACCGGCAATGGCGTCAAGTCCACAGGAATATTAACAATCGCCCTAATCTACCTAGACATCATAGCCTACAACTTCTCCTGGGGTCCCCTCCCGTGGCCCTGCACGGCGGAGCTCTTCAACACCCGCATCCGCGAACCGGGCGTTGCCGCCGGCGTCGCGGCCCAATGGCTCGGTAATTTCGTTTGGTCGGCAAGTACGCCGTATATCCTGGGGGGAATAGGATGGGCAACGTTTTTGTTATTTGGGGCGCTTGATTTAGTCATTGCAGGGTTTGTGTGGGGTTGTTTGCCTGAGACCGGGGGGAGGAGTTTGGAGGAGATTGAGGCGTTGTTTGAGCAGACTGTACCAGATGAGGAAGCTGAGGCTTGTTTGGGGAAGGGAAGTGATGATGGGTCTTCTTCTCTTTCTCTTTCTCTTTCCTCTTCTTCCTCTAGACATGGGAATAGAGAGGGTGGTGAGAGGTACGGGTCTATCGGAGAATGATTCCACAGTATACAATACGCATTAGATCACCGATACTGAATATCAATTTAAACATCGTCATCTTGCATTAGCATCTAACAATAGTACTATCTAAAAAGACCCAAAACTAGACCTCCATAACCCATCAGATCCACCAGAATCTAGACCCATCCAAACCAAAAAGATCCACGCACCAATGAAACCCCTCAATTCCTAACCCCAACGCCACCAAGATAAACAAAACACACAAACAGAAGAAAAAAAACCCAAAAATCAGCCCATCTCGCCTATTCATGATCTACAATGAATCAATCAATGGCAGCAGAATTCTAGCTCAGCTCAGCCCCAACTACGGAGTACGTAAACGGTAAACCAAGCCCCTACTGAATCAAAAGAGAAGCCCCACACCAAACACCGCCAAATCCCGCTCGTAACCTATGAAGTCATAGAGATCCTGATTGATAATGTGTACCTACCTAGAATGATAATAGGTGACGTGACGTAGTTGCTAATTCTCTGGACGTAAGATCTCTTCCAGATCGGAGTACCATAAGGAGTAGTACATGCGTGTTGACATAGTGGAGTTACAATGGGAATAACGATCTACAGAGGATATCCGCATGCATGTCAAAGTAAGTAAGACAGAGACTATACTATCCTATACTAGTTAGACAGTGGGATCTCGGACCAATGGATACATACCCACCTGGATCAATTCTCCGGTGAGATTAGCCCTATCTCTCTTATCTTTCTATCTACCTCGAAAAAAAGTATCTATGCATCTGTCTATCTGTACAATAGCTAGTCAACTACAGGCTACTACCGAAGTAAGACTCATTATGGGTCTTTCCACTACACAGGAGATACTCTTCCATCCTATAATGATGATCTTACCGAGTAAATAGTATATTGTATTTGTTATATCCTACCACCTCTATTTAGTGATAAACTACTGCTGCTAAGAATGGAATGGCTACTATGCCATAACTCATAGCATTGAGAGTTGAGAATTATGCCATTCATTGATTGACACTCTTATTTCCATATCTATTCCTATATCTATTGTTTCTCTGATAATAGAAGGAGTATACTGCATGGAAAATACTAAAAGGGAATCATAGATATTCCTTACCTACTACATCTCTATGCCTATACTATATACTATACATAGTAACATTTATACTCAAGACTCATCCCCAACACACCAACCACCATGGGCACAATAATTTCCCCCCCCCACCCAAAAAAAAACCCCCAAACCACCCCCTCTCCCCCCAGCAGTAACTAATACCTAATACCTAGGACATACTAAGTACCTATAAAATTTTCAGTAAAACCAAGTCAACCCTAATTTTGCCCTTTGTCATCTGCCCTTTGGAAAAGGAAAAGCTTGATGTGACTAACTGACGTAAAAATTGACGTTATGCAACTCACTAGAACAGGGACGCCTAACTTTACAGAGTACCTTCGATAACGCGAAAAAGAGAAGCGGATAAAGACCGCTTGATAGGAGGAAAGATATCCGCCAATGGAACAAAAAAAAAAAAGGGAAAGTTTAGCAAATGTTCATGGTACAGTTCAGCCCTCTCAGGGATTTAATTTTATTTCAACGATGGTTCACGGGTCACCAGTTACAGGCATCCGGAGATAGAATCCGTTCCTGCCCCTAATTGCCATCATCAAAAGGATTTGCAGGTCTGATGTAATATGTGGCCCGATCGATCATAGCCTGGGGGAAAAGTCTATGCAGATCCAGAGCTTATTATTATTTGTGGCGAGGGAAATGCTTTACTCTAAGTATGGCACGGTCTACGAAAGATCATGCAATTTGCCAGGCATTTTCCATTTTTGCTACACCTTAAGGTATTATTACACCTGATCGTAATATCAATGCCCCTCGAGGCCAACGAGTGACCAACCAGATGCCCCAGAGCAATGCAAGGCCGGTACATCGACCTCCAACATCTATTAATACAGCCAGCCAGTAATAAGCAACTCCCCTAGAGTAATCCACCCAGGCCCTGAATCGTAAGAACCGCCTGTATCCCATTAAAACTCCAAACGCCAGAGCTCATCGTAAGTAAAGCAGCAAACTCGGTCAGACTCGTAACATTTGGGACATCTCATTTCGTGTGTGGGAACCGGGCATTATGCAAGTCGCTTTTATCGGACAACATTACCGAGATGCAGGGAGAAAAGAGCGATATAGTAAGCAATATCGAAAAAAAAAAAAAAAAAAAAAGAAAAAAGAAAAAGTAGGGAAACAAAAAAAAAGGGAAAATAAGGCTTAGTGACGTGACCCGTTAAACATTGATCAACTCATCGAAACTGTCATCTGTGGAGAATGCGTAGGACGACTCGGTCATAATGGACTGCTCTGAGTCTCGTCGCTGATCCAACGGCGATCCTATTTCCGAGGGCAGCTGCATGGGACCGTCAAATCCGAATGACAGCCCGTGAGGAGTGGACGCCGTGTTCTGTTCAGGGGATCGCATGGGAGAAACCAGGTCGCGGTTGGGGGTGTCCTTGGAGGTGATCATCCGGACCATCTGAGCGAGATGGAGCTTGATGGCCTCATCCCCACATTGCGCATGCCGTAGCATCTCGTTCTTGAGGTTGAGCACTTCGCAGCGCAGGTGCTCGATCTCGGTCTCAAGCTCGCCTTTCCTGCTGGATACCTCGCGGAACCGGGTCTCCAGGAGCTTCGTGTGCTCCTTTTTCTTCTGTCGACACTTGCTGGCCGCCAACCGGTTCCGTTCCAGGAACTTTTCCCGCTTCTCACGCTCTTGCTGTTGCTCCCCCTGATCGACGGCCGAAGCTTTGCGACGTCGGGTACTGACGCTGTAACCATCTAGCTGCGATTGTTCACTGAGACTGCTGCGGTGTTTCGGGGGGGTAAACTCGGGCGGTGAGCTGTTGAAGGCATATTGTGCCAAAGGGTACATCTCCCCCATAGGGGGCTGCAGTTTCTTGTCATCAAAGGGAGGCGGCGTGGGTTGTCCGTTGCGGACGTGAGTATTCCTAAGGCCCCTCTCCATGTTGGGGTTGCAAAAAGCCTGTTGGTCCATCTTGCCTTGCCACGAGGCCATGGACGGCGCGATGGTGTCAAAACCCCAGATCGGTTCTTCTTCTGGGAGCGAGAAAGCCATCAAGTCGGGCTGTGAGAAAGCGCCTGCCGTGGTGAAGGTAGCTGGGCCGGCACAGGAGGGATCTGCCATCGCTGCTGGATCGCGGCTATAAAGGGTTTGTTCCACCGACATAACTGGTATTTGGCGGTGGGACGAAGAGACGAAGAATACAGATGAACGCCCAAAGGATGGTTGTTGATGTTGATTGGGGAGCGAGAGTTAAGAGGAGCCAGATGACGACAAATATATGTCAGACCTTAGGAATCAGGCAGAGAGAAGGCACAGAAGAGAGAGATTCTCCGACAAGGGACGGGGTAGAGATAGAGAGAGATAGAGAGAGAGATATCGTAGTAAGAATTAGATATGAGAGGGTTCCAGCGAGAGTGTTAAGACCCTCTTCGCCGGCGAGCAGAGGAGTCGTATGATCGAATATCAGGAAAATAGCAGGTGGGAAGTGGTTCAGGTGGTGGCTGAAGGTCTTTGGTAGCGGAGAGGGGAAATGAGTATGTTTTTAAGGCAGGTGCGGGTGGCCGACAGGCAGTGTTACCACGGTTGACACTACGGGAATGGGCAAAAGGCCGAGACGTAGTAGTCTTCTCCCAACAAAGCGAGGGAATAGAAGAAGAAGAAGATGATGATGATTAAAAAGAAGAAAAGACGACGTTGTTCAATCAGAGCGGACGGTAGGAAAATAAATCCGTAGATGAAGAGCCCTCTTTCCAAGGCCGGGTATCAAGGCAGAGGGGACCCACTGGAGCGATAGAAGATTCTCTCTGGAATCGGACCATGTGTCCAGACCTTCCAAGGACGAGAAGGTTAAGGAAGTGCAGAAAGCTTCGAGGCAAGTGGGCCAGCCTGGGTGGAAGTGCAACCGCAACCCTGTGGAACGGATGACGTTGCGAGAAGACACACCCTGGTCAGTGACTCCGTTCAGACTGTGTCCGTCAACGAGATATTCACCACAAGCCAAGGTGTGTTAAAAAAAAAAAAAAAGGTTGGGCGATTCAATTGGAGGGGTTTGTGATACGAGATGGGGAGGAGGAGGCAAAACAGCAATGAAGAATTATGGAGGAATCATGGAAGGAAGAAAAACCAGGTGGATAATGAGGTCCCTATATGGGGAAACACCAAGACGGGCCATGATGGAGGACAGATAAACAAACTGAATTTCTGGAAGGGTTGGATTAATTGAATTGAATTGAATTGAAAGTGAACTGGACTTCCCACATGGAAGAGTTTGAGAAAAGTGGTCAGTCATGTTTGTTTGTTTGATTGACTTGATGTTGTTTTTCTTGTGGAGTCCAAACCCATGATTGGCCGCGGATCACGAGTTGGGGTTGATGACATTCGATGTCCTCAACCTTCTTCTCTTCCCTCCAAGGTCGACTTCAGCTCCTCCCGAACTCTCCGTCCCAGCGATTAAGCAACCTGTCAAACCACTCCCGACAATCCTGATTGGTTAGGCTTCTCATCCCGGACCAGGTCCACGGGGAGGAAAAAGCGCCAATGGGGATTTCCTGGTGGGGTTGTCGTTGACATCATGGATGGCCGAGTGGAGAGCTTGTTCGATACCCTTTCATGAATGAACGAGAAGTTGCTAAAATTTCGAAGATCCTCCGAATGCAATCGAAATTCAAAAGTACTCCCCTCCATCGCCAGGGGATGAAATCATCGAGTGTCCGTTCGACTCGTTCATTGACGACCTGGCAAACTTAATAGACAGGGAAGAAGACCATAGCACCCCGACTGACGGTTGGAACTTCAACTGTGATCGACGATAATCAAACAATAATAATAATAATATTATTACTATATCAAGAATGTGATATCGACTTATGGAGTACATGGAGATAATCGGGGATCGCCGCCCGCTGGGTGGCCAGAGAGCAATCGTGTATCATGATCTCCAAGTCCAAACAAGCACTCCCCAATCAACATGAGGAGAAAAGAGGAGTCAACGTAGAGAAAAGTAGAAATAGAGAAATAATAATAATGTTCATGAAACTTATTATATTCATTGATTACGTTACAAGTCGAAAAAAGTACATTAACTCATGGGTCTTCATTATACGAGTCAGTTACACTCTAAAGCTTTTACTGTACCACTGGAGTCGGACAGCTGGTAACCACTCTCAACGAAACGGAGTTGGTTGTATGGGAGATCAATAGGCCCTTTCATCCTATCTGTAGTCTATCTACCTGCCTGAATTGGTAATTTGGACTGTTATGGATTCTTTCAACAATCCCCGACAAAGGTAAATGGGGTCGGATATGGCAACAGGAGGTATCCGACATGAGATCGATCAATGTGGAGACACATGAGAAAAAGTCTGTACCTTACAGTGAACCTCAGACCACGGAGACTTTTTGTCAATGTACTGAGAGAGGAAGGACCTTTGTGGGATCCCCAGCCGGTTCACGGCTCAGAAAGGGTGCCAACCAAGGTTGAACCAATTCTGTCAGCGTTCAAGTTGGCCAGAGCTCCCTGGCTTCTCTCCCGTCCGTCCAAGAGGTGGGCAGGAAAACCATGGGTCCAACCAGCGAGAAAACAAAATACTGCACACTGAAACCCAGGGTGCAAACGTCACCTTCTCGCCAAGAGTGAAACCCTTTTGGTTCCACAGCACAGATGCTCTTTGTCTTGGAAAGAGGAGACCATCTAGTTGGCGGACTGCGCTTCCCTGATGGAGTCTTCCGCATTCATCTCTGATATACCTGGTCGATAGCGGATAGCTGATACATCCTAAAGAATCTCTCCTCTTCTGTTGTATCCGCACAGGGAAGATTAGAAAAGCAGGTTAGATCGGTATCAGGATGGAGAGAGCTGGAGGTGGAGCTGGTTGGTGCCAAGTGAGATGTATGTACTGTACAGATGTAAGTATGTTACAGGGCATACATATACATACCGTCGTATCCGATTTATCCGTAATTCAATAACCTTTGCCTCAGGACGACCAGAATTGGATTTTGGAGAAGGAAAAATGAAAAATAAAAATAACTATAAAATAAATTATAAAATAAATTAAAAAATAAAAGTCAAAAGTAAAAATAAAAATAGAGGGAAAAAAGAGAGAGAGAGAGAGAAAGACGAAAACCGGATTCAAACAGCAAGGATCTGTAACTTCATTTATTTTGACTCTGCGTCGTAGACCATCGATGTGTGTACGTACGTACTGTACTAAGAGTACTTCTGTATCGAGGGAGATGATATGATATGAGATGCAGAGAGAAAAGTACACTGACTCTTGCTCCAAGTCATTACGAAAACAAGAATGGAAGGATGGAGAACAGAGCGAACTAGTTGTTCCGGATCAGAGGGCCGACGATTCAACGTTGACGGATCGACAGAGCTTACTTGCCTACTCCGCATAAAATGGACCCTCATTTGAATGAGATTGATTGATTGTACTCCGTACTCTGTGTTATCTGCCGACCGAGAGACGCCCGGCCACTCCACCAAGTAACGAACTGCCTTTAGCCAACGTCCCTTACCAATAACAGGTTCCAAGCGGTGCGGTTCCCTCCTTCCGATGCCTCATTGGAGACAAACCGGATATAATCGTTTGGCCTGGACGGCCTAGATTGTGTCAACCACGCCGCATCCTGCATTGGCCATGCTCGCCCGATTCCCCCCCATGAGCCCAGAACCTAATTATCGCTGCTGATAATTATCCGATTGGTGAACCTTGACTCCCGTCGGACGATGATCGTTAATCACTAACACAGCCCCTCAATGTCTTTTTGGTAAAGATACATTCCTTGTGTTATGATTTGCCTACAGGGGGGATACACCAAAAGTTTATAATAGACGAAGAGTAATATTTATTTATTTAATTTTTTTTTCCGTCTTAGAAGAGAAGAAATGGAAGGGGGGCTTGTGACCTTTGGCCCGAAGAAGGTCAAACAAGGACGATGAGATTTCTTTAAGAATTTTCTGAGGATTATCCTGATGAATTTCTTGTCTTGAACTCGTCACCCGCCAATGTGACATTCGGCGTCGGCCAACGACTGCTCCCAACTGAATAACCGGAAGAACGACCCCCGCCGCGCGGCCGATCCTTGATTCTGCCAGATTCGCAACTGTCGATTGATGCTGCACCAACTGCTGATCAACATCGTCATCACCCGCTGATTTTCAATCTCCCGCTCGATGGCCCGGAATGTGTCCTGCCCACCGTTATCCCCATCTGGGGTCAAGAGTGGACCAAGAACATAGCCGAGGCGCTCCAAACTCAACAATTCCAAGGTGAGACCACTTCGGCCAACGTCGCCCCCGAGTTTACCAACTTCACTCGCGCGCTCGGTCTCGTATAGTAGCATCGCACAGAGCCCGAAAAAAGCGCAGATGAGATTCAACTGCATTGGCGTGGTGAGCGCCAGGACCGCGAGACCGATTGCTTGCATCTTCGCGTGGCCTGGGGGAGAGAGACCACCGCCATAGCCGCCATTGCACCCATTGCTCTCCGCGATACGCCCGTAGCAAATGCTGACGAGTATCCGGTACAAGCGCGCCGACCCCAGGATTCCGCCAGGCAGTCCGGCCAGTAGAGCCTTGAACGCCCAGCCAACACTGAGAACCTGTGAAGAGAGTTTAGGGGAAGCGCCATGGCCGAGAATTTTGATCAATTCTACGGGCATTTCTCCACGCCGGACAGTCACCTCAATCCTATCATGCACATTTTCAGCGGACAACACCTGTTTCGCAAAGTAATCGTAGATTCGGGCGGCCATCTTCATGTCACCCGCGTTACAGAACACTTCTGGTGTGGATAACGCTGGTTATTGCGTTAGTAAGTAGACTCCAGAACCACGGCCTGTAGTATATGAATAGGAGATGCCTACCAAAGCATTTCAAATAGGAAATAGTCGCGGCGAAACATGTTGGCAGCCTGAGGGTAGCCGGTGCAAACTCCACTGGAAGGCTCAGAAAGCTATGTCCCCCTAGCCGAGCTAGGCTCTCCAAAGACCTGCCTTTCAGTGCAGACAATTCGCAGGACCGAGAAGAAAAATTGGCAAATGTTTTCATCCGACGCAGCGCTCGTGCATGGGTCACGGCGGGCTGAACTCTCATATGTAGGGTTGACCGCATTACCCGAATCCGACCAATGACCCTATCGCGGCGTCGTGGGGGCTCGTTGTCTTCGATCAGGTTGGGGTTATCGACTGTAGCTCCATGAGAAAAGGTTTATCACATCAAGTGGGCACTCCAAGGGAAAATCTACCTTGGAAAACCGGGCTAAGGCCTTTGCCCGGGTCATATTTGTCCAACTCCAGTGGGTCTAGATGTATTTGAGCGGCAAGCTCATTAAAGGCGACAGCGGCTGTGTGTCGATCGATATGAAACGACCAAGTGCTGCCTCTCGATACGGTTCGAGACGAACTGATGAGTGATAGGTTTTCAGGGTCGCAAAAAGGTTCTTGATTGAAGGGATTTCCGCTCTTTGCAAGCATTCCGGCCATGTAAGCGATCTCGGGATTCATGTCGCCATAATACGAGCTAGCCTGTATCGCGGAGCTGGTAGTGGTCGCCGATGGCTCCAAGAGGGGGTAGCAGCTTGATGCTCGACGACAGGGCTCCACAAACTCATCGAACAGGTTCTGACGCATATTTTCCTTATGGAAGAGGGCAATGGGCGTTAAGGTGCGTTTTGACGGGTGGTGAGACACAGTCACGCTTGTATATTCAGACTTGTGAGAGTGTGTTGTTCTGTCGCTAGCCTTTCTATCCTCAAAAGGCCCTATTTGTTTCCTGTGGTCTTGGAGTAGCCTCTGCCCATTTGCGCTTCGATGGCCTCCAGTATTGTCGCCCACGGTACACATATGGTCGCAGCAATCAAAATTCCCAGCAGCATACTTACCATGGAATCCGGGAGCACTAAATTGAGATTTCGGGCGTCGAGGCTTGCGGGAACGAAGGAGGGTCACGAAGCGTCCAGAGCCTTTGACCAAATGCGGAGAATTGGCACGCGAGTCCAAGGATGTTATTTTGGTGTTATTAGCGCCTATGTTACACAAGAAATCTTTCAGAAAAGGCCCTTGCTCATGCTGCGCCTGTGGGTTGTTCTGAAATAATGGATTAGAGTGAATTTCTCTGGACTGCTCGGCGCAGGCGGGATTTGATCCCGTTCCAATCGACGCATCATGGCCCATATCACTTGGTAAACCTCCATATTGACGGTGTCGAACATCGCTTAACTTCGCATGACCTGCACGAGTCCATTTTCGTGCGCTGCTTTCGGTTGTGGTTGATTTGGAAAAGAGGCCGAAGAGCCCCATTCTACCCCAGATATATCAAGAGTGAGAGGCGCAGCGTGTAATAAGCGAAATCGTAGACCACGCCCGTTGGTAAAATGAAAGTAGGACTATGTACCACGAAGTCGAGTTCGATTAAACTAAAACTTGAAACACAGGAAGAGAGACCATAGCAGCAACTTCCTTCGGCGAATGTATCAGTCGCTCCTTCTGCTCTGGAGTATGCTGAATGCGTACAAAGACCCTGTTCAATATATCAGCCGGTGGAAGGCATTCATTCCAAAAACTAAACGCATCAGCTCTATGAGAGTACATCATCTTACCGTATGAAAGTATACGGCTACAGCTGCACCATACAGTGTCATCAGAACTATAGAAGAGATACAATACATACTCCAACGAAGACAATGGAGGATAGGCTGACGGGCAGAGAGGGACCTTCACAACAATAGCCATACATAAAAGAAAAATCTATTATGGTCAATCCAAACGCCAATGCTGAATACGTGGGCAGAACGTAAACCCGACAAGCTGAGGGCCAACCCAATAGAAATCTAAATCATCATACAATACCTTGTTTCCTTGTGCACTGCAAGTCGAGAGGAGTCCATGCCCCGGTGGGAGACGAGAAGGGCGACTGGAACGTAACCATGTTTCCGTCGAATCCTTAACAATAGACCATGTCACTGACCTTTAAAAAAAGCAGAATCAAACGCCATTACCATGCAATTTTCAATTGTGCACCAGGCACCCTCAGCGCGATGTCTGGATTATATCAAGACGATTCGTCGTTTTCGCCTTCTAGAAGGATATATTGCAGAATATCACTCAATGTGAGAACGCCTTTTAGTCGGAAGTTTTCGTCCACCACTACCAGGCGGTGAACACGAGACTTGCGAATTGTGTCAAAGATAGTATCCAGACCATCATTCAACGAGCATGTATAGATACCAGGGAAATCCTAAGGAGGTCCTACGTCAGCCCTTAGAAAAGAGGAGAGTTTCAACAGCCGAACATACTGGGGATCGCTTTTTCAACGCCTCTCCAACCGTTAGGCTTAAGTCATCGTATACACCACCTTTGATCAATGTGATAACATCAACTGATTCGAAGACGTTGTACACAACACCTGGCAGTAAGTGGTTCTTTTAGTACTTGGATAGAAGTTAGGCTGGGCAAACTCATACCTTCCGAGTTTACAATGGGCACACTCGATATGCTCCGCTCCACAAGGATATGGATTACATCGATAACAGGCGTATCCATTGATGCTGTTGCTACATTTTCATAGCTGCCTAGCAATATCTCCCCCAGGGGTCTGCGCAGCTTCTGTGTCTCACTGACATTGACGGCGACGAACTTCAAGATACGGTACTGTGTAACTACACTCAGGACATGTGATCGGTCCGTTTGACTGTCATTAGTAACCAAAGGAATTCGTCGAGCCCGAGAGTCAAGCATGCGCCGACAGGCTTCATAGAGAGGCCTTTCCGGATCGATAGAAATAGTCTCCGGCGGAGCAACCCCTAAAGCCTTTTCTACCTCTATATTTGTAGCTCATTATCAGTACCGGTCCAAGGGTATATTAAATTGCGGGGAGGGGTGAGTGGCGTACCTCGGAGGCTGTCCAGTCGGAATTGATCTATTTCACCCAAAGCTGCCGGGTTCTGAAAATAGTATTGAATGACATTGATATAATCGGAGGTGGTGAGAAGGCCCGCGAAAGTCGAGGTTTTAGAGTCCCATAATGGGGCTGACACGATGCCTGTTGATTGAGCAATGTGAGACCTCGTCAGTACATCTTCCTCCCTGAACATCTAATAGCCTGTTTGCGACGTCGCACCCTTTCGCGGAAGAAATACGGGCAGGGGACACGGCGCACCACACTATTCACCAAACAAGGGAAGTACATGCCATTTTGGATTAAGATATTCAAACTCTCTTTCACTGACAAAGAGGTGTCGAAGATGATAAGCCGAAAGCTGAGCGGAAGGACATCGTAACTGTTACGGACTTTGAGGAAGTTGCGAATGGCACGCTACAGACAGATATGATCGATAGGGAGAGTTATTAGCCAAAGTCTCCAACTATATTTACTGAGCATGCTCGGAAAGGAGGGTATAGGCGAATGAATGGTAGGGAATCGCAGCTCGTGCTCGGAGATAGTAGCATGATGGACTGAGGGGGCCACAAGCCCACAATTTCAAGCAGAGGGGAAGGGAGAAATAGGGAAGAACAGCCGGAGATGAGATACTTAGGGCGAATAAAATAGGCCCGACCAAGAAAACAAAAACTCTAAGAAAAATTGAAACTCACTAGGCCCTGTCGCTCTTCCCGATCGATCGCCCTTTCGGGCTGGGTTGGGGGCATTGGATGCGAAAGACCGCGCGGGCGGAGGTATGAGGAGGGCTGCACAAAACCTCCCTCGTGACCAGACACAGGGTGACGATTAGGGATGGAGGTGAGATTGTTGGTAGTGTGGATGGAAGTGGTAATTGGAGTCGTCGTAGTAATGGGGGAAGCGGGAGAAGGAGCAGCAACAGTAGTGTCGTCGGTCGTCGTCGTGGCGGGTCTGGGCGGCAGTCTGATTCTGCCCGTGGGGTTCTTGTCCGCCATCGGCATCACGGTCAACGGTGGGAGGCCGGGATTAACTTATGACTGGGGGCCTGCATGTAGTTTGGAGGGGCAACGCTAGAGGGATTACCTGTAGCGTACAATAGGCGACTCAATGAAAAACCAAATGGGTTTAGTATCCGGAGTTCTCTTTATTTTATTTCCCCCCCCTCTTCTTCAAGGTACGTAATGTATCAGGGAACAAAGAACAAACAATGTAGTCAAGAGTCAAGTCGGAGGGGAGCTGGGAACACCAGTGGGAGCTGAGTACGACAAATAATACAGGAGATCATGATAATAGTAATATGGAAGGTTTCATCATGGATAGCGATATCGATTGTTGATTGAGAAAATCAACAAGTGCAGATATAGAAGTAAAATATGGTGCCCTATCAAAAGAACTAGCTAGCTTTTCTTCAAGAATAGTGATTTTCTCTTTTAAGTTTGTAGATCAACGGCTCTGTTGCTGGGAAGTCGTATAACGGTCAAGACCAGTCGACGAAAATGAGAGGAGAGAAAAATGGTGAGACAGTCTTCGGATAGACAGGGATGACAGTTGAGACTTCTTTTATCCTACGACCGAATCAATTGATCCCCCACCAAGCATCTGATATCACATACGGAGGCCACCAAGAGATACCCCGCCATCTAGCACGTGACACGGATCTGGGGTGCAACTATATGGGTATGCCTGGCTTTTCTGGATGATGATCTAGTATATGAAGTCATCGGGCGTCCTCAGAGAACCATGTCTATATACAAGATGCGCTGTTGCTGCTTGACAAAGTAATAGCCTCCAAATAGATCCCTTAAGCTGCTGGACCGGAATAAAAGAAATGCTCAAGTGAGCTCGGCTCTGCGGACCAGTGTATGAGAGCAAAGCAAAACAAAATGACCCGGAAGTCCTTTTCACCAGTTCGTGAATGTCGGAGGAACATAAGAAAGCAGGCATGATGTAACGTATGCGGTCTAAATGTATATGTATAAGATGAGCTCAACAATATGCTAGGAAGTATTATGTGCAAGATGCAGGGGCAGTGAACATTAGTAATGCAATTGAAGCCCAGGTAAGATGGCAAAATGGCATGATGTTGAGAGTGGTTGCGAATGTCGGATTGTCGATACACAGGTGGTTACTCCGATGGAGCTCCATTTGAGGTCTCTCTCTGCGCCAGACTGGGACTGGTTCCCGTCTTCAGATAGTTCTCGTACTCTCCAATGCGCTGTCCACCTTGGACCCACCGCTCGCGGTACGCAGCCCTCCTTTGGTCAGCAAGTTGGTTCAGAGTTGGCCAGTAGGTCGCATGGTCGTATCTGAACTCGACATCACCTCCCATAGATTTCATCAGTTGAGCTGCAGGTACATGTTGACGCAGGTCCTCATTGAACTTGAGCTTCTGCCGGGTCAAAGGATCAATGAACGGGGTGATCAACTTGAAGAACCCCATGATCATGAAGGGCACTAATGCACACAGTGAGATCAGTATAAGGAAAAAGACAGAGATGCGAGTGTCACTTACTGTTGATGACCAACGCTCGACCCATTCTCTCGGGATAGTGATTTTGGAGAAAGTTGAGGGTCTGTTTGGCCTGGCCGACGCTTGCATTCTGGCCCGACTTCGTTTCGTTGTAGTTAACAATCAGCGCCAAAGTCTCCTGATCCGGCCCCATCAGATCAATCACCCGCTCCAACATGAAAACCAAATGTTGAATCTGGCGGTCGCTCTTCTCAGTGTTCTGATTCGACGGCAGAAGGTAGAGACAAGGACGCGCATGGATGTCATATCCAAGGATGACCTGCTTTCCCGTCTCATTCTCAACTGAGATAAAATCCGCAGTCAGCTTTTCCACGCCGTATTCACGACGCCACGTCAGAGTACGCTCAAGTCGTGCAATTGCTTCGGACACGTTCCATTTCGTTGCCCGCAAGTATCGAAGCAAACATTCCCGGGTCAAGAACATGCGCTCATTGTCAGTGAGGGGTTCAGTGGGGGCGTTCTTCGCAGACGTTGTCGGTACTGTTGTCCAAGAGGAAACGGCCTTAAGAACAGAATCGTATTTTTCCTGTTGGTCGGGGGTAAGCTCAGCAGACGGAGTAGGCTTGGCCGAGTCGAGAGGACGAGGGAAGGGTTTCTGAATGAGCCCATCAGCCGCTGAGGATGGGAGCTCCAGTTCAATATCCTTGCCATTGGTTGCAGGCTGAGTCTGCTCGACAGTGTTACTGGAATTTTCAGCAATTGCTGATGGCACGCTTGTCTGTGAGTCGACTGCCTCACCGCTGCGGGCTGACGTAGCGGGGACAGGGGGTTCCGATGTTGCACTCATTATTGCAAGGAATAGTAATAGTATGCGATTCAATTAAGTTCAGGTCTATGGAGGGTATCCTAGGCTGTATTTCAGGGGGCAATGGCTCGCATAATATAGACTGGAGACAATTGCAACTCCCCTGGGAGATTTTGTTCTTTCTGCGCAAGTTTTAGCGCTGAGTAGGCTCAGTGTTGATCGACAGGCCCACAGGATGATCGTTCGACATAATAATAATAGACGGAGTACTTACGTGGACTTGTCTCCCTGGGCCCATAGATTAACCGGGAAGGCGGTCACTCTTTTAATTAATTTCCCCGTCCCGTGCCCAGGACGCGGCGCGCGTTCTCCGCGCGTTCTCCAATTTCGGATTACCAGCATTGGGGGAATTTACTTTGCTCCTACAATTCGAACGCAACGCCGTTAGAACTGACTCGGTGTCACCATGGAGGATATTATTGGGGAGCTTAATGAGCTCTTCGCAGCTTCCTCTCCCGATGGACTACCTAAAGACGTCCTCGCAGAGCTTCAGTCCCTTCTGCGAGTCCACTCGATTGCCCCACAGGAACTATTTTACAAATGGGAGTCATTCTGCTTGAAGATGGGCTCCGAAGAGACCAAACTAAACCTAGAGACCGTGAGGCTGTTCAAGCGTGACGTGCAGGAATTACTGGAGCGAGAGACTCGAAGCAAGCCCAGCCGACAATTACCCACCGCTACCCCGCGCGCAGCAGCAGCAACTGATGTTTTTGGGATGTAAGTCGCAGAGGCATGCCGTATCTGGAGAGGAGTTTGTTGACCTCCTTACTATAGATTAGACGGATTAACCCCAAATGTGCCCCACGGTCGAACGCCGAACTCAGCCAAGCGGAAAGCGGACTTCGCATCTCCCTCTACGTCTAAAGTGGGAAAGGTCGATTCTCCAATCGGTTCTAAGACTCTGCGAAAGCCTATGAATGGGGCTGCTACAGGTGATGGAGTGCAGTATGTTTGGAGAAGGCTATCCCGCATTGCTGGAACAATATGATTGACTGCGGACACAGGTCCGTGCCTTTCTCGGAGCGCCAGAATCCCGGCCAGACGCTTGAAACCCTCAATGCCCACCTGTCGATGCCAGAGACCCCTATGGCTCCCTTTTCAGAGGCACGGATACGGCCCACTGCGAACACGGATCTGAAGAAGTTCGGATACAAGCCAATGGCAATGCGACAGTCTGAAGCATCCGAGATCCTAGATGACCGCATTGACGAGTTCACGGCCTTGTTCCAGAAGGAATACGAAACAGAGGACCTCCCCTTCGGCAGTGCAGCGACCCAGAGCACCAGCGAGATTGTTGCGGTCGGACGGATTGCGTCAGACACCATGGAAGGAAAGCTTAACCCAGCCTCTCTTGTACTTGAGACGTCGAGACGAACAGGAGCTGGAGTGCGTGTGCCTCTGAAGGTGGATACGCTACCGTCGGTGAACTTTTTCCCGGGACAAATTGTTGCTCTACGGGGTATTAATGCGTCCGGGAATTACTTCTCGGTCAAGGAAGTCCTATCCACCCCGCTTTTACCGCCCGCTGCATCATCTGTGCCCACTATGGAAGGTATCAACGAAAGATTGGAGGAGGCTGGCTCTTCTCCATTGAACTTAATAGTCTCCTCGGGGCCATACACAGCCGACGATAACTTAGATTTCGAGCCGCTCAATGAGATATGTCAGAAAGCGGCCGAGAACTATGCAGACGGACTCGTCCTCATGGGTCCATTCTTAGATATCGAACATCCACTGCTAGCATCGGGAGACTTCGACCTCCCAGAAACCAACGGATACGATCCAGACACCGCAACCCTAACAACAGTATTCCGGCACTGCATCACAACACCCTTACAGAGATTAGTCGCGGCAGTACCCAGCATCACGATCGTGATGGTTCCCTCCGTCCGCGACGCCGTGAGCAAGCATGTCTCCTGGCCGCAGGAGCAGCTCCCCAAAAAGGAACTCGGCTTGCCCAAGCAGGTGCGCATGGTTTCCAACCCAGTCACGCTGTCTCTCAACGAGACCGTCATTGGCTTGTGCTCCCACGACGTCCTATACGAGCTGCGAAGAGAAGAGGCTCTGCACGGCAAACCCAAAGAAGGCAACCTGCTCACCCGGTTGTCCAAGTACCTCGTCGAGCAAAGACACTTCTACCCTGTCTTCCCACCGTCATCGCGAGACGTTCTTCCCAAGCCCGGCATAGATAACGGATTAGCCACGGGCGCCACCCTGGACGTCAGCTACATGAAGCTAGGCGAGTGGTGGAACGTCCGACCAGACGTGCTAATCGTTCCCAGCATGCTCCCACCGTTCGTCAAAGTGCGCACCCCTATCCCCCATCCCCATCTACCTATTACAACACACACTCACAATATCAAACAGGTAGTAGACAGCGTCCTGGTAATCAACCCAGGCACGCTCTCCAAACGCCGAGCAGCAGGAACCTACGCGCAAATGGCCATCCACCCACGAGAAATCACCGACGAAGAACGCGAACAAAAACACATCAGCCACAAACTGTACGAACGGACACGGGTAGACGTCATCCGCATCTAAAGTGCAGTGCCTCGTTGGATTAACTAGATATACCATAGCATGTATAAGGCGGGCGTCAGGCATCATAATGATAATGAAACAATACAGTCCACAAGGAATACGAAATAAATAAAAGAAACAAAAGGGGTATCAACCAACCCAACGAAACCCCTCCCAACCCCCTGTCTCCCTCTCCCTCCACAAAAAAACCAAAAGAAAAAAAGAAAATCACCGTAAACAAACAACCCTCTTCCCCCCCATCCTCCTCCCCCCCTCCTTAACCCTAACCCCAGCGCTCTTTCCACCCCCCGAGTTCACCAACCCCTCTAATCCTAAATCCCTCCAAACCGCCTCCCGCCGGCGTTCCATAGCCCTACTAATCCCAAACGCAGCATGCTGGTCGGGGACAACATCATCCTCGTCTTCGGGGTTTGGGGGCTGATACTGCGGCGCGACGTAGATGTCTTCGATGGGGAGGAAGGAGGGGATGAGGGTGGGGGACGAGGAGCCGTAGGTGACGGTATGGTTGTTGTAGAGGTGGGATGTTGTTGTTGTGCTGGGGGTTGCGGAGGTGTGGGGGCGCGTGAAGTCTTCGAAGTAGTCGGCTAGGCGGGGGTGGTGCATGTGTAGGTGGGTTGGGGTTGAGTCTTTGCTCTATTTTGTTTGGGGGGTTTGTTAGTAGGGTGAGTTGGGTTGGAGGTGAGGGTGGTTTGGGAGGGTAGGTAGAGATTAGATTGGAGGGGAGCGTTACCATCTTGAAGAATTTGATGTTGGATTTGTGGCTGGTACTTTTATGGGTATCTGCATGAGTGAGGTATTGACATGAGAAGGTTGTATGTATGTACTGGAGATGAGGTGGATGTACAGAGTAGATGATGGATGTAAACATCTTGGAATTAACGGCAGTATTTCACCGCGTTTAGTTTATCTCCATGTGACTGTTGTCTTATCTAAATTGGCATGGATTTTAGTCAATTACGGGTTTTGGAGACAAAAATGACGGTACTCAGTAGTAGTATAATCGCTAGAAGTCGTTTACACATGCCATACATATTGAATCATACCCTCTGGCGAAGCCCGAATCTATTAAAAACCGATGCATATCCCGATAACCTGAGCTACATTTTTCATTTCACGAGAATCAAAGGGAACAAAGAACCCATCATTCACAAGTTCGTACTCATCCGATGCACGATCGGAACCGCGCTTGGCGGCAAGCTGCCCATCTCCGTGACTACCATGTCAACATACTCGGCTGGGGTCACGTCGTACATGATGTTCAAGAGCTGTAGATTAGGCGTTTCCTTCCAGTTTGCAAGAGGCGAAGAACCCTCAGGCAGGGGTGTCGACTCGGCTGGGGGAGCATTGGTGGCAGCCTTATTGCCACCTTTCTTCGCGTCGCCTTTCTTCGTATCAGCCTCGTCAGCGGGGTCCGGCAGACCCGTCACCTGCTTCAAGGGCTGGCTGGGGACGAGCTCATCTGCATCGGCAATTTCGTTGACGACAATGCTGTCAAGGGCGACACGGTCCGTGAACTTGACAGTCTCACAGCAGACAATGACAGGTACCTCCACGCCACCAGCACGCTCCTTAGCCGACATGGCGACCAGCGCTGTACCCACACGCGAGTAGAGTCGTCCGTTACTGGTCATGGCGTGTGCGCCGAGGAACACCTTTGTAGCATCCTTGATAGCGTGACTGATACCGTTGACAAGAGAATACTGCACTTCCAGACCCGCATTGGCGAGCGTGCGGGCCAGGTTCTTGCCTTCGAACAACGGACGGGAGTCGATGATGGACACACGAAACTTCTTGCCCTGCTTGTGTGCGTTGAGAAGCGTCTGCTTAACAATCGAACTGCCGGCAAAAGTGACGATCACGTCGCCGTCCTGGATCTTCTCTGCGGCGCTGGTCGCAATGACCTGGTCGGCCACGGTAATCTTTTCACGGATGAAGTTATCAATAAAATCGCACAGCGTTGCCTTAGCGCTGGCCTCGGGGACGGAAGGATCAATAGAGGAGATTGCCAGTTTAAGCGCACGGATAGCGTTACCCTGACTGATTGAGAGAGGACGGCATGTAGAGAGATAGGTAATCTGATGGGATAGGTGAGTAGTCAAGTGACGCGAAAGGGAGGTGCCCAGGGGAGTCGTATAAGCCTCGATGACCTAAAACAGAAGATCAGCATAAAACAGCGCGTCACCAAACAAAGGACTCCGAAATACACACCCGCTTGAAAGCCAGCAACGTAGCCACACAACGAGCACTGCTACCGCACACGACATAATCCCTCATCTGCAGACCCAGCGCCAACACAGCAGGGTGCACTTCCTTCCCGGCACCAGCGATAGTAGTCCTCCTCGGCTGTCCATACAAATGCCCGAAGACGGCGACATTCTTATCCTCCTGCTTCTTCTTCTGTTCCGTAGCGCTGGCCTGTGTAGCAGACCCGCGTCGATGCCTCTGACTCTTGTATGGCTGTCCCGGAGCCTCCTTCCCTCCAGCGCCGCCTCCAGTCGAGCCCTTTTTAGGCGGTGCGGCGTTGGGCCCTGGTCCGGCACCTGCACCTCCGCTGGCTTCTCTTTCAGCTCTCTCTTTAGCTCTGCGGGCGGCCTTTTCGGCCTTCGCTTTTTTCTTCAGTTCAGCTGGGCTGAGTTTTTCCTCCCCTGGAGCTCCGCCCGCGGCGGGGGGGGCATCTTTGGACTTAGGCTGTTTAGGTGGCTTGGCGGGTTTGGATGCGCCGTTGGACGGCTGCGGTGGTTGGGAGGAGGGGGGTTGCTGGGAGGACATGTCGGAGGTCGATTGTTGCGTCGCGGGCGCAGGGCTTGTTGAAGTGGAGGGAGGAGAAGTCAGCGCAGGGTCGATGGGGTTCGCCATGGTGGAAAAAAGCGGACTAAAGGACGATGACGACGGAGCGGAGGGGCATTGGCGACTTTTTTTTCGATAGTAGAGGGTTGTGGGGATGAGATTGGGACGTTCAAATGAAATGTGACTTTGACTCACCAAATTCGGCATGATGCCATAAGCCGACACTAGCACTAATGCAGCCCTAGTCTCTTCCACCCTATTTCGTGATTTAGCCTGTTTAAAGCATGTCAATCTTTAATGGATTCTATCTTCTTTGAACCTTTATAATAAACAGTTTCACTTTTTAATATGTATTCTATTGAATCATAACCAATATCGGACATGTATTCCATATCAAGTCAATCATTCAATCATGTCTCACATCCTGACATAACACTGGATTCATCATTCATCGCGGAATTAAAAGGAAGGAAAAAAAAAAAAAAAAAAAAAAAAAAAAAAAAAAAAAAAAAAAAAAAAAAAAAAAAAAAAAAAAAAAAAAAAAAGAAAAGTATGAAAAACCGTGAAAAATAAACAAAGAAAAAAAAAAATCGCAAAATGTCCACCGAACAGGAAAAAGAATATCCAGATATCATGAACGAGAAGCATGTACGAAAAGCACTCTGCCACCAGAAACCTAACCCAAACACCAAAATTCCGCAGCGCCCATCAATCAGAAAGCCACCCTGCAGGCCAAGCCGCCCAACCTCATCGATTATTCGTCCAAACTTCTCCCAGCGCTCGCCGTCGTTTCCGGCCTCCCGGTTTTTGGATTGCTCGGAATCGCTCATGATCGGAGGCCAGCTTACGCTTGAACAGGTTGATATCCATGAGCAGATCCTCCATATCAGCCTGCATGTCATGAGCTTCAAGCTCACGACCCTTAATTCGGATCGTATCCTCATCTTCCCAGATCAGATCGGGCTCGGGTTCCACATCTGAAATCGGCGATCCGGGACGGTTTTCCTTATTGTATTCAGTCACAGGCGAAAGACTACCTCTGCGTTTCTCAACGGTCACAGGTGGGATCGGATTTCTCAAACTATCGAGAGCCAACTTCAGGTGATTGCGAAGTGCTTCATTTTCTGTCTGCAGCTGCTTGATCTTGCATTCACTGACCATCTTCGTCTCCTCCATCAATCGCTGCATTTTCTCCACCTTCTGCTGATATTCCTCTAGTTTCTCATTCTGAATCTCGCTTTCTCGACGGTTTGCTGTCGCCAAACTGACACTGAGCTGCAGCGTACGGATAGTCTCCGCCATTTCGGCGATCTGTTTGTCGCGCTCGGCAGCAGACAAATGGTCTTGGTTGACCCGAGCACGAGTACGGATACGTTTCGCTTGATCTGCATAGCGGAGAGTAGATAACGTCTCTTCGTAGTCTGACGGGGAAATACAGGCAATCATGGCGGTCTTCGAGTTGCCTCCCAAGCTGTCTTTGAGTAACCAGGTGAGGATCGAGTCGCGATAGGGGACAACATCCTTGCCTTTCCGCTTGCCGGACCGGCCTTGCTTCGGATCCGCCAAGGCGGCAATAACTCGACCCAATGTCGTGAGCGATTTATTAATGTTCGATCCCTCGCGTAGTCGTTGTCCGGTTGCCTCCGTAGATTTAGCTCGTTCCGATCCTGCCAAGTCAACCAGGCGAATTCGTGCTGTGCGTTCCGTCGTCTCGTCGGTCGAGAGGTCATGGTGAATTTGTTTTAGGGTTATTGTGAAGACTGCATGGGAGCGGGACGAGGTATCATTCATCTTGGTGCTGGCTACTGTGCGGGAAACATCACCTTTGCGCATGCATTTCATTAGTTCAGCGAAATTCTTCACCGTTGCCTCGGTCAAGTCTTTCACGTAAGGGCCTTCAGAGGGTGACTCGCGGATCCGAAGGTAATGAGGCGGGTCGGTCCGAGGCACCAGCAAGTCGCGGACATGTTCGTTGTAAACCTCGAAATACGAAACGCGGATATTGAAGCTAATATCGGGTGACTGAACACTCTCTATGCGCTGAAACAAATCCTCGCAGGTCCGTGGAATTAAGCCCGGTTGGTCCGCAGTGCCCATCATGGTGTAACTCTTGCCGGAACCTGTCTGACCATAGGCGAATATGCAGGTGTGATATCCTTCGAAGTTGTGATCTAGAAATTCTTCTCCCAGGCAGTTATATACGTCCTCTTGGTGCGCATAATGATCGTCATCGATATCGTGAGACCAGAACGAATTGTCGAAGATGAATGATTTATCCTCCAAGACCTTTCCGCGTGCTTGTGACTTCGGTTTCCCCTCATCTTCTGGGTCAAGTTTGGGAGCCCTTAGTTTGGTCGTCTGCGTGCGAGGATCCATGCTAATCAAGCACTCCGCATTGCGCTCGATTTCTAGAACATCCAATTTTTTAGTAAACTGTAATTTTGTACGCCTTCCGGCGCGCACACACCCTACATACCTCTGGGCAGGAACTTCCTCACCCGAACCACGACACGGACATTGCCACCAGGCGTCGGGCTTGAGGCACCATCCAGATAGGTGCCGTGCATGGCCCCGCCTTCCCTTGCGCGTAGAGAAGGACTGGAGGCGTTCGATCGTAGAGCGGCGGCGGAAGCAGTCGTCGATCGGATTGACGGGCTGGTGATACTCGTTACGGCGGAGGTATCGGAAGACGAGGCGGATGATTGTGATCCAGGCCCATAGCCATGACCGATATGGTGGTAAAACCGCGGATCCAAGGACATATCCAAACTATGTTCACTCAATAACTGTACAAACTGAGTGCTGAGCTCACGTTGGCGATTCACTAATCGATGGTACATACAGACAAGTGCACCACTGCCGGAGGGAAGGCGATCCGAAATGGTGTTCAAATAAAGATAGAGACAAGACGCTGTGACCCGGCGCAGGGAGTAGGTGGTGCCTTCCCTTCTTGTGGATAAGGGCGTCTCTGTGGTTGAAGGTTGAATATAAAGGGATCAGTATCCACCCAATATTGACAGGTACATTGACCCTCCTTTTAATCAGGGGGGGTAAACAGCCGAGAGTTAGTTTACTGGCGAGGGGTCCCTGCGATGGAAAGTGAAAGAGAGAAACATGCAGTAATGAGCGCAAGGGGGAGGACCAAAGAAGCCCTGGTATCTCAAAAACAACCAAGGAGCAGAGAGAGAGAGAGAGTCTAATAACAAACGCAAGCGTTTGCAATTGAGCCTGAAGACGGCTTCACATGGCGGTCGGCCAGTGACGCTCGTTTGGGTTTTGCCGTTTCCGGAGTGGTATAGGCCTCAGGCAGGAAGAGGCCAGCCCGCGGGAGGAGTGGTTGCCATAGCAATCTCCACCCGCCTAAGATAATGGAGTCCACTTGCCAAGGAAAGTCTCCGACTGTCTAGTACCCAATGCATGTCATATCGTGATACGAGTTAAATAAATGTGGCTCATCTACAGTTACACATGTTTCTCCATTCGACCCTGAAATGTTGCCGGTCGGATAACGAACGCCCCGACACGGCAGTAACTATATCTGATTCATTCATGCATACATACGTACATTTCATTATAACATTTTGATCATTTCTCCTCACCCACAAGATCCATCAAGGAAAGACAAGGAGTGCCGCCAGGGTCGGACAGCGGCATGCTATGCCACGAAAAACGGCCTAATTGAAGGCATCGTCCTCTTTGGTTGGGTGATGAAAGTTTTTATTCGCCGCTATGTAAGCATCCGCGTCGTCGTGACCAAGCTCTCCTTTCGACAACTTGTCATAATCAGTATATGAGGCGTCAGGGACGGGGTTTCCGTGTTTGTCAAGAGTGGTCTCCAGCATCTCCTCCGTATTCCATTTCGACAAGTCTGGTTTATTAGAGCCGGTCGCGGAGCTCATTGCTTTTTGAGCGGCCTCCTGGCCCTGGCGTAACGTGTCCTGAGCTTTCGAAAGCATGGCGATGACCTGACAAGTCACTACCTGATACTTTCCTTGAAACAATCAAGTCTAGACACTCACGTACCAGTTGAGAATGGTGTTGATAGTTTAGATCAGTTTAGCAATACATAAACAAAATTTGTTATGAAACAGACGAACATCTTCGCCTGCCGGGGGGTCTATTAATACTTTAATCGGTGGCGTTGATGATTTGGTGATGACGACGACTTTCATCATCACTTCCGTGGACATGCTTTGTTTGTACAAGGTCATTGACTATAATGCGAGCCACTTATGGCTCGAGAGTCCGCAAAAGGAAGTTTGCTCGCTGGGTGGTATCCAGTCAGAACGGCCGGTGGTTCAGTCTGGAACCCTCCATGCGTGTGGGAAGGTTCTCCGCATCGACCGAGGTGGCTCAGGCAATGATCAGGATAATGATCATATATGGGATCGCGTAGCCGGGATGGAAGCTTGTTACTGTCCATGGGCAGTTGCCCGGGTGTGGTACTCATTGGCTGGTAGTCATTGTTGGTGAAAGCCAGAATATCGGGATGATGCAAGACCCACGGGAAGACCCTGCTAATGAGTTATAGTAGGGAATAAGCCGTCAAGGGCGTTTATCGAGGTACTTGAAAACCATGGTGGGACACAGAAGCGGGAAGTTATACCACCAACAGTAGAGGGTAAGAAATCTACCTGGGTAGAAACATTGTCGGTTTGTTTTTGACCAAACATGCACATTTTACTATAGCAGGAGGAAGGGGAAAGAAATGTGGAAGATCGTGATTTCCACAATAAATTACTTTACCTTCCGCCCACGCTGTCAGATGATTTAGACTCTCGCTATTGGCTGGGCAGCCGTCATGCAGGGATCCGATACCGTACTAAACTACTACATGATTACTACTAGTACTACTGGTCCAAACCATTGATGGTCTTTGCTCGGAGAAATTCGAGGTGACGGGTCATCCATCCGACGGACTAGTTCGGAAATTGTTATCTTTTAACTTTTACATAAGGCTGAGCATTTCTACCCCCTCTTCAATTCCAATACATACGGAGTACGGAGTACATGGGGGAGTTTTTTGATTGCTTCGTCGTCAGCCCTATCCGTGCGGGGCGTGGGCCTGGTCCACTCATGAGACGAAAATGGGGATTCTTTCTGCAGCAGAAGAAATACAATCCAGTGGTTCTGCTTAGGGCCAATATCGCAATCACGAACTATGCCCAGAAAGTTAGGCACCAGCCATTTGGTGTGACCGGAAGACTTCACCCTTTCCGAAATAGTGAAGGTCAAATTTCTCCGGACAACAACGATCATCCCTAGTCTTTAAACTATGGCGACATCGGACACTCTCCGACCCCAATGACTCCAACTGCAAAATTTGCGCCCGCACTGTCTGTCAAATCCGACATTCCACTTTCCTTGGTAGATTCGCTGCGAGCACTCCAGGGCTTTAGGTCAGAACAACACTGCGCACACGATTCTTTTAACTGCCTGAGCCCCTGATTCCTTATCTGGTACCCATCAGACCGTAATCAATGAGCGGAAATCCGTCTTCGGGCAACCCGCCCGACCTCGAAGCCCACCAACCACCAGCGAAATCCTCATTCTCAGCATGGTGGACACAATCCGTGGACGTCAAATATACCGACCTCATTTGTCTTCTGCTTTGTTTCACGACTGGACTCTGTGACAGCAGCGCCTACAATGCGTGGTCCTGTTTCTTGGCGATGCAGACCGGTAGGTTCCGACAGCACAACTCCCTTGGAAACAATATACAATATACAATTCACGATACTGATAATAAACAGGAAACACCATTTTCCTCGGTCTTGGAGCCTCAGGCCAGCCAACCAGTAAACCCTGGGGCTGGTTGAAATCGCTCTGTTCCATCGCATTCTTCTTCATCGGCGCCTTTACCCTCGCCAATGTCACCCGTCGCGCCGGAGCCCGCCGCCGCGGCACGCTCTTCCTGTCATTCGTGTTCCAGTCCCTTCTGGTCATCATTGCCGTCGCCCTGATCGAAGGCGATCTCATCCCGCACACCTCGGAAGATGCTTCTCTGACAGGTGGACCTCTCTTCCTGGAACTGATCCCCATTGCGCTCTTGGCGTTCCAGTCCGCCGGCTCCATCACTTCCAGTCGGGCGCTGGGGTACAATGAGATCCCAACGGTGGTTTTGACCAGTGTGTATTTCGACGTCGCATCGGACCCGAAGCTGGCCGCTGTGCCAACCACCAACCCGAAGCGGAACCGACGTATCGGAAGTGTGGTGATGCTGTTAGTTGGGGCTATTGTAGGTGGGTGGCTGAGTCGGAGTAGCGGAGGAATGCAGTCAGCCTTGTGGATGGCTGCTGGGTTTAAGATGGTAATCGCTTTTGGATGGTTGGCTTGGAAGGCGGAGACTGCCCCTTCCAAGTGATTGGTACCTAGCGATGGGTAGTCATGATGATGTGCCGGGGTTTTTAGATGTTTAATGGTGTTGATATAGGAGCTAATATGTGATAGAGCATTCGATTAGACTAATTTAGACCATAGATCTCCTTTTTATAATTTCTCCAGCTGGCTATGTAAACTGTGACATAGGCTCACCGGATGCTCTGCCGGATCTACAAACTTAATTGTTGCTTATATGCTTAATCTCCACAACAACACAGCCCCCTTGCATATCGCGAAAGGATCCAAATTCATAATTACTAGCTGGAACCAAACAACCATTTCATTAGGGTTCCACTCGAAACATATCATTGGTCTTCCAGCCACTTTTCTAACCGATCATGTTTTTGCTTTGTTCGGTTACTTCGCAAAGTGCCAAAGGAACTATATATCTATCGAAGGAGAAATAACTGTGGAAAGCGGGGGTCACATCTGGGGTTGCGCCGCACCCCGTACTTCTTCGATCCATACCAGGATGAATGCGATGAGGAGAGGGATGAAGACTATCCAACCTATGAGCCCGACTTGGAAGATCATTTCAATATACAAGGAACACATCTCCACATGAACAGCTGCTTTGGGACATTTCCAAAATATGACAATAAGCCTTTCGGTGCTTGCTACCTACTCATGAGCGATTACCCCATATGAAATGCTTCATGGAGAGCGAAGTCCCTCGAGGCAACCGATTACTTCGAGGTGGACTCATTGCCATTGTCAAAACCATGACCGCTCGGTTGAGCACAAAGTCCTTCGCCCTCATCCACTGGCCCCTGTAAGTTACTGTTCCTTCTCCGAAGACAAGATTTACATGATACACCATGGTTGGGGCTCTGCTAATAGAAACTGCCATTCAGGTTATGTTATATTCCATAATGGGTCCACAACAACTCCGTGAACTGGAGGCTTATCTTAACGGCAAGAATCTAATAATTCGAAAGATCAAGTTGTACGATATGGAGCAGGAGGATACGGCAACGGTAGATCTACTTACCCGGTGGTGGCTGGGCTTTGCTGTCGGCAAGACGAAGTCAGTCAAAACGGCACCTCTTCCTTAGCCTTCTTAGTATCATGCATTGGACGGCGTTTCCAGGTGGTTATTGGGTACTTGGTTTGTGGGATGGTATTGCTGTGGTTTTCTCTTACTTTCTAGGATTCCTCTGGGGCATGATCCAGGTTATTTGTCCACTGTATTCGGCATTTGGAACATTCGTCAACCCTTGAGACAATAATCAATACTACTCCCAACAAACATGTTTTACCACATAGCATACTTTGGCTAATGGCATTAACCTGGCTAGGTACTAGACTAAGTTTCGGTGAATCTCTCCAAGTCCACTCCGTAAAGTAACAAACATTATCTATATCCTTGGTTCCCTCTGACCTCAATACAATCAACTTCACAAACTCACTAAGATGGTGAAAAGCTCCAGTAAGTTACTATATGTATACATTGTAATATACTATACCCGCGCGTGACCTACAATCCGCTAGTATCCACACATCTATGTGCTAAATCAACAGACTCTGGTTATCGACTAGCCCAACTCGAATATAGAAAGTATACTAACATCCAGTTGAACGGTATATATTTTGTGGACACCGCTTTAGAAACGAAATCGATTTCTGAGTAGAAATAAAAAGTAGGCAGACGACATCCTTTATAAAGAATCTTTTGTGAAATAAGAAAAGCAAAGTAAACTAAATTAGAGACAGACATATTGACTAGAACAGAGAAATAGTGGTGTACCGGCATTTTCACAACTGCCTAGTTTCTAATCTATGACTTTCTATTAAAGTTCTTTTAAATCAACTATACCCGGAACACCTTGCCAGTTTGAACTACGAACTTCAAAAACACTACTGGTTAAACTTGGTCATGTATACAACTCTAATTTCTGAACGTATTGTGGGTGATATTTCCCCTACTTAAACCCGGAGGAGGCCTCTACAGGTACACTGTATATAACATTCCGCTATCTACCCTAGTCTTGGATCAATCTCAATTAGCTGTAGTAGGGCTAACTAAGAAGCTTTCGTACTAACGAGTTGTGCGCTGCAGGTAAAAGATTACCATCCATTTCACATTTGATCACGTTGGTATTAGTCATTAGACTATTTAGGTTGATGAGTAGGGTGAGGTAATGCTTGTCAGCATCATATTAGGTAAGTTGCTATCTGGACAAAGAAATATCTGAGTAGCATATAGGAGATTGTGTTAGGATGGTTATGTAAAAATCAATGTGTTTGAGAGATGTGTGTTTACATTGGTTATATCGTCCCCAAGACTGATATACACTGCTAATGTACTAACTCAGCTGTGTGTATCTGTTGTGGAAGAGAAGATAGGTGATAATATTCACGATACATATAAGAGTGATATAAATGAAGTACTGGGCGCGTGATGAGTTTCCTTTTGCGGCAATTTTAGCGTAAGTCAGCATGCAATAAAGACCAAAGGGGAATGGAATTCCGGGCATGGTCACGCGGGTAACTGCAAACCCTTATCCAAAGAACAATGTATACAGATAATCAAACCATCATGATTAAATCATCCGCACGGTGGACAATGGTGTAAGAATATTCGGTATACGAAAAGTTCGGTACGGGCTGTGGGTCGAAAGTAGGGCTTCCAGAATATGACACATGACGTCTAGACTGCTTGGTACCCCAGGTTGGGTTACATAAAGGAAATGAGAATCGAATTCAGACATCTTGTGGACTTTTCGGTCTTGGTATGCAGCCGGTTTTCGATTTGAAATGGAATGCCAAAGTTCTTCAGCGTACCACGGAACGAAGATCGGCAGCATCGGTTTCGAGCGATGACTGCATGACTGCGGCATTTACTTCCTGTCATTTTTTCTCTCTTACTCATGTTAAACTTTTCGTCTCCGTGTGACGATCCGAGTGACGCTTTGCGGCTGTGTCCGCTGCCAGCTGTCAATCGTTTATACTTAATCCCGCACATAAATAGCCCTAACTCTTCCCAACTCCTACGAGTTTCCCGCACCCAATCGACGAACATATCTCGTCGCTTGGAAAATTTACTCATTTCGATCTTCGATTGAGAATCGAACCCATTGCTTTTTCTTCATCAATGGCATTTACTCAATGGTCCCACCCAAGCAAAACGACAACCACTTCTGAGATCCTGAGTTGGCTCAAGAAGTATCCGATGCAACGACACAACTAAGCGACTGATGTTTCAACACCCGTAACAATGTCAGCACTCCACAAACTGGCGGCAGTCAAGAATGGCCCAGAGGCCAGCTGGGACGACAATCACATGAAACTCCTCGCGCGTATGAACGACGAGGAAATCGAAATCCTCCAACTTCCCTCGCCCAAATATTCGGCTAAAAACATATCGACCGAGTTGTGCCGGATCCCCGTGCAGAAAGATCACATCATGAGTTCTCCTTGGAGACTCGGCATCTGTGCCATGGAAGACAAGGCACTCAGCAAGGCCAACCAGGAGATATTCCGTCGCTTACACGTAGACGGTCTTATCGAGGTGGTCCTGTTCGGTGATAAGACGCTTTTGAGTAAGAGGCCGGAAGAATGGCCGATCTGTGATTTTTTAATTGCATTTTATTCTGATGGGTTTCCCCTCGAGAAGGCCATTTCGTACACGAAGCTCCGCTCGCCGCTCTGCTATAATGACTTGCTTATGCAGGGTCTTCTCTTTGATCGTCGGCTCTGTAATAGAGTCTTGGATTATCTTGGTGTGCGGACTCCCAAGAGGCTTGAGGTAAACCGTGACGGTGGCCCCAGAGCCTATGATTGGGGTCTCGTTCAACACGTGTATGATCGGATGGGGCTCGGGATACCAGGCCCTAGAGAGAGAGAGGCAACCTATGAACGGTTTCATCCACCGAGAGTGTCCCTTTCGGAAGATGGAAATACGCTTCTGGTGGATGGTCGGACGCTCCACAAGCCTTTTGTGGAGAAGCCTGTCAGTGCGGAAGACCATAACATCTACATTTACTTCCCAACGACTCCCCAGGGCGCCGGCGGGGGAAGAAGACTGTTTCGGAAAGTTGGCAACAAGTGTTCCGAGTACGACCCTGACTTGATCATACCTCGATGTATTACCGAACAGGGCACGACCAGTAGTTACGTGTACGAGCCGCTCTTGAACGCCGACAATGGAGAGGATGTCAAAGCCTACGCAGTGGGGCCCCAGTACTGTTTTGCGGTGACACGAAAATCGCCCGCAGTCACAGGTGTGGTCCTTCGGGATGCAAGTGGCAAGGAAGTAAGACTACCCACCGAGGTCAGCAAGGAGGAGGCAGACGCGGCTGCCAAGATCTCAACAGGATTTGGTCAGTCAGTCTGTGGATTTGACATCGTTCGAAACAAAGGCAAAAGCTACGTGATCGATGTAAATGGCTGGACCTCGGTGAAAAATCAGCCTAGGTTCTACGCTCAATGCGCCGATATCCTGCAGCAGATGCTTATGTCTCATGTTGCTAAACAGATTGCTAAGAACTGATAAGACTACCTCGCGATAGATAAGTTGTGTATCTAACCGTGTACATAGTCTAGATCCATGGTATAGATAGACAATACAACGCATCAAGATCGGCGCGGTCCATAATGATTAGTTAGAGTTGTAATAATAGTTGCGTAACCTCACAGAGTCACCATATCAGTCCACATATTGTTTGAAGTAGCCTGTTAGAACTACCGCATTACTACCGCCGAAAAATCGCTCATGGTTAAAGGCCGAAGCCGTGACCCTGCTAGCCATTCTTTCTAGGTTGAGCCCATAGTCATCTCGGACCGAGAAGGGGATCAGACTTTTTCTACCGGGGTAGGGTTACATGCGGGCTGCAAGCTATGCTGGCTGTGCAGTTGTAATGGTGGAGCAAATACTGACACAGACCAGGTTGAGTCTAGAATGGCATCTTGCTTGGTACCCTAACTAACCCAGGCCCCTGTGAAGGCCTTCTTTCAGGGACCTTTGGGGAACAATGGGTCGACCGACATTCTCCATCGGTTCAACTAGTGGGTCCTGGTGGATTAACGAAAATTAAAAAACAATATTCTTATGTAAAGAAGAGCAGTAGGGAAAAAATACATCTGCCGTCTTGGATTGGATATTGTATATATACAAGTTTATATCGCATAAATTTCTTCATCGTCCGCTCACCCAGACTCGGAATCAATCCCTTCCAAGATTATCATTTCTACTGTGAACGCGATACTGCTGGACACACATCTCTATCTTTTCATTGCCATAACTCTTTCGAATGGCTGATATTAAACTTATGAAGAATTCTACTGTGATTGTATCCTTGATCCCAGTATCCCTTACCGACCTGGAGGCAATTTGCGAATTTGCAGAAGTGACTCAACCCCCCTAGAGCCCTCCCGTACATTGTGTCGTCAATCTTGGTTGTATTCATGGCCACCCTGTTTGAACAAAATGAAGCACTACAAGCCAACTTTCCGGTGCGAGATTAAGGGTGTCGCAGAGACCCAACACCTGCCGATCGAACAAGATGCGAAGGAGAAGCAAGATGGCATTGTGACAACAGCTGACGAGGTCACCGGATACAAAGCCAAAGCAAGCCCTCGGCTGTTGGACAGGTGGCTGGACACAGTTGTCCGTATTGCTGGGTCTGCACCGGTCTTTTGCTTTATCGTTGGTGCTCTTCTCGTTTGGGCTTTCTTGGGCATTCGTTTTGGAAATTCTGCTAAATGGACCGCTGTCATTTCCGATGTGCAGGCTATCCTGTGCTACGTGTTCGACTCTTTCCTCATGCGCCAACTGCTCCGCGAATACTCCGAACAGCAGGAGGCCATTGCTGAGATGAAGTCGAGACGCAACAGCCATGAGCGAATGCTCGCGAAGCTCAAGAGCAAATTGGGGCCAGAGGGAGTCAGCCATGTGTCTCAGATAAGCAGCAGTCGGCCCTTGGATGCACTGGATCAAGGAACACGGACACAAGGCTGGTTTGCGCGAATGATCATCTTCTCCGCGTGGGCGTTCGGACATATCGTAACCGTGGGCATGTATTGGGTCTGCATCTTTATCTGGCTGGGCTTCGGACACTATTGTGGCTGGACGGACCAGTGGCAGCTGTACATTAATTCGGCAACATCAGCTCTAATGGTCTTGGTATTTGCGTTCCTGGATTGCCTGCGGGAATGCTATGCCGACTATGTCAACAATTGCCTGGACGCCATCTTCCGCCTAGACGCTACACTTGAGAAAGAGCTCCGCTGCATCACTGAGGACCACCTACCAAACGAACCCGAGGTGATCCAGCCGCCGCGTGAGAATCCACTGCAAGTGGCCGTATTCTACTATGCCGACATCATCGGGACACTGGCCGGAATCATAATTCTCGTGGCGGTCATCATTGCATGGGCAGCTGTCGGACCGATCTTCCACTTCAACGACAATTGGTGGCTCCTGATTGGCACATATGCGGGGTTAATCGGTCTGTTCGACAGTTTCATTCTGCGCAATATCCAAGGCAAAGTGAAGGAGTACACGGTCTGTCAAGTTCAGAGCCTGGAGAAAAGAGACATGACCCTCTTCGCTAGGACGCAGATGGCAATTCCACCTAAAGATGATCTTGATACATCCTCTGTCACTCACCGAATCTCGATTGCCATGGGAAATGTCTGCTCGCATCTGCTTATGGTGATTGCTGGCTTTCTGCTCACCATTGGCTGTGTGATTGGCTCAAGTGCGATGCGGTGGAGTACGACGGGACAATTGATTTCGAATATTCCACCTAGTATCATCGAGACCTTTTTCATGCTCATCTTGATCACTGGCCAGAATGATGCGGATGCCAGCGCGAGGGTTGATATGACCAATATTTATCACCGTCGACAGAGACTCCTCTGGTTTGTTAAAGACGCTCGGGAATACCTGGCGGCTCCTCGAGAGTTAGTAGACCTCCCTGAGAAGGGCGACAGTTGAATTCTAAAGGGTCTTGTGATATAGACACACAGAGATTTAACATTACTATTCGTGAGGTATCGAGGCTGCCTCGCTTTAACATGCACTGCGGTTAGATTGATCCCTCAATTTCCCCCTTCGCTCAACCGATAGGGGCACAGCATGACAGTTATGGTTTTGTATTTCATATTTTGTCTTTCTTCTATTATATGTTCTCACCTCTTGTTATTAAATATCCAATCAATCACATCAACTAAACCCAGTATAGAACACAATATGAATTAATCCCGTATACGAAGTACTCCCCCTGAAAGTTGTAAGTCCTAGACTAAGCACACACGGACCAATCCCACCCAACACCCTCATACTCCCCTACATTCACTTCGTCAAATGAGACATCGCCACAATCAACAGTGGTAGCATGTGAAGCTACACAGTAAACAGAAACCACAGAATAACTTTAGCATAGCGACATACCGGTATGAATCATGACTACTACCAATAATAATCGAATAATCCCACCCAGAGTCCTCGGTACATAACCACATACATGCTACATAATCAACATTGTGGTCTAAACTAACCCACCCGCCCAACCCATAGGGCTGAGTGGGCCCACGTGCGTGTCACCGCAAGGGAAAAAAGCTTAATTTCCCGAAAATGCCTCGTTCTGACTGGATGATTCCTCTCTTAGTTTGGCCAGGGTAAAAAAAAAAAAAAAAAAAAAGGTGAAGAATTAGCTTAAACCCTGGAAAAGCTGTTGCCTACAGCACTGCCTCTTTCTTAGTTTTTCTTAGGGAGTCGGAGAACTTGGATTTGCTTGGATTTGTCGCATCTACCTGCTTATTTGGATTAGCTTGGTCTTAGTGGGCAGTGTTTCACCTCGGAGAAAATAATATGAAATAAAAACTAGGTACGTAACTTAGAGTGACTCACTGTGGACGACGATGAGGTGTTTTTTTACGCGATGGCGTACGGGCTTCACGGGATGAATAGGTGGGGTTGTCTTTCTTCTTGATGATGTGTTGGTTTGTGCATTTGGGTGATATGGTTGATATCTTGATTTTTGAACTGTTGGGGAGGGAGCGGAGTCTTCACTAGATATGACAGAAAGCAATTAGGTATTTGAATTATGTTATATCTAGAAGTTCCTAGTATGGATGTTGGATACTGGGATTTATGTGTGCGTCGAATATTTTTTGCGTATGGGTCTCTGTCTAGATAGACAGGTTTTTGTTTAGGGGAGTAGAATTTCCACAGCTGATGGATGACTACGCCTATGACAGAGTGGCATATGGTAGTTCTATGTGGAGAGCCAATGTCCCATGGATATATATGTTAGTACTGAGGAGTGTTATGACTCCTTGGACGTAACAGTTTCCCACTAGATTGACTGCACCATCGTCACGACTCCGAACGGTGAATGGATATCGACCACCACTAGGCAAGTACACAATCTGAAACCCTTTTCTGGCTGCTAATCCTATCGACCCATGGCTCGTAATTATGATTGGGCACTTCATACGCGATGTCATGATTATGCCATCTCACATCGCGTTCCATATCTTTGAGACCAGGAATATAGGGTTTGCTCCAGGTTTAAATATCCACGGTCTGCCGTTCGACGAGCCACAGATGTGGTACCATGCAATCAATATCTGCGTCCACCGGAAAGAATCCTGCTTGACACTGGCCTAACGCATCTGGTTTCGACGGAGCGAACCGATTGTATTGCAACTGCAATTTCTATTAACCAAGAAGCCCAGAGGAGTCTTTATATACTGGCCCCTTTCCTGCTCTTGACACCATCTAATCGCAGACATAGACAAGTCTATATCTAAAATTAAACAAAATTTAAGATAGTACTTACCAAAATGAAGCAAGCTATAGGTCCCAACTTGTAATAGAGAAAATGTAAATGAATCTGACAGCTTCCTCTTCCTTCTAGTAGACGTAATGAGCGGCTAATAGGCGCAGATGTCACATAATACACCTTCTATATCTTGTACAAAGTAAGCATTTGCTACCGCTTTAGCTGGTGGTGGGATAATCTAAAGCGTGTAATACAGGCTTCTGTGCGCTTCGAAGAAGTTGGAGCAGTGCGCCTCATTGCCAGGAAACTCTTCTAGGAACATGCCCAGCCGGTCTCTTTAGTTGCCGTATATCACCTTTCTACACGTCATAGTAAAATGTCAATCAGGGAGACATGGATGTCACGGCAATCAGTGTAGCCTTTAACTTTGTCCACCTGAATATTTTGTTTGCCGCACTGAATTGGATCTGCATGCAAAGATGAACTGGCAGAGCAGATCTATAAGTAATGGGATCAGGTTTTTGATCAAAAACGAACATTGATCACGTCATATCTACTGCTTCTCTGGTTCAAAATATTCTTGTCTACTTATAAGTTCTCTTCTTTATCCTATCATCCCAGCAGCAAATCACATAAGTCGCCCTTCACTGCTCAATTTGTCTTGACCTTTCCACAATCTATCAAGCAGACATTGCAGTTCTTCTCAGTTCGTCTTCAATTCCAACTAGGGTACCCAGTCTATCCAATACTGAAGGAGGAAAACGCCTCCGAGATGTCTGAACAGTGGGTCGTATTCAAGATCACGAATGTCTGTCCGGACACCATCAAGATTAGCAACGCTCATCTGAGCGAGTACATTTATATATGTCTTTTTTTTTTTCCAATCCCTGCTGAAAGTTTTCGCACGGTAGGGGTATTTTTTCCCAGTGGCCTGACAAAGAAAACGAACTGCCTTCGGATTCTGTCAATGGATCCCAAATCCAACCTGGGATGCAGAACCTGTCCTTCGGCTCCTGTGGCAAAGATAGCGGCACCAGAGACGAATCCTTTTGAAGTTAAGGGTAGAGTTGTGGCAAGGGTAGAATGGTATTGTTCACCGCGTCCTGGATTACAGAATCCGGTGACGAGCTCTTCTTTCACTAGGGGCTACAGCATTAGCCATAGGGGCAACATTTCTACTGGTGCTATTGGAGAGGTCGTTTTCGAACTCTCCATTCTCTGCTTGTTCAACCGGTAGCCTGTTGGCAGGGTTTGGGAAAGGGAAGGAGGAGATGGTCCGGAATTAATCTCTGCTATGTGATACACTTGAAGGGTATTTCCCAATAAAATGCTTGGTTGGCGAAAGATAATTCCTATTCTATGATCACAATTACCGTAAGTAGATATGATAATATCAGGGAAGACAAGATGGACTCTCCAACACAGCGATACTGGTAAAAAAAGTAACTTGAGTAGACCGTACAGAAATTCCACGCATATCTGATCAGGATAATAACATAGTTATATACGATATTTGCCATCGACTTAATGTGTCTTATTAGTAACAACTCCTCAACAGACTCATGCTAGGGAAGTCCTAGGTACATACTTTCCATCATAGCTATTATCGCTCTTTTTTTTTAACCGGAAAGAAACATCTGGATATGCCGTACTCCTTCTACTTACGGCACTTTTAGTTAACCCATAATCATACATATGAACAATAGTAACCGCATCTGTCAGATGTCAGCTAAAGACACGAAAATTCCTCTTCTCAAGATGTTTCCACCTCACTCATCAACTGAATATCCTTATTTTTAGAAGCCATAATTGATTTATTATATTTCCAAGCTCTTTAAACTCTACATGTCTTGCATATCGTATTGTACAGGAATTCCTCCGCAAACCATCTCAAGAGTAGAGACGAAACCTCTACCCTATTTTCCTTTTTATCATTCCTGCTACCACACCCCGTTTACTAATGCACGAGATACAGTACAAAAACATAACCGACCTGACATCTCAATAATCCAAACTATCATCTCCCTATCCCAAGCACAAGCAAGAATCACCGTATAGTAAAAGTCCTAATATTATTAATAATAATAGTAATAGTAATACTCTACTTAACTAAAATAGCACATCCCAGTTTACCACTGCAACTTGGTCCTCAAAAACCCCATCTTCTAATCCAAGACCCCCCAGTTTGCCTGTCAGCAGGAATACACCGACATTCCACGATGCGGCTCACACCTTCATTTCCCTAACAACAAACTCTGAGATCGTAGTCCATATTACTTGCATATAGGCCAACGCTTTCCTTTTGTTGTGCATGAGTTACGATCTTAGGTAATCTTACTATGTATATTATCAAATCAGAGATCATATTCATCATATACTCGGGTTCGACTAGTAGGTAAGCAGAGTAATACCCCAGGCTGGAATTACATACTAACATACAGTACGAGTTACATACACTAAAAAACCAATATCACAGCACCTCCGGCGATAACCCATCCAGTCAGGAACACTTGCTCAGGACTAGTCATCATGCTAGTCGTCATCTATCTATTTTCCGAGGCGCCCGGTTGATAACCTTAGGCTCCGCTTTTAGTGAGGGGTAAAAGAAGTAGTCTAAGTGGGATGTCAGATGACATCAGATCGGCGATTGCGCTAGTATTCTAGCAGGACGTGATAGCGGGGCTGTATGCGAAAGGGCAAGATCAAAAGTGGTAAAAATTGTAATGTCTATCGGTACGATGGTAGTGGGTGTCTATATATGCTGTTCAAGACGCAACGAAAGAATGAAACCAACCGTGTCCGAGATAGAACGAGTCGCAAAATGGTATCATCGAAGACAAAGAAAGCCCATCGGCTCCAACTTGCAATAGAAAAATGCAAATGACTCCCGATGAGCTAGCATACGCCAGACAAGAAAGCAAAGCCCCGTCCCAGTTGTAAGCAGAATGAAAAGGATTAAGAGTGCCCACAGTAAGGAAATGACAAAGGAAAGGACAAAAGAAAAGAGAAAAAAAAAAAGTCCGTCAGGGTGATCCGCGCTGATAGCGGTCATGTCCCTTGAACGAGTAATTGAGAGCGAAGAGCAATCCAGTCAGTAGGCCAATTCAAACGCGCTCAAATGCAATCCGACAGATCAAACGTAAAATGCCGAGGAAGCTCAAACAGCAGCTCTGATGTTGCCCTGCAATTCCGATTATTCATCCCGACTCTTAAAGATGGAAAAAAAAACAAAAAAACCGGATCAATCAAGTTAACTTTTTTTTTGTTTGGGTCGATGCCCAGTAAAATATCGCGAAGGATTGCGACGACTATGCCGACGGTCGTCGAAGAATGTCCTCGCAGTTGGCGTCAAACCGCATGTTCCATAGACGAACGCTGTTCATCAACTTCTCCGTGCTCTCTAATTCGCGGTCGCGACCAAATATCGTCTCGACAAATTCACAGCCTGCGTTGCGGCCCATAGACACGTTCTTACTACCTTCTCGCTTGGCCGCTTTCCACATGAACTGTTCGCAGGTTTTTAGCAATTTCTTAAACCGCGCCCACAGGCGCTCTCCACTTTCCAAGAAGTCCTCCACCACTTCTTGGTGCTCAGGCTGCTTGATCCGATCCACACACTCATCGGCCCTCTTGATCTTACCCGCCAACTTGATCAACAACAGCCACAACTCGCCCGCAACATCGGCCATCGGAGTCGAAGCACCGTGGTGGAAGACCGTCCAGTCGTAGATCCACTTGCCGAGGGAGTTCGCATCGAAGACACTTCCCAAAAGAATGATAGGGGTTTCAGTGGGATCCCAGTTCTTGATCGAATAACCCGCGGGGATGCCAGCTTTAGCCGCATCCTCTTCCGTAGCCTTCGGAGCTGGCTTAGATGATGTCGTGGGCTTGGGCTTCGATGGCGTCCTCGTGGAGGTGGACTGGCGACGCGCGCGGGACCGCTTCGGTGAATCATCATCATGCACGGGAACCTGGTTAGAATAACAATATTGATCAGTGGGTGGCTTTGGCTTGCGTGGAGTTGCAGACGAGAATCGACGGGGTTGGCTAGCTTCCTCGCGGAAAGCAAATCGTGGCGCGTCATCGAATCCATCGTCGACCACATCTACAAAGATGGGTCGTTTCCGGGTCGAGTGCGACGGGCGTGGACTAGCGTTATCCCAAGGGTCCGCCGGGGCATTGCCCATGGTGCTACGGCGACGGTGATAGGACGAAGAGCCACCAAAAAAAGCACTTACATTATCGTGCTTGCGCGGTGGCGTGCTAAATTCAGGCATCGCATCGTAGAAAGGCGTACCGTATCCGGCATATTGCCATCCTGCGGCTTCCTTGGTGCCGGCATAACTGGCTTTGCGACTATGGCGCTTGGATGATGGCCGAGGGGAGCCGTAGGGATTGGCGACCTGAGTAGCGTAGTAGGCGTAATGAGGAGATGTAGGAGGCGAAGTCATATAATGGGACGACCACCCGGGAGGTGGAGTGGAATAATGATACATTATCGGAAGTTGAGCATGAAAAACGGGCTCGTGATGCTGGTAGTAGTAAAGACGAGTAATCAAAATCGACAACTTTTAAGAGTCCCAAGTAACCAAGCTGCTCAAGGAGGCAAGCAAATGTAAAAAAAAAGTTAAAAAAAATAAATAAAATGAAAATTGGAGAAAAGTCAAAATAAAAACAAGCACAACCCAGGTATATTGTACAGGATATCGTTCAGAACAACCCGATCGACGCCGATGCAAAGGACAACGAAATCGGAAGATCGATAATGAGGACCGTCACCGAGGCACGGCGTGTAGGGGAGAGGAGGGACAGGATGTTGTTATGTGCTGAGAGTGCATTTGAACGTCGTCAATCGTCGGACGGGTTAAGCGACTGATCTGTGTGGGAGGCGAATTCGGTTCCTTGTGAAGCGAAAGAACACCGAATCCAGACGATTGCCGAAAATATTCGAGCAGGTTCCTGAAGGATCTAATTGTTCTATCTATGTGATATTCCAGGAGTCGACCCAGGAGGTAGTGCGACTGCTGGTTGAAGGGTGGTTAATTTCTGGAGGGAGGTGATAGTGAACCCTTTGAAGGGCGATAATTGTAGTAAAATGGCGAAAGGAGGGCGCGCAGGCGAACCCCAAGCGCTTTTGTAATGGATGGTGACTGAGTCCACGGGAACGGGGCACTGCGGGTAAGGGTGGGGGGGGCTGTAAAATTTCACAACGCTAATTTTGGTTCCATTCGGTCCCGTCTGGTTTGGTCTAGTACCGTACGGTACCGATGGAGTACTTTTCAGCTCCGTGTGTGTGTCTGTGTGTGTCTGTTTCAGGCCTGACAAGCACAGCTGAGAATAACAACACCTATGATGGTTGCAAAATGGGAATATTCATTTGAAAAATCCCTCTTACATATACGGATATTCTGCACATTTAAGTTTATCGGGGAAAAGGTCGAAGCTGATCAATATGACCGGAACACATATGATATGTTATATACTCTCTGCAATAGCCAGATTCGGTACCGCTGAAGGAGTCATTTGGAGCGTTGATTAGTTGGGCATCGCCTTGTCGTGCCCTCTTGGTTGACTGGATAGGGCACAAAATAGCCGAATCCAGGGTCGCTATTGGTACTGACTGATAAGCTAGGAGTCAAAATTGTGATATGGACCATATATATCCAGTCATCCGTCTTCGTGAGCCCCCTTCTTGAGTAATCCACTGCATCACTCTTCCATCAGACATTCAGCACCATTGGTCGATGACAAGCTCTACCAGGTTGGAGTCATACACCATGGCTATTCGTACCTAAGGCATTCACGGGTTGCTGTAGGTTCAGTCTCCCATCACACCATCTTGATATCCTATCCATACGGCTAGTAGTGGGAGCCTAGAAGCTGGCTATGAGGGCGCGTATACGGGCGCGGGTGTGAGTCAGTGCCTAAGTGGCCACAACTGTGGCTCAGAGTATTATAGGTATCTGTTCAGAGTGGTAAGATTATGATTCAGAAGCTTGTCAGCTGAACAAAGACTCTTCCTCCACGAATACAGCTCGCCATGTTTGGAATCTGAGTCGTCATCGCACGACGGCCTAGGGCTGTGGCAATTTGATAGCACCGGTCCGAGGATCACAGCTGCGGATGAAATATCCCAGAGAGTGCTCTGGGACTTCATAGTATGATTTAATGAAGTCGGAGACTAGAGAAACAATCGCGTTCAGTACATGCTTGTGTATAGCTATTACATGGTGAGCTTTAAGGTAACCTGTTCCATGGATATTTCCCGCCGTATCCCATGGTTCCCTTCCCTGATCTCTGGTTCCAGATAAACAAGCTCGTCTAGAGGGGGTTTAGTTCAGTGGGACCTTTTCTGTCATAAACACCCACACTATAAATTATAACCACCATCTCCATCTACCAAAAAACAATGGTTGTTGGGCAACATTCAGTTGCTGGGCTTTACCGCTGCTGGGCAGCAAGTGCACAACGCGATCGGGCTTCAGCAGACAGACCGCAATTTGAACATCTAAGGACGGAAAGAGTCCGTGGAAGGGTGGGGAATTAAAACCAAAAATGAAAGTATATAGAGAAAATACCTGAAATGCAAATGAAACCTGTCCAAGAATCTGGTTCATACTATATCGCATGCAAAGTACTCTATATGTATAACATGGTACAAACCCTACATGACTTGTACATGTTTAGTCTCAACAAAAAACAGGATAGCGAAGGAACCCTAGCCAGCCCGTCAGCCCGTCATATTCGACGTATCTATTATTCGAAGTGAATGAAGGACCAAAGCGACGTTCTCCTAAATTAATTTGCTGGCTTATTGTAATTGCTTTTTTGTGCGATAGACTTTTCACCGTCGTACCAAGCGCTATGGCACTCAAAGTTCAAGGAGACGAATCACTAGTGTCGTTACACGGTGGAAAAACTGGTAAATTAAAACATGGCTTGGATAGATAAAGACCAAATGGCGACGTCGGCAATGCTAATATTGATTGCGAACTAGTCTCGTCATAGCCGCTGTGATGGTCGGCGTCAACGGTTCAATTGCATAGGCTGGCCGAGGTGTGATGGGTGATGTGATTGAAGCCCCCCTCAGCCACATGCAGGATTAATTTAGAACAATATATTAAATGACTGCCGACACGGTCATCCTCCCGAGCCAGATTGCGCCGGAGTACACAGCACGGAGTACACTAGGATATGAATCTGAATCAAGGGAGAACACATCTTGTAGTAATCTACCAACCCCCTCCAAAAGGGGAAATCAATATGAGGTTCACACGGGAGACCGGTACTTTTGCCTGCATCAAAGTCAAAGCGGCTTCTCCACAGCCAAGACCCACCAGCAGAATTTTCACTCTGCCCTTGCTCTAGAAACCGATCTAGAATCTTGTATGGCGGTGAAGTGTTTCTAGTCGTTTTAGACACGGGAAAATTTTGCATGTGTGAGTGTAAGGAATAAGTTCAGGCTGGAGAAGACCTGCTGTACAAATCCCTGAAGACATGACTGGAGCAGCAAAAAAAAAAAAAAAAAAAAAAAAAAAAAAGAGAGAAGAGAAATGGTAGTGTAACACACCTTTAGTCGATTTCAACCGTGTAACGTTGGTCAGAGCTCAAAGGCTAGAATTAGCCATTTGTAAAAATATATGACCAGACTGGGGCTCGATCCCAGGACCTTATCGGTGTTAACGATACGTGATAACCAACTACACCATCCGGCCGATATATTCAATAGCTTTTTATTAAGGTATATGAGGGAAATTTGCAAAGTGTTGCAAACAAGGGGCAAGGACTAAACTCATCCCATGTATGTACGGTATGTACTGGTACATACATAGTTACCTATTTTAGTACGTACAATACGTACCACATTCTAGTCCCGTAGGCATTCATATTCCAGCCTAGATTACCATAATTTATTCCCACATCGGTACGAAGGAGACCTGAATCCTGCATACTCAGCCCTGATGAAGAATTCCACTCAAAACAAAGCCACAACACTGGATCGCTCGCCTAATAAGTCCACTCGGACTTGCTTTCATGGGTATACGTAAGTCTTGTCTCATCCTCTGACCTATTCACCCCATTCCAATAAGCTTGAAGAATCCATCACGTAGTCGAAACGAGCATTATTGTGCGCGTGACTTCAGCCCTTACCCTGAGCCCTAGTCAGCAAGCTAGACATCAATGGGTCCAGTGGTCACTGCATAGGCGTCAATACAAGCCTATCAAGCGCCCATCCACACCGTACAAAAAAACATACATACGAACCTTGCAGATAGCGTGAGACTTACCGTAGAACAAACACACCCCTCTCAACTCCTGTTCGCCGATTCAGAGACGATCAAAGTACCTGGACCAGGGTAGGACCAAGACCTCCGACTAAACGATCACTTTTTTCAAACCTGCATGCAGCGCTTCCGGCTTCCGCGACCTCAATTAGTTCGTATTCGACTACCCAACAGAGCGAGCGATGGGCTACCAAAAAAGTAAAGTTACTGTACGTCGTCATAGCTACATCTGTGGCTCGGTGGGTACGGTGTACCCCTCACAGTAGTAATAACTCTTATAGGCAGACCAGTGTGGTGGAGTGGTACATTGGACTCCCTGTTCTGACTGAACGTGCATATACTAGATCGTTCTCCACGCTAACTAACGTGGCCGGGTAGCTAAGGTATCGCCGACCAACCCTATCAGCTTACCACGACCCCTCCTGATCCTTCCACAGAATGTATGACTATGGTTTGTACATACATGCGCCCAATGATGGATTTCCCGGCCCAAATGCCTCCACCATCATTTTTATTTTCTGCGGTTACCAGGGTGCATATACATAAATCTCCGACTTGTGGAGTTCAGATCGGCAAATCAGCATCTGACACGCTGGCGACGCCGGACTCGTTACAGGTGGATCTGGTGTTAGGTTATAGCTGGTCATGGAATTGCGGGTCGTTATTGGTGAATTGGTATTTCATCGGGTTGCTGTGGTTGTTAATGAGACTAGTTAGGTTGCTATGTGGTTATGACATGACTTCACTATACGAAAGAAGATTTTTTTTTGTCGAAGGTAAACACAATTGCTGCTATAGCCATGCTATGTACATGCATGTAGAACTCCATAATGCTCTACCTATTTCCATAATATATCCAGTTGTATATCATCAGGCATATCAGCCAGATTGCCGAATAGGCCCACTGGCGTAGGAGTAGTTTTATGTACCCATGGGTAGATTCGTGATTTTGTCACACCACCATATATTCCCCTTCGGCACGTTTAGCCTGTATCACCTGGTGCCATCGGAATCCATGCGGTCTCGCAAGCGGTGCTTGGATCGGAAACGCTGGCATTTCACTATGAGGCAAATTATCATCCAAGGCTGACATTGCGTCTTCAGATGCGTCAGGATATGTGCCACGTGATGCACGATCGGTATTATCGCCAACATCGGTCATGATAGGGACTCCTGCCCATATGTTTTCTAGCAGCTCTAGACATGAGAGGTTATTTAGAAATCCAGAATCTTTGGAAAGGTCCTCGCAGCGCTCTCGGATGAATGAACGATGTTTTTCAAGCACACACTCGGCGCCGGTGATAAAAAGCGGCCATAATAGGTATACGTCCGACTTAACTAGTGAGATATGATGCATCGCACGGTACACAAGTGATTGAATACGGGGGTGACTGGATGGCAAATCCGGATACGCAAGTCGCTCGGTATAGAGAATCGCAGAATGACGGAATGATTCAGAGATATGAAAGACATCCTCGAGGTTCTGGGGGGCAACAACGGCGTGGGATGATGGAGATGAAGGTGGCGAGATGTAAGCATTTGTTGTAGACGCGGGGGCAGCACCGAAGGGTTGACTGTCCTGCCGTGGGAGACGCCATGATTCAAGCTTTTGCCGTAACGAATGCCACTCAGCCCAAAACGTCGGTGATAATGGTCGCCTTGTAGGGTCACTCGATTGCGGTAGACAGGGCAATGGAAGCGAGTAATTGTTGCTAACTATAGGTATGTCTGAAATCGACGAAGGCGAATAGTGGTATGTCATCGATGGTGGAGGCGCAGAAGACGGAACAAATACATCCACCAGTCCCGGTGCCTTGATATTCTGATCTTGACTCAAAAGATTCAAACGACCAAGCTGCGCAATGAATTTGAACAGGCTGGGGTCACAACCTGCAAGATTTTCGAGCCCCCACTCGCCGTCTGAAACCGCCGCAATATCTAAGCAAGCACCGCGAAGCTGTGTTTCGCGATCATTGGTGGTAGCCGTCATCGTATCAAACCAGGTGAACACACGAATGAACCATTTCAACTCCTCCGACATTCGGGGAGAACTGCGCATTCGGATAGCCAACAACTTTGTCACCCCAGCGAACTGAGTTTTGAATTGAGCGACTCCAGTATCACACATGTGGAACAGGCAAAGAACCAGCAGTGTTGCAAGAACGGAATCCGACAGTCTTTCATGCGGATCGGCCAACTCCATATTCAAAGCTCTGACAGCCATGCCTCGATGGTATTGCTCCTCTCGAGCAAATCCCCCAGGGCTTGACACCCCGCATTCATCTCGGAACGCCTGGTCAGTTAAGGCGCGGTGGGCTAACGATGATAGGCGTGCTGGAAGGGACCGCTCTGTCGGCCTCATCCTCCGCTCATGCCTCTGCCGTATGTTACATGTAGATAACGTAGCGATAGCTTCCTGAAGCGATAAGCTCTTCTGCGCTAGGCGTAGAACATATGTGCGGAATGGGTTTGCTGGGCCATCGAAAGCAACGATCATGGGCGCGATGACTTCGGCGTAATAACTGATTAGATATCGGAGTCGTGGGGTCCGGCCAACAGAGCGCGCTAGAAGCAGCTGTGACAGTGATGGTGAATGGCAAGTTTCGGCGCGTAGAGGAGGACTGCCTGTACTTTCTCGCTCCTCCTGTTCCTCAACTACTTCTGTTGTTTCAGGCCCCGGGGCATTCCCTTGGTATGGCCATTGTGGCATCGCCGATCGCACTTGCGTCTGGCTAGAGGACACATCTATTGTGCTGATCGCATTATGACAACCCGCGAGGAGGTCTGGACTCTCCTGAAACTGTGACCGTACATCGAGGTTCGGTATGCCTCTTGAGACATCTGTTTCGTGGGTACCCGTTTTGCTCCACGGGCGATGGTGCACTGAGAGTGGAGTTCCAGTGGGCCATAACTGGGTGTTAGAGGTGTTAGTTGTCCATATTAGGTTCCTATGGGCTTTGGATACTAATGGAGGCCGCTGTTGATCCTGGGAAACAGATGAAGTCGTTGATGAAGTCGTGTGAGAGGGTGTAGACTTGTAAGGCGACGGTGATATCGACGGTAATTCTTGTGGGCCTGTTGGACATGGTGCTGTTGACGGTGTCGTAGCTGGTTGTGACCCGCTCACCGGAAGCGATAATCCCCTAAGCTTACCCCGGCTGGCAACACCAACACCCCAAGTCAATTTGGTCTTATAACCCGAGCATTCCCGACCATGATCAAGACATTGAGAGCAATATGGGCGTCGCCGATCACAGGAAAATCCTTGTCGGGCGCAGGTGAAGCAATCCTCCGCTGCACCAGTAACGACAGTCCGTTTGCGTCTCTTTCGGGGGGCTTGATCCGTGGCCGAGGTAGCTTTACGGTTTTGCGCTTTAGAAGCCGGTTCCATATTAGGACCCGGTCGACCAGCTATCGCTATCGAACCAATAGTCTTAGATGGCTTAACTGGCCAGAAACAGGAGAGGCGGAATGGCGGAGAAGACCCGCGTTGCGGGGTGCCATAGATAATAGAGCGATCGACGAACAACCGCTAAGGTCAGAGAGTCAAGACGGTATGAGTTGAGTAAGCGAGAGGAAGAGGTGAAGGAAGAAGGAAACCCAATGAATTATCGTAATGAGAAGTTTAGCCTCAAAATACCAGCGACCGGTGTCTTGGGGGTTGTTTCTGGGTTTGCTCCGAAAGTGCTAACACGCGGAACTAGTAGAGGCGGACGATAAGTGACGATCGCTGCTGCGGCTTTGCCCGCCCTTTAATATCACCTAGTTGATCGGTAGAGCCGAAACGAAGATTTTGCAACTAACCAGGAAGAGACAAGTGATATTGATTGGTTCAACTCGGGAATTTTCGTCACGAGAAGGTATCAAATAAAAAAAGCCCCAATTCTATGACGACGCGAACCGAGTCCCAGTGTTTGCCACTCGCACTTTAATAAAGACGGGATAGTTTGACCTGTGTCCCTATTTCGGAATACGACCGGCCGAGCCAGAAGATGATGATAGTACAGAGTATAGGTGGAGAAAAAGCAAAAGAATCAGCGTTGGTCTTAATAGTAATCCCAAGGACGGCTCACTATGCGAGATAACGAACGCAATCATGTGCCGTCACGTGCAGGGTTTCTTGTCTTTTTTCACAAGTTGAAGCAATTCTTTAGAGCAGTTCCCGTTGCACAAGATCTGCCGGCAATACCAGCAAAAGACCCACTCTCTAGCCTCCAAATGAGTGAACTTTGTTGGATCCCAAGGGAATTAAGAGCCGTTCATCCTGCAGAGTTTTGGTTTTTTAGTACTTTTGAATTCATGGCTGAAAGTATTTTCCTGAGGATCGGCGAGTCTTCACACACAGTTCTGTCCCTTTTTTTTTTTTTTTACTAATTTTCTTCTTCAATCTTTGACTCTTCCAGATCTTCTTGGCTTTATCTGATAATCCACTATTGACAAGGGAAAGCCTAGGTCCGTAGGAGATATCCACATATTATGTTATGATATCCATTCTAAAATTGGCATAGCTTGTCCCTCGGCCTATGAGCGTTCGTGAATTAAAAAGTGCCTCAAACTTCCCAAGGATGCCATTTTGAAGACCGTAGAGCACAATTGAACCCTGGTCTTTTACGGAAAGAAGCTGCGAAGGAGTGGAGCCTCGAAAAACTTAAGTTATGCGCTCTCGGAATAAGGACTCGGAGCTCTCCGTATAATCAGATTATGGAGTGCATACTGTGTTTAGTGTACACTGTGTTTAGTGTACTCCGTAATATGGTCGGCTTTTCGGTACCTTGTTTCTGCCACCGCCTTCCACACCGGGGCAGTCTTTGTTTTTTTCTCAATTTCATTGTCTATACATCAAATTTCAAACCGTGGAGAAAACTTTCACTGATTCAGGCAACAGTCTACATTCAGCCTGCTGTCCTTCGCCTTTCCCAGCTACGACGACTGTTTTGAAACCCTCTGAGGCCTGTCAGTCACTTGTCCAGTGCTAATTGTTCGACAAACACCGCCTCGGCCGCTTCGGATTGTCGTCTTCCGTTAAGAGTCGTGCAGAAAGAACCTCCTGATTTGTGTTGGGACGGTCGAAATTTCGACTCGTTGCGGCCATCGTCGCCTGCCATGCTGACATTCTTCTTTCACTGAGACTGCTATTATCTGGGATCAGAGACTGGGGGTTCTCTAGTCAATTCTTAGCGCGTATCGTGTTTCCACCGCACCATTGGGTCACATTGTGTAGGCACCCGAGTTAGATTATAACGGCATTCTCTGCCATCAATTGCAACCGACTGTCAAACATAGCAATGTCAGTCTTTCGGCCAGGCCGGCTGAGGACGGTTCTCTCAGCAACGGCCGCATTAATTCTCATTTGTACTTTCTATTTCTATTGGACTCCGCCTCCAGCTTCGACGATTCCTAGCACTGCCTTTGAAGTTCCTCTTACCGAACGTCAGATTGCCTTTTGGAAGGTATTGAGGTCAATCTTAGATGCACATGCGCCAAATTGCCCGTCTCCCACACTCGAGGCTTCTGTGAGCGCAGTCCATTTCAATGCCACAACAATTGATCCCCGTCCCGACTTGATTGTGTTCGGCGAGAATGAGCTCGACGTGCTAACGGAGGCACATGCGAATTATCTCAATAATATCAGGACGGCGAAGAGGTTGCGTCCTGCCCATTCTCCCGGAACTCGGGGTATAGTTACGACGGCTGGAGGTTCCTATCTTCCCGTCTTTCTGTCGTCCCTGCGGATGCTACGCCGTACAGGGTCAACTTTGCCTGTGGAGGTGTACATGAAGGATGCAAGCGAATATGAAAAGAAAATCTGCGACAACGTCCTCCCGGATATGGGTGCGCGGTGCTTAATACTCTCCGATGTTGTAGGTAAGGATGTCATTGAGCATTACCAACTAAAGGTCTTTGCGGTCCTCTTTTCTTCGTTCGAGGAGATTGTTTGGATGGATGCCGATTGCTTTCCGATGGACAAGCCCGAGATATTGCTCAACCATGAACCTTTCACGTCCACTGGCTTAGTGACGTGGCCCGATTTCTGGGCATCGTCGGTTTCCCCGGCATATTATAACATTTCCCAGCAGCCCATGCCTCCGATGACCGAGCGGCAGTCCTCGGAGACCGGTATCTTCCTCGTCTCCAAAAAGATGCACTATCTCACACTGCTACTCGCTGCCTATTATAACTACTATGGACCGTCGCATTACTTCCGACTATTGTCTCAGGGCGCACCGGGCGAGGGAGACAAAGAAACATTCCTACAGGCTGCGACTGCAGTGGGTGAACCTTTCTATGCGGTCAGCGAGAGAGTTCAGGCACTCGGCCATCAAACACCGGAAGGGCTTTCAGGCTCAGCAATGGCGCAATCGGACCCTATTGGAGACCATGCGCTGACGAGCCAAGGCAAATGGCGAGTACAGGACCCCTCGGTGGACAAACCTCCCCGCGTATTTTTCATCCATGCCAACTACCCCAAGTTCAATCCTGCGGAGAATGTCTTTGGGTACAAATGGGGAACTACGCCCACCCTTCGACCCGATGGCGCAGAGGGGCGCGCATGGACTGCTCCTGAAGACGTCCTGCGCCGATTTGGGATTGACATCGAGAGAGCCTATTGGGAAGAGATCAAATGGGTTAGCTGTAATCCCGACATAGAATTCAGAACGTGGGAAGGTAAAACGGGCGTATGTGAGAAAGTCGAGAGCTACTGGAACGCAGTCTTTGCGGAACCACATGAAGACGACCCGAAGTTTGTTGGCTAAAGCTAAATTGGTCCCAGTGAATACCACTCGGAATCAGTCTGGGGCCACCTGCAGCCGCTACCGACGGAGTGTTCGGCCCGACGATCCTTATCACGGATGCTGGCATAGCTAACCTTTTTGACACGACTGCGTGGCCGTGAGCGCCTACCTGAGAGTCCAAGGTACACAACACGCACTGCTCACGAAACGACGACATGGCCGATTACAATATGTATATACTTACAATTCATAATGTTGCATAATAGCAGAGGATTTAGGAATGGACACAAATATGCACGTTAATGCTACTCAATTCCCATTATTTCGTCAACCGGTACATGCTAAAATCACAAAGTATGCCATATTAAACCAACCTGCGGACGAAGAAGCATAGCCTTTTGCCGTTACACCATGACTCCCAGTACAAGTTTATTTCTTGATACCCTTCTCCCTCAGTCGCTGCTCGTCTTCTTCCTGGAGCTCCTGGTCAATCTTGGCTCCCTTTGATGGCTCATTGCCATGCAGCTTGGCCTGGTCACAAACAAGTTAACTACAGCTATCCCTCGACAATCATTCAGAAGGGGAAACATACCGGCTTAGTAGAGTCCTTCTTGCTGATCTCCGCCTCAGGGTCAATATCATCGTTGTGATGATGGCTAGGATCAGGCTGCTGTTCACGAGCAGCGAGCTTGTTGGCGATGGAGCGGTTGTCCTCTGCATTCTAGTCAGCACCGTTCCACCAACAACCATCAAATGCTTGGCAATAAGAGATGAAGGTCATACTCGAATCCAAGTTCTTATGGCTATGCTTCTGGCCCTCGTTGTAGCGGTCCTGCTCGTTAAGGATGGACTGGGGCTGGTTGCGCTGGTCGCCTGCTTCGTAGAGACTGCGGTTGCCTACGCTAGATTGGCCGGCTGACATTTTGAACAATTGAGGTTCGATTGTAAAACTCTGAAAAAGGAAGTGAAAGTGACAGTGATATTGAGTACTCGAGGATAGTTAGAGTTAGAGAGTTGATTGAATTGAGTTGGGGGATTGAGGTCAAGACGATGCTTTATACTGTCTTGTATGCTATGTTATGATATCATGGTTGAGGTCTCTGAGATCATAGGTGGGGCGCATTACAACAATATCTGGAAGGGGGACTCCAGTTACTGTGGGATTGCGCTTTGGACTTGACATGGTTAGATCATAGGTAGGTAGGATTAGTCTGGAAGCCCTTTTGCTTTTGTTCCTTTTCTCTTTTGGGGAGTTGGGTCGGGTTGGTGTGAGTTTGTTTTGGTGTTTGATCTACACGTTCGGAGTAGGGATGAGATTAGACGGATCTGGAATATCCTAAGAAAATAATTCGGCATGTTTCTATCCATGCTTTGTCATGTTTCCGCGTCTATTTCGTACAGTCAATCTTCTAACCAATTAGTCTCTACAAATCATGTGTCGATATGCACCCTGCAAAAGACAGGTGTACCTGTATACCAATATACGTAAGTGGGCACCACCACCATTGATCATCAACAACCCACGTCCGATCTCGGTGCCCAAATCACAACAACTCCAATACTACTACAATATCTCTACAACGTCACCAGCAAGACGTACCTCCAGTAACCAGAACACACGCAACCGCCCCAACCCAGCAGCACGCCAACACCAAACCCGCGAAATGTCATCAACACCAACTTCAACAACAATACCAACCCCGCAACCAGACCCCCGCTACGCCCAACTCTTCCACGACCTCTCAACCCGCTTCGCGCAAACCTCCCTCCCCCCAGAGAAATGGTACATCCTTGCCATATCTACCATAGTAGCCAGTCCGGACCCCGAACGCTGCGACCAGCTCTACCTACACCTAATCAACCAAGCCCCCTACAGCACCCCCTCAGCTAGACAAGCACTAGTCCGACGCCTCCGCGAAGCCCTCTTCAAAAGCATCATCATCGTAGGCGTGTGCAAACCCATCGAAGCAATCCTAGCAATCAGCAAATACGAACGCGAAGAAGACAAAGACTACACCTTCACGCGAGAGAACTGGCAATGCGACCAGGCCAACCATGACCGCGGCGTAGCGTGGCTGGAGAAGCTGTACGCGCGGAACACGACGGGGACGCTAGATTTGTTCCGCGCGCATCAGGATTTCGGGTGGTTATCGAAGGAGATTACGTATGGGTTGTTTTTGTCGGATCGGGGCGTTCTGGATGATCTGGATACGCAGATGGTGGTGTTGCCGGCTATTATGAGCCAGAACTTGAAGAATGAGACGCATTGGCATATTCGGGGGACGAGGCGGTTGGGGGTTAGCATGGAGGATGTGAAGGTTGTTTGGGAGTGTATTCAGCTCGTTGCTGGGTTTTATGGGGTGGCGTTGGATAAGGTACCTACTGTTGAGGAGGTGGAAAGTGATGTTTGATTTTGGGGGAATGGGTTTGGGTATATAGATTTGTCGGTGTTGCATCTTGGGTTGTGATGAGACAATGTGTTTACGACTGAATGTGAGCCTATTAGAGAAACTACTAGAGAAATGCGTTTTAAACTATTTTGTAGTTAGACCTATACGTTCATATTATTTGGATGTTATCTGGGCTTATTGACCTATATGTTGCTCAAGATGTATACTTCGTTTAACCTCCCGCGATAAAATGTACGGAAAAGGTTTAGCGAGAGCGGAGCAACTTTTATCGGTCGCCGATGAAGCCCAAAACGACGGATTTCAACAAACCAATACCCCACGAATTAACCATAGTTTCAGACTGCAATCAGAATGGGTAAACGCAAGGAAATTAAAGATAACGATGTCGAAATGGGCGGCACAGACCCCCGCGTGGACGGCGATGAGTCCGACGAGGTAAACCACCTTCGTATGCATCATGATTTTTTTTTTGCCAACACCGATGATGGTCGCAGGACATGGATATTGTGAATGTCGATTTCGAATGGTTTGACCCTCAACCAATCGATTTCCACGGCCTTAAGATCCTCCTTCGCCAGCTCTTCGACTCCGATGCCCAGATCTTCGACATGTCCGCTTTGTCGGACATGATCCTCGCGCAACCGTTGCTGGGATCAACGGTGAAGGTAGACGGTAATGAGTCGGATCCGTATGCCTTCTTGACCGTGCTCAATCTCCAGGAACACAAGGTATGCTTCGCGGAAGAAACGCCCGATATAGAGAAAATCGCTCGCTAATACCCAGAACAGGATAAACCCGTCATCAAAGACTTAATATCCTACCTCCAGCGTAAAGCGTCATCGAATCCCGACCTCGCCCCTCTTTCCCAACTTCTTTCCCAAACACCTGTTCCTCCGATCGGATTGATTCTTACCGAGCGATTGATCAATATGCCTGCCGAAGTGGTTCCTCCGATGTACACCATGCTGATGGAGGAGATTGCGTGGGCTATTCAAGACAAGGAGCCCTACAAGTTCTCGCACTACCTGATTGTGTCCAAGAATTATGAGGAGGTCGAATCGAAGTTGGACATGGAGGACTCGCGGCCACAGAAGAAAAAGAAGAAGTCGGGTGACAAGGTTGAGAAGTTCTACTTCCACCCTGAGGATGAGATTCTTGAGAAGCACACGCGGTGCTTCGGGTCTATCGAGTATACGCATAAGCATGATGAGGGACACTCGGATTCGAAGCGCGCGTTCCAGGAGCTGGGTATCAGGACTAATGGAAGTCTGATGTTGTTCGATGCGGATAAACTCGAGGGTGCAATCAACGAGATGAAGGAGTTCTTGCAGCCTCCAGTATGAGGCTGATGGTTACGGCATGGTTTTATGAAGTTAGAAAAAAGTTCCTCTGCGCTTTGTCCATAGCGTGTCTATATCCGATTTTTGACAATATATTAATAACTCTATGGTTTCCTTTGTTGGGGGGGTTAAATATATTCATGCGTTAAGGGCTGGTTCTATCTTCGTAATGGTTCGTCCATCATTCATTTACTCCCATTGGGTTCCCTTCAGGCGTTGCATAAGGTATTCAACCTCTACCACCTTAGTCAAGGGAATGACATATTCCTAGACGGGATTAGCAAGTCGCTAGCTTGAAACGGGAAGGGAGAAGTAGTTCTCACCTTATACATGGCAACCACGGCCTCCACGTTGATCTTGGAGCCGGTCTCCGTCGGGAATGCGGGATCAGTTCCGTAAGTCTTCGCCTTGAGCGCCAGTCTCTCCAGCACCTTCCGCTCGACCTTTGCGTCGGTAATAGCGTCATCGATCCCAGCCCGATCATTCGCCTTGATCATCTTGACGAACCGCTCCGGTTCCTTCTGGAACTTCGACTCGGCCACGAACTTGCCGAAGTGAATGCGCCGAGACAGCGCCTGCAGACAGCTAACGTCGGCGGTCGCAGCCGACCCATAGTTCTCCTGCGTCTCACCGCGATCCTCACGTCCAAATTGCGGACAGACAGCGGGGAGAATATCCTCAACGTAGCGCTGTTTGATGATATCATTGACGTTCACATCATTGTCATGAAGGATCTTCGGATACTTCAGCGGCGCTAGAATCGGTTCTTCAAGAACATCCGGAAAGAACGGATATTCGTCCGGGGACTGGTAGCGACGCACGCGCGACTGGATACGTTCCTGCTCGCGGAGCAGATAATCCATCAGAGGGATGTCATCGTCGGGAATCTTGACGCCGCCGGGAACATACACGGGCTTGTTGAGGGGAAATTGGACGCGCTCGATCAGGTGGAAGGTGATGGTGTCTTCGAGACGGCTGTAGCATTACACATGATCAGCTTCAGGGATGTTCATCACAGGGATTATTTCGGAATTCTGTGGTCGTTTTGGTGTCTGGTCTAGACGGTAGCCGTGCAAATGCGGGGCAAAAAGTGTAAGCCGTGAGGATTAAATGCTTTGTTACTTACATCAATTGGAACCGGATATTGGCTAGATCCAGAGCCTTGGAGGCGTCTGAAAGGTCAATGGCTGTGTCCATGGTTCTTTTTTTTCTTTTGTGTCCCTTGTTTGTTTTACTAGTAGTTGGTTGTGGTTTTAAATTTCTCGTTCGTTTTTTTGTTTCGGACAAAGTGAGTGTTTCCTGCGGGGCCCCGATTGCGCAGAAAGATATTCCTTCTGGTCCTTAGGCCGGGGAGGATGTATGTCTGGTAGCAATACTTTGAGGGTCTCAAGAGTTATATTGACTTCTGCTCAGATAAGCATAGGCTGACAGTTAGTAACTGGGAAGTCTATCATTGAACTATATATTCTAGTTGCCAGTTACGAGTGTTTTTATACCAGGGAGTCCCCTTCCATAAGACTTCCTAAACCGGAGTACAGAAACCTGAACTCAGCGCCAGCGTCGATTTAGGGAAAAGCGCTAAGCCACCGATCCATTATTTTTTTTTCTTTTTCGCAAGGAAAAGAAAGGAACAAGAACAAAAAGACATAATTAGATACTAGTAGTCAGAAAGCATCGACCGAACACCAACCGAAAGCATCACATTACCAAGGATAATAGATTGATATGATGGTCATTCTTAATGTTACCTCTGGCTGATGCCGTCATGTGGTAACTTTGGTTTGCAGGGATTCAGTATGAATACTTACGGTATTACAACTTATAAGGCCAAGCATTAAGAATGGATTTGGACTGGGAAAAAAAAAGAAAAACAAAAAAAAAAAAAAAACAATCTGAAGAAGTTGCATACCCACATTTTCTAAACTTCCACTAAGCTCACAAACACTTCACACCGTCTTAATCGACGACTTTCATGTGCTACGGTTATTAGCCCGCGGTAATATTACGGTACATCGTTCAGGTTCCGGCAACGCGGTAATTCATCGCGTGCAGCTCCAGCTGAAAGTTCTCTTTCCAGAGAGCCGAAAATTAGAGCAAGTGCACTGCCGACTTTACTCGACCTTCCCTGCTTTGCCTCCCCCCTCTTCAGACCTTCCGCATGGGCTTTTAACTATCCGATAACTGCTCAGGTCGGTGATATGGACAAACACCGTCGCGATGAGTCGCCTTCCGGTCTGTCAGATATTGTCGAGCATGACGGTCTTCTAGGGACCGGCCTGACGGTAAGTCCCTACGGACCTCTATCTGTGCCTGTTCTCTCAAGTCGCCCAATTATCCGCTGATAGACCCTCCCGGTACTCAGTCCAGACATATCGAGGCCTTTGGGAGGAAAGTAACGTCGACAGCCGGCCATCTGATGGGCCCTTCGGCCGACGGAAATCCCGCTCATTATCATAATGCTATGGCGGATATTCAGCGCGAGCTGCGACGGCCCAATACGCAGCGCAAAGTATTCGCCTTGACTCAAACTACGCCGACAGATCTTGTCCGCTCCAAACTGTCGACTTCCGAAATTCAATCGCGAGCTCTCTCCTCTCTCCCCGACGACCTCCTTGCGAACATCCCCGACGACAGCAGCTCCTACTCCCTGTTTGAAGGCTTTCAGGCCTCCCAAGACGATATCGAATATAGAAAGGCCCATCGACGGCGCACCTCCAAATCGAAGAAATTGTTGAAAGATGGCGAAAGCCTGGCGGCCCTTCCGTCCGCTCCGGCGGAGTTGAAGAAGGAACGTGATTTGTTAAGTCGCCGCATGGAACTGATGGGTGTGCGCAAAAATATGTGTAGCTCGGAGATACACGACATAGACAACAAGATCGCAAACCTTCACAACATGCGCAAGATTGTTTTGGACCGGTTGGCTGGGCTAGAGATGGAGGAGGCGGAATTGGAACACGAACGTGGGTGGACTAGGCTCGATCATAGCAGTTTTATTCTGACTTTGGAAACAGTGACTGAGCTCGAAAATAAACTTGAGGATATTGAAGAGGAAACACCGGAGGCTTCTGCTGTTGTAGGCACTCCGAAATCATCCGTAAACGATGAACCGACGACCTCAGAGGATCCGGCCATGGACGCATCTTTCATGTCGGAATCGATTTATCAAAAGATCCCATCGCCGAAGAGCCTGAAGCATAAATCAAAGAGTACGCCTCTTCGGACCGTTTCCATTGGACTATTGGCTAATCCTTTTAGGAAAACGGTCTATGCCTGTTTTACACGAGCACTTTAGTCCCGGGTCCTTGATTAAGGAGATGGAAGCGCATACCGATATGGTGACTGCTATTGATTTTGACTATCCTTTCGGCACAATGATTACCGCAGCGTTGGATGATACCGTACGAGTTTGGGACCTCAATGTCGGAAGGTGTACTGGGTTTCTGGAGGGGCATAACGCATCGGTCCGATGTCTTCAAATTGAGGACAACATCGTGGCTACGGGCTCTATGGATGCCTCGGTCAAGCTTTGGGATTTGAGTCGCGCCCGCTCTAGACCTCGAAGCAGCCGCATTAACAAGCATGAGGACGAGGAAGACGCTGCCGATGATGCTTCCCAAGTATCCCACTCGACAACATTAGAGGATTGCCATGTATTCTCATTAGATTCCCATGTTGGTGAAGTGACGGCACTCCATTTCCGAGGTGACAACTTGATATCCGGCTCGGCTGATAAGACCCTGCGTCAATGGGATCTCGTTAAAGGGCGTTGTGTGCAGACGTTAGATGTTCTTTGGGCTGCCGCTCAAGCGGATACATTGAATGGAGACAGCACATGGCGACCATCTGGACGCGTGCCAGACGCATCCGCAGACTTTGTGGGGGCGCTTCAATGTTTCGATGCCGCCCTGGCTTGCGGTACTGCCGATGGCATGGTGCGTCTGTGGGATCTGCGCAGTGGCCAAGTTCACCGTAGCCTTGTTGGACACACAGGCCCTGTTACATGCTTACAGTTTGATGATGTGCATCTCGTGACAGGAAGTATGGACCGTAGTATTCGGGTATGTTGCACGTTGATTCTGTGAGAATTAGGAAGCCATTGCTGACATGTTTTAGATCTGGGATCTCCGAATGGGATCCATCTACGACGCATTCGCCTACGACAGACCTGTCACCAGCATGAGGTTCGACGCGAAACGAATTGTGGCTGCCGCGGGAGAGAGCGTGGTGAAGGTCTACGACAAGGCAGATGGCAACCACTGGGACTGTGGTGCCGGCGTTGGTGCTGATGAACAAGGTCCACTTCCCGCGACCGTCGACCGAGTGTGCCTCAAGGATGGATTTCTCATTGAAGGTCGCCAGGACGGTCTTGTTGGAGCGTGGACGTGTTAGAAATGATTCCATGAGGCATTGGCTTTCGAACGTATTTGGATGTACATGCGAGTACTTGCCATTATATTTTCTGCGAAGTCTCAAGAGCATCTTGAATGTGTATATTATATGTCAGCAGTGTTCTAGAAGCGAAATAAAGCTGTCCAGGACCGACAGCACTGTAAAATGGTTTTGTCAAGTGGCCATCCTTTAACGTGTTGAATATGGGCGAATGAGATTTGAATTAGAAAGCACATAACGATGCTGAAACAAAGGAAATATCGCGCGACCTTTGTGTTTCCCCAGCCGTTCCAGTCCTTGCTATAAAAAAGGACAGGTTGCGATTTCATCCGTTGCCAACTGGTCAATACGATTGTATTTACGAAGTACTCGCGATGACATCGAACTTATTCCTGCCTTCCGTAATTTGGGTGGGGCGGACAAGTCACGCTTTACTGGATCAGGGATTCTAGTGACTTGCATACCAAATTACTTACTCGGACTTCGCGACAGCATCAACACCGCAAATTTAGCGTTTATCACCCCAGAACGCGTGCGACTATGGTCGCAAAGCATTGAAAAATTGATTGTGGTTTTTCAGGTCTTTTTTAAACCGTTGGATGTTCCGCAAACTGTACGCTGGTGTTATCCATCAGTAATTTCCGCCCGCGTCGCATCCGCGCGCCGTGTTCCTTTCTTGTGGATGAAAGCGAAGCCTTATCACTCACTACCTCGAAATCACAATTAAGCTGTTTCTTTGATCTCTTTGATCTACTTTACTTGAGGGAGCTAAAGGGGCTGTTGTGTGGGCGGCTCTTTGTGCCGCGGTTGTGGTGCGCCTCACTTCAACTTTAGGAAAATTCCATCAAGACGGCGACTCAGTCAACATTCTAAACTTCGCATTCTAATCGATGTGAAACACTTGCTAGCTAACTATTCACTGAGCTGCCAACTATCATATCATACTCTCTGACTAGTTGTTCCACAACCGCCGTTCAGTGTTAAATCAGATCAGTGTTACTATACCACAAAGGTGTGGATGCGACAGCATTCTGATCCGCTTCCAAAGGCTTACTGTAAGTGTATGCTTTGCTTTCTCTCAAGTTCCAAGTACACCGAAGCCTTTGCGGCGAATACCTCTTCACTTCATCCCATCTTGCCTAACACTGCTCCCAGGAAATTTACCTTGCGTTGATCTCTCAAGGCGAGGTAGACGTTTTCTTCAAAAGGAGTCCATCAACATGCCTCCCAAGCGCGCTTCTACCCGGCGTGCCGGAGCTGTGACTCGGACCTCTGACCGTGGGACTCCTTCGTATATCCCTAGCATGTCAAGTCCAGATGCGAGGAATCCTGCCTTGCCTGATATACCGACCAAGCAATCCTTCGCCTATGGTTCATCAACAACACCAATTCTTCCCCGTGAGCTTGCAGCGAAGCCAAGGATGAACCTGGTTGAAATGGCCACCAATATCGATGAAGGCCGCAGGGTGGCCCAAGATCGAGACATTGGTAGACCTTACTTGAACACGCGCTCACGAAGGCAATCTGTTTCTGCAAGCTTATCCCCTGTTCGGCGAAGCCGGCGTGAACCAACTCCAGATCAGCTGCAGCTGCTCGATTCGCTACGTGAAGCCACGATGTCCCCTAATCCTAATGGTCAAGACCATGCAGAGCAATCTACTCCCACTCCTACTCCTCCTATTCCACACACTCTGTCTACAGCATCCAGTCCCGCTACCGAATCGCTTACGAACCCCAAATACCCTGTCTTGACTACTGACCAACTTTATCCGTCTCCACTTCTGCGATATGGATCACCTGCTCGGAATGCAGTCTCGCTGAGCTCACCTAATTTTGCAACCTCTATCGACAATGAATCAGTCATCTCGTGGAACGTAGAACGTGATATCCATGAAGATGACCTGCAACGAACACGTCCGAATGGGTATCTTGATGGGCCACATGGAAAGAACATTACAGCCCCTCCTCGTCGGTTTTCAGGATTCGCTTTTGCCCAAGAGCCTATTGAGGAAGTCGATGAACCGACTACACAGCTCTCTATATCCAAATCACGTTCTCCCGAGGCTGCGACAGTTGATATTCAGCCTAAGCCTGAACCGCTGTCAGAGTCTGAAATGGTGCCATCGCCCGAGTCCACGCCCTCGCCCGAACCAGAGCCTGAGCCGGAAAGGGAGCCTGAGCCAGAGCCTGAACCTGAACCTGAACGTGAGCGTGAACCCAGGCCCCCTCGTGCTCCCGCTCCAGCGTCCAGAGTTTCATCAAAAGCAGAACTTTCTTCAGCCCCCACCAGGACAATAATTCCCAGCAACCCTATCCGGGAGACTTCATTTGATGAGAGCACGTATGAGAGCACATCCCCGTTACGAGAACGTGTCAAAAGCAATGTGCGCTCAGTGGGGAATGCAGCAATTGGTTTCCAGAAAGGCTTGCCTATCAGAGCAATCATTCTGGCGGTACTAACAGCAGCATTCATTTTCACCGCATGCTTTTTTGGCGACCAAATCTCCAGCATTTCCTCCAGTATCGGCTCGCGCCTTCCCATATACGGAGGCCCCTTTCGCGATTTGAATGCTACTGCATTGCAAGCTGTCCACGGTCTTTCTAATCAAGTGGTACGCCTTGGAGAGGAAGTGTCCTCGCTGTCTAAGGAGGTGGATGTCATTAGATCCGAGGTTGAACATATACCTGCCCCCTCCACTATTGTTCAACCAATACCAGCTCAACAGGAGACTCCAAAAACCAATTTTCTATCTATAGGCATGGGTGTTCTTGTCGATCCGTACAACACTAGTCCCACATCTGGACGGTCTGCAGGCTTCCTCCAGAAACTCCAGTCTCGATTTTTGGCGACAGACTCGCAGCGAAGGCCGGAGTCTCCCCTTGCAGCTTTGACCCCCTGGCAGGACGTTGGAGAATGTTGGTGTAGCAAGCCTCGCTCTGGTATGTCTCAGCTTGCACTGCACCTGGGGCGTGAAATCGTACCAGAGGAGGTGGTCGTAGAACACATACCGGAGGGGGCAAGCATCCGGCCAGAAGTTGCACCCCGGGATATGGAGCTATGGGCTCAATTCCAGATTGTCGATGAATCGAATCCTGACTTGTCTTCTTCCTCTCCTATGCCTTCCCGCAAATCAGGGATGTTATCTGAGCAATCTTCTCTCCACGACCACATCATTGATACCCTGAGGCTGGCATACAAAGGTGAACCCGAGAGTGCATACTCGAACGACGAACTCCTGGGCCCTTCATTCTATCGCGTCGGACAGTGGACTTACGATCTCCACGCCTCGAACCATATCCAGAAATTCGAGTTAGACGCTATCATTGATGTTCCAGCGATCCGAGTAAACAAGGTGGCTTTCCGGGTCAAGTCGAACTGGGGTGGAAACGATACATGCCTGTATCGGTTGAAACTATACGGCCACATATAGGCGACTAAGCCTACATCTCAGATACATTTATGTTCCTTTTCCTTATCTGGTCTTGATAGGAGGTGCTTCGCTCTAAGAGGGGAAAAGCGGTGTTATAGCGCCCACCAGTTCCTCGTTCTCTTCCTGGGTTTGTTCGCTTTGATTTGCAATTCGACTCCATCATGCAGTTTGGCCTGGGACATGATACCCAGTTGCACGTTCCGCTTACTTTGATATATCTACTCATTCTTTGGATGCATGGCACAGCATGGAAGGGGCGTTAGGGTCTAATTCGAGATATCCAACTCAACTTTTAGTATCTGCATTTTAGTACAGCTCCAGCTGAAATATTCTTCTACGGTTTATACATACAACATCTGTTTCTAAACACTAATCGGACAACTCTAAGTAGTCTTTAGAAGGGTAGTGTATATTACTGATCGGTGTATCCTTCCAGCTGGAATCTCAACACTTACGCAAGTTATACTATAATCTACAAAGGTAAAGTCCTTAAATATAACGCTACCTCAATGAATGGTAATACTTTGATCTATAGTATAAATGATTGTCTATACGATAACAGAGCGGAAGTACACTACGCCGCAAATAACTAAACTCGTAAATCAAAAATGGAGTAAATATTATATTACAAGAATCTACAGAGGAAGCTAGGGCTATTCAGTACTAATTACTAAACCAGTTCTTACTCACCCTGACTATATACTAACTAAAAACGAGTCCAGCTGATCTATAACGACGGTGACTGGATATCGTAGCCCTAGCTACGACACCCTGTAGATTGTGGTCGACGTGGCTCGAACTAGAAGAGACCTAGGCATTCATATCCATCCAGTGATACGTCCCTGCCAAGTACTCCTACCACCATTTCCTTGCTTAAGGTTATTCATTCCTTGAGTACTCTATTGGTATATTTTGTCTTTGAGCCATGCCAGCACTAGCATAGTAACATCTGCCATGAATGCAACCACATGAAAACTCCCCGCGTCTTGTTAAGATGCCGCTCGAAACAAGTCTGTCTACTAGCATATCTCTGGAATGTTGTCAGACAAAATAGCCCGGCGTTTGCAAGTGCTATACAGTATGGTGATGTCTCGTTTCGTATGAACACAGATCGTCATTTCAGTGGGGTTGATGTAAAACATCGACTTTGGTCGGTTCTCGGCGCTCGACGTGCGCTGCAAGCTAGAGGTTTGAGTTAATAATCAATCACCTCACAGCCTTTCAAAGGAAAAAATCTACTTGCTCGAGCTGGGTCGGCTGTTCAAGCGTTCTGCTCTCCAGTCCTTCTCTTGCAGAACCTATTAATATATAACTCTTAACAAGAAGCGCAGAGTACCGGTTCGAAGTTGCATAATAAGATACTCTGGAGGACTAGCCCTACCTCGACTAATATTCTATATATATATGCTACATTCCGGGTACAATCACCATAAGCCAGTACAAATACCAGGAAAATACTTTCTCAAGCAACCGCTTGATTCTTATTAAGAAAGCAATAACGCTTGTCTGGAACCTTATCCTAAGAAAGGGATCCGATACCAACGTCCCGTTCTCTAGTTCCGAACTATCCCATATTCTTTTCAAAGACGACACCCTCTGGGTCAAAAGCCGCTACAAACCCATTGACGAATTCTATCCACTACAGCACGTACGAGCAAGCAAGCTCTAATGCTGGATGGGGATTCCAATTGAGGTAACATACCGGTAAATGTGACAACTCCGTTCCCATCTTCATCCATTAACTTAAATAACTGCCTGGCCTCCCTCTCGTTTACATCTATATCGTCGGTGTTGTTCACATAGTCAACCAACTCGTCAAGCGTGAGGGTGTCTAGTAGGTATGGCACATGAGCTATTGGAGACAGTACTTCTATAGAGATGGCACTCACTGTCCTTGCGACCGCTTCTGCCCTGGTGACCGTGTTTGTCCTTTCAGATCGATGAAATTAGCGTCGGTGCAGAATGGCTATTTTTATATACTCAGAATCCTCTTGAACAGCATTCTCCATTTATGAAGCTCTTCTTTTGAAAGTCCTTCCTTTTGTGCCTATTGTTGATCAATAACTTCATAGAAAATATATTATGAAGATATTGTATTGAAAGTAGACCACACGCCTTCGGTACAAACCAAACAAATGCTCCAACTTGCCGTATGTCCTCGCAATTTAGCATTCTAGCAATGTATCACACCCTCCCCTCCTATTATATTAAATATCTCAACGCTGAAAGGAAAATAGAAGAAAAGAACCCGCTAGAAAATGCCAGAACACGGTGGACCTTGATGGTTTTAGAAGCTATAATGAGTCACCGTCCCAGGCAGTAAGGAAATAAGTTCAGTTGTCTTGTTGCGAACAATAGAACAATGGCGTAGCCCTGAAATGTTGATACTGTATTTACCATTAGAGCCTATTCCTCCTGCACCGATTGCAAGCCTGGAGCCTGCATTGCCGACATTCAAAGATATACTCCGGGAGACGATAATAGCATTCCTCACATCTGTGAGGACCACGAACATATTTCCATCTGTCATGCGTGCATTCGTGGTTTTCTCGGAGCTCCTGGATTGTCTGTGCAACCAGAATATCTCTTTCCGTCTGTGCACGGGGTACGGGTCTTTCCTCAATGAATACGGGAGCTTCTACTGCTGCTGCTGCTGCTGCTGCTGCTGCTCGAGGCTCTTCCTCTTCTAGCTCATACGTTTCTGGTAGATGTCCAGAATCTAGCACCTGCATCCCTCCCACTTCAACTACAGCGATATCTGGTTCAGGCTCAGCGATTTCCGGAGCGGCGTCGGCTAACGGACGGTTTGCTTCTCGATCGATGATTTGATATGCACGAGCAAGAAGACGATGCTCATCCCACTGCTCACAATTGCAGCTTTTCCAACGCTCTCCACAATTATAGCAAAATTGGGCACCACAACGACAGCTATCAGCCTTATAGTTAGTTCTCAATCATTTGGAAAGCAAAAAAAAATAAACATGACCACCCACGTCATGTGATTGCAACCATGAACCAGTTCCACCAATCGCCAACAAGAGTAGCAACGTTGCCACCCATTTTCTTGCGCGAGAGCTAAAAGGTGCTGTGTAACTCTATCATTTGGGCAATCCCCTAGATGTGCGCGTCCTTTGCAGCTCGTACAGGTCGTTCGACTACAATTGGGACATGTGGCTACGTCATCCTCGATATGCGATGCGTTGATGAAAGTCGAGCACTCATGAGCGTAGCAGTATGTTCTGTTCGGAGTCTCGAACTCGATTTTCTTCTTCTCATACCGTTGTATGAGGTCAGCTTTGAGGAATATGCGTGCAATGTTTACGTTGATGGGCTGTCTGCAGCAGCGCGGGGGGAATAGAGACTCGTCCATCATTGAGGCGTTGAACAGATCTTCTAAGCAGGAACGACAATACTCGTGACGACATGGTACACGTGCGATGTTGACAAATTCCACTTCGTCTCGGCACGCTACACAGCGATGTAGTGGGATTGACTGGCGGCCACGTTGTGCTGCCCAAGCAGACGATTCAGCTTGTCCAGTCTCTTCCCTTGTTATTCCTACACCGCGAACGTCCTTGGAGTCTTCTCGACCAGACATGTACAAGATCTGGAGTTTATCCAGAGTCTCATCGTCTAGGGCCGTCGATTCTGCATTTGCCTGGTGATCTCCCGGAGCCAGAGCACATCCATCATCTGTCCAACGACGGGCAAGATCCCGATCTTTAGCAGCATTTTCTTCCTCCAAGACACTATCATCCAAAAGATTTCCATCAGCTTGGACCGCGGCAGCAAAGCTCATCGCCATCCGCCTATCCAAGAGAAACTGGGAGACACCTTCCAACTCTTCATTCTGTAACTGAAAAGCCAGCTCCTCATCAGTGGGCTCTCGAGATTTACCTTTGGAAGATTCAAAATAAAAACCGGCATCTTCGAGCTGCAGCTGAACGATCAGATCAGCCGTAGACTGGTCGATTCCTGGTTCAAGTACGCAAGCCATCTCTACCGAGCGGTGTTTGACAAAGTCTAAGTGGGCCAAAGGTGTGAAGGGGGTTTATGCAGGGATGGCATTGAATGTATCATAAAGAATGGTTGTTTTACCCCGCGCTTAAAGCAGCAACGAATAACGTGATCCAGAAAGGGAACGTTCTATGCAAGTGTGCATTCCAACCCAATACCCATTGTGGACCAATTGATCACGGGGATTAAATATCAAACACCTGTTTCTGATAGTCGCTTTCTATCCAGCTAAATTAACCCAGTAGTCCATATCTGCGGAAGAAATCGGTCTGGTAACAAAGTCTAGAATGCCCATCCTCACTGATCACACGCTCGTTTCGTTACAACTGCAGACGGCAGGCCGTCCTGTATCATTAGTTAGCACATTAGACTCATGAATCGTACTAATAGTCATCACTCACGTCCTATTTATGAACACCTCTGTCAGCGCTGAATTATAGTAGGAAGGTCAATCGACCTAGTGCTAGCATTAGATTGTCACTCACGTAGCAGATACTGTCTTCTTGAAGAGAGTAGTTTCCCTCCAGATCTTCGTAAACAGGAACCCGATATGTTCGTTCGTCGCTAGTCTATTTGTTCTATATCAGCATCGCCAATATACCCTGCCTCACGTAACAGGGGCCATTACTCACAAGAAAGACGACATAGTTGATACCGGCCACAACCTGCTTAGTGACACCGTAAACATTACCAATCCCGAGTTTGTTTACAGCAACGTTTATGGCACCATGTGCCCCGCCATCATTCGTACAGTCAGTATTGATGAAAGAGCCGGGCTCACTTTCTGCTGATGGAATACCATAACTGTCGACGCATTTGGCGGTGTTGAGATCCTGGGATGAGACCAAAACAGTGCAGAGCACGGAGGAAAAGATAGTGGTTAGGGAGACACGCATATTGGGATTATAGTAATCTTTGGCACTAGTCGTTGCTTCTTTGACTTTGGATTATTTTCAGATTGAAGATATTTCCTGGTTTTCTGAGAGACCAAGCACGGCTTAAAAAGAGATGAGATGACCTCCGTAATTAAAGTATAAAGTACAAATCCTAGTCACTTGACAAGCCGATGCAAAAAGCCTTCAATAGTCTGCTGTAGAAAAGACCTGACAGGCAATAGTTATTAAAGTATATTCCCGTTTTGAAAAGACATATATTCCTTGGGACAAGATAGGCCAGACAGGGTATAGTATGCCTTTCTAATTACGTATATGATCTGCGGATTATCCACTAGTGAATTTCACCCTTCTCTTCTGTGTAATCTGACCCACTTGCATTATCTGGGACGGCTATTTCTATACGTTAACCCAATGACGCTATTGAGAATAGTGGATAGGGCTCGTCAGTCCCGGTGGGGTGGAAGATCACCATTCTTCTTCAGAAAGAGTTGCTAAAGCAGGAAGATTCTTATTTGTCTGTGTTTCTAGCTAGAAAGTAATGCTAGCCAGTTTCCCCACCTACTTATACATAATAATCTACATCAATAATTCAGCATCTAGCTCCTGTGTAGGAGTGATAATCCAATGTGTTAGATAGACGTGTATCCAGTTTAACTGCATAATAGACAGTGACAGTCCGTGATTTAACAAAATGAACCCCAGTAAACCAGCTAACCACCCATTTAACTCATACCATCATCACCTATACACTTTCAAAAAGAAGCCTACAACTCAACAGACCCCTCAGAATCAACAGTCAACGGCCCCTTCTTGACCATCATCGTAAGAATCTCATAAAGCACATCCGCAGCAGCCCTAGCCACAACTCATTAGCAAACCTATCCAAACGAAAAACAACCAAACAACTATTTGCAAGCAAGAAAAAAGAAAAAAAGGAAGTGGGCATACATAGTCGACAACTCGGCATTAGTATCATAAGCAGGTGCAACCTCGACGATATCGGCCCCGATGAGATTCAACCCATCCAGACCACGGATGATCGTGCGCAGTTCGCGGGTCGACCAGCCGCCTGTTTCGGGGGTGCCGGTTGCGGGTGCATCTGTAAATTTTTAATATCTCCTATTAGTCATTGTGTTGGGTTTCGGATGGTTTGCTTTATATGAAAGAAGGGGCATAGGTAGTATGTTGAGGTGAACTGGCTTGGGTATGTTGGAGGGAACTTACAGGCAGGATCGAGCGTGTCGATATCGATGGAGAGGTAGACGGGATTTTCGGTACCGACACGATCGCGGATTCTTTTGATTATACCGTCCGTGCCTTGTCTTCGTTAGTATCTTTTCTTTTCTTATCTTGGCGTATTGTATCGTGTGCTTAGATGGAGAATCATGATGTGAGAGTGACTGGGGTTGCGGGGGAGGGGAAGCATGTACCGATGGTATCTATCTCTCTAGCCTCGACAATTTCAAACCCACAGTATCCATCATTCTCATAATCCGAGGGACCGGAGAGGGTAGTGCGGATCCCGGCATGGATATTTGTGTCATTCTTGAGGAGTCCTTCCATCGCCGCATGGTAGAAGTAAGTTCCATGGTTAACGGAGGCGACCTGGCTTGGGGAGCCACCGAAGACCTTTGGTTTCCAAGAGTCGCTGCTGGCATGTTAGCTCTGGGATACAGGGAAAGCGAGAAGGTGGAGTTGACGACGTACAGATGGCTGTCGAAGTGAATGACACTGACAGGGCCATAGGCCTTGTTGATACTGCGCAGCAGGGGCAGGGTGATAGTGTGGTCGCCTCCTAGGGTGATGACGCGTGGGAGGGTCTTGCCTGCTCGCGAGAGACCGTATTCGTTTGCGTCAGTGAAAGGCTTGCGCATTAGGATGCTATTGTGGCCTTCTTCGATTTGTTGGATTGCCCAGGCGTTGTCGTAGCTGGGGTTGGTTTGTTAGTTCTGGGGTGCTTTTTGGGGGTGGGGTTAGGGCATACGAGGTAACAGGGATGTCGCCGCAGTCTATGACTTTTAGATCACTGACGAAGGGATTGGCTTCTAGGGGAACGTTGTAGCCGCCGCTGCAGGGTATCAGTATTAGTTCTGTTCATTGTGAGCAATGGCTCGGTAGATAGGCGTACTAGAGATTGAGGCGGCGGGAGCCTTGTCTGATGCCGCTGGGGCCGAATCTAGCACCGGGTCTGTAGGAGGTGCCAGTGTCGAAGGGGGCTCCTGTGATCATATTAGTTATGTCTAAAAGAAAACAGTAGAAGTTGATGGTCTGGTCATACCTATGAAGGCAATATCGTACTTCTCATCCTCGCTGGAGAGACAGGGGAAGTAGGGCAAACGAGCGAAAGTCGAAATGCCTGAGAAGACGGAGTCGGCCTGACACCGTCAGTATGAAAGTATAAAAAATAGAGACGGCAGTTGCACACATACCTGAGTACCGCCATCTCCTGGCAAAGTGTTATACCACAGTTTCTGGTGAGGACCGGATATGGAGGTTTGGTGCTTGCTATGAGCAGAAGCCACAGCAGACAGAGCAAGAAGGCTCACTGTTGTGACGAGCATGTTTGCACTGATGCTTGATATGATTGCGAAGAGAGAGGGACAAGTTCAATGCTCATTTGATTAGAACGCTGGGATCTGTTTTCTTGCATGATGGAGGGAACAAAACTGCTATTTATGTGACCCTTCACGGCAATCGTACATTTCATTTCCTGAGATCCCTTTCCCCTCGCGGACTCCTGACCAACTATAGCCCTGGTAAGCCCATACTTTGCTTTGACTACTTCTTTTGTGCAGTGTTCGAGAACAGGCAATCACCATTTACGTCCCAGGATCAACGGATGGACCAACCACACATTGAACCAGTCAAGGGACAGAGGAAAGTCACCGATAAACCTTCAAGATTCAATCTTGGATAGGATCAATGAGATGCAATCAGCATCCGCTCCACTCCCTACAACTTCCTTCTTTGGAGGGTATTTGGAGTGGGACAACCTGGGTATTTACTATCTCTATCTGAACATGCAGCCGAATGCAAGGGTTGCGATTCAGTTTCCCAAAACGGAAAGTTTGAGGAGAAGACACACGAGAAAATCCTCATGATGTAAGCCCAGAAAGGGAAATTAGATTTAGTAAAGGTTACCAAGAGCGTTAGTGATACACACTACACGTCGGTTATCAGTGTTGTCCTTATCGCTACTATGAATCTCTCGCATGAGTGGACGCTCGGCTTCTTATCAATGAATACACCACCACTAGCTTCAACTTCTAGAACGTCTGGTCTGTCCTCGGAGAAATTGACATTTTTCAGTCTGGGGTACAAGCGCTAACTTGTTGAAGCGGGAATTCTTGGCCAACCGAACTTCCCATTTGACACTGAGACATGAGCACAAACAACTCTGCATTACTTCCTATCTCCATACAGTCAACTGCCGAATTGCCGTACTCCTTACTCTACATTACATTCCATCCTCCAATCGCTCATGCACATCCATACGAGAAAACGCCTTATCCACTTCCATACTCCAATTGCTGAGAGCTACGATCATCCACTCTAACGCCCCCACCAGATACAAGGCAATACATTGTCCCACCCACAGGCCCTTGAGGCCCCAGCCATGGAACGCCAGCCAAATGCCGAGCGGCAGCGCACCACAGTAATAGCTAACCAGATTGACCATCGCTCCGACATGCTGTCGCCCCATACCACGGAGACTGCCCCCGCAACTGCCATTCAAGCCATCTGCAATCTGGAATAGTGCAACATAGGGCAGCACCTCGGCGGTTAGGCGCACAACTCGCTCGTCCGAGTTGAAGATCTTCGCAAACTCATGCCGCGTACCCATTAGCACAGCCAGTACTACCCCACCGAGGAGAATGCTGAGCCAGGCGGCCGTATTCGCTGCTTTGGCTGCTCCCGGTGCGTTCCGAGAGCCCAGGAGGTTGCCCACTCGTGCCGACGTGGCGACGCCCACTCCAAACGGGATCGTGTTGAGTACTTGATCAGCGGTCATGATAACGCTTTGTGCAGCCAATGCGATGGTTCCTAACCGGCCTGCTGCTAGGGCTACAATCTCGAATGCCCACCATTCCGTGCCGACATGGATGATACCGAGGAAGGCTAGACGGGCAAAAGTACCCAGGTTCTGGAGCGCCTCTCGCGACCATCCGCCCCAGCATTCGGACCCGGCAATGAACCGGGAATAGAGAACTAACAAGATGAAAGACAACCAATATGAAATGCCAGTAGCAAACGGCGCTCCAAATAAGCCCATCTCAAATGTGTAACAGCATAGGTAGTTGAGAAGGGCATTAAAGGGAGATGTAAGCATTAGCACATATGTCCCTGGACGCATGATGCCTGGAAAGCAGCAAAGTTAGTGTTTGGGCTCAGAGGCGACACAGCAAGCCGAGTCTCACCTTGAGCTTGCAAATACTTCTTCATCAATTCGAAATAAATATACCCCAGACCACCCGGGATCAAACAGGTTAAGAATCGCGCACTATCTCTAGATAGTTGTGGGTCTTGACCCAGAAGCAGAAAGACTGGCTCTGAGCATGCCCAAAGGATAGCAACGGGGATGTAGAAAAGACTTAGAACAAAGAACCCCCTCTGCAGTAAGATACCAAGGTCGTGCTTGTTTGAGCTACCCGTGAACGTTGACGAGGCCAACGTGTCAAGTGCTGTTGTACCACCCAAAGCGATCATCCACGCTGTGATCATAGCAAACATCAAGGAGAAGGCAGCCGTGGCCAGGTTTTCGGGCGAAGAGCGTCCGACTATCAATACGGACACGGTTTGCAAGCTGTTCTGGAGTGTATACGCCAGAATAACGGGAATAGAGCCCTTGAACAAAATCCAGAGTTCGGCGAGATGCTGTCTCCAGCCCTCGTCCTCAGAACTATGGCTGTCATAGCGATCTGGATCTTCAGGACTGTCGAGATCCGCTGGCTTGGGGAGGAGAGAGGTATATTCAGTTGGCTCTTCGTCGAGATTAGGCGTGTCGCCATGGCGAGGAGAATGTTGACGATACATCTCTACAGACAGAGGAAGTGGTGGACTGGTTAAACAGTACTGATACAAGAGAGCCTCTATATTTGAAGTGAAGCGAGTCACGACCCTATATTTACTTGCTGCATAGACACCTTGCAGGCTGCTGAAACTATTGACTATATTCGGTAAGTACAAAGTACAACAAGTGGATCTGAAGTAATAATAAAAGCCTCATACAAAGTACAAAAAAAAGTTATATAAATTATTTCTATAATAATACATCGAAATTAACACATATACCTCAGTCGTTATCTTGACTTGAGTCTTGACCCATACTACTTAGACTGGCCTCAGAGATTCATCCCAATTGCCGAGATCATGATAAAGGGTGGTCAAAAGTGCCGAGACACCATTCTATGTGGTAACTCATCCCTTATCAGTCATGATACAAGTAATGAGTCGGTGGAACGTCCCACTTCCCTGCAGACATTCTTCGTTCATAAAGTTTTCTCCAAAAAAGTTCCCGATTAGGAAAGGATCGTACGCCCTTACTTTGGACTGTTTCTTATCGCTACCCCACGTTCCGTCCGAGGCATTATCAGACCTAATAATCATGGGTAATTATAGGACCAATTGACTATAGGTAGATTCCCCGCTTATACTGCCTATAGTATAGAGAATAATGATACTTTCAGCAGGAAATGCACCGTATACTCCGCATCGCTTTGATATTAGGGCCTCAGCGCGAAAAGATTCCGATCTCGCATATTCCGTATCACATGTCAACTAAAAGAGCTGAACTGAAAGCTCTCAAATTGATAGTATGACTTTTCTAAATATCAAAGACCACTAGACAGCGTGCTTGTACTGCCTCTTGTGCCTCCAAGAATATTAGCTCGAAAACTGTATTACGGTTTTGTTCATTCCTCTGTTTAGGCTGTTTTATATTAGGGTTATTTTGTTGAGATAGCGGCTTTTAATGCACCTTGACCAATTGCATGCATCCTCTAAAGGGACTAGATTGGCGGGTTATGGGTCAGCAAATGATGATAGCGAGGTAGTAAATATTCTAACACCAGCATATCCAACCATTATACATCAATGATAATGTGCGAGTAGAATAGGCATTGCCAATAGAAAACAGCAGACTAAAGATCTAAGAGCCGGTGAGAAGACCAATCCAAATAGCCAAGGCCTCAGGACGAGCAGCAGAGCCTACGAGCACAGTAGCAGCCCGTATTTATTCACATGCTTGATTGACTCAAACAATGACCATCTAGTTGGACGTCAATACTGCTTTTTAAGGGTCCCGCTAAGACAATTAGCCTTACCACCGCTACAACCGATTCATTTATAGTCGACTGAATTCTCAATCGCTTTGCTAATTATCTTAGACGAGTCAAGCGTTGTTGGGCACCACCGTGATCGGCTCGAACGGTGACCCACCTGGACAGGGCTTAACTATTTTGCTGATGAGTTTACCCGGGTTAAGCAGAGTATAACTTTGTTTCATATGAAGACGGCAGTAGAAGCGGAGTGAGACATATAAAAGAAACCATTGGTAGCTGTCAAACTGCGGTATCTATTGGTAGTTACAGTGTATGCTAAGCATTCCCTCGGGACATGTCGTCTTCCTAAACCCTAATTCATGGCCGGAGAGATAAGGGATGCTTCTGATATGTCTCAGGAGCCTGATTCGATGGCTTATATATCAACGTCCTCTAATCCCTGTTCTTATGCAGGCACCGTATGTTGAACATCAAAGGACCGAGCTTTTGATAACTGTTTGTACACCCAATTTATATATATACTCTGATTGAACATGCCCCAAACTCCCAGTCATCATACTAGACTCCATAATCATGGACGAAGAAAAGAAAACGGACGTTTTCCCCGGCCACATGGATGCTGACATAGTTCACGATAACGAGAAACGTCCCCCATTCCCTTCTGAGAGTGTCGAGCGAGATGGCGTCAAAATCCATCCCCCGCCCACCTCGGATCCCCTGGATCCCTTAAACTGGTCTAGGGTTCAGAAGCACTCCATTCTGGGAATTGTCATGCTGAAGTATGATGCCCCTGCCTTCCTAGTCTAGCAAAAGAGTACTAACTCAAGCCAGATATTTCCTTTTCACTTACATCACTACCACGACCGTCCCCTCGTTCCCTGAAATCCAGTCCCAGTTCAATATCAACTACTCACAGGTCAACTGGACCGTGGCTATCCCCGCTCTGGGTTTGTCCGTGGGCCCGTTGTTTTGGTCTTCATTGAGCGATATCTATGGGCGTCGCATCATTTTCATTATAGGGACAACCATCTCTTTGGTGGCTACTATTGGTGCAGCGGTGGCCGAAACCTATGGAGGGTATATGACGGCTCGATTCTTTCAAGGGTTCGGTGTCAGTCCGGGGTCAACCGTGGGCATGGCTGTGGGTATGTGTGCCTTACACTCTTAATTTTGTATATTGGCAAGTTGCTGATGAAGACAGTCAATGATATTTTCTTTGACTATGAACGCGGACAGAAACTAGGATTATGGGTTCTGGCCCTCGACTCAGGACTTCTTCTTGGCCCTACATGTACGCTGCTCTCCAAACGTCCCATAATATCAAGTAGCAAACCTTATCTGAAATCTAACAATATGCTCTTCAGTCGGCGGGTTCCTCAATCTCTTGAGCGCAGCATGGATCAATTGGTTCAATGCCATCCTCTTCGCCGTCCTACTCCTCCTCGAACTCTTCTTCATGCCCGAGACCCTCTACCCACGCACCCGCATGCTCCACCAACTGCCTAAAAACCTCTCTCCATACTCCACAGACATCGAACAGCCCCAAGAGAAGTTCGAAGCAACAGTACAAACTACAGAGACAAATGCGATACCTCGAACAAAAGCCCTCAAATTCTTCAACCTCCGTCCCATCCCCGGTTTGCGCCATCCAAAGCCTTGGGATGCCGCTCTGCGGTTCCTTCTTACCTTTCAGTTCCCTGCTGTCGTTCTCGCCGTCCTCGGATACTCATTTATTTGGTATTGGTGGGTGTTATCAGTGATAACGATGGTACCAGCCGCGTATGCAGCGTATTCGCCGTTGATCCAGGGCCTGTTATTTCTGGGATTATTTATCGGGACGCTAGTGTCGGAGGTATGCTGCTCGGGGAGGCTCAGTGATTATATTGTCAAGCGATTAGCTAGGAAGAACGGGGGGATGCGACTACCCGAGATGAGGCTATGGTTAGCCTATCCTGCCATTTTAATCACCGCAGGTGAGTCTACTTTCCTTCACATCTCCCAAAGAACCCATAGGCAAGGTGGAGTGGTATCGCTAAGGTTACCAAAAGTCGGATTAATAGTCTGGGGCATCAGCATCGACAAAAGCTACCACTGGATGATCGGCCAAATAGCATTCTTCCTATGTGAGTTTTCATAACCTCATAACCCTTCACTCCTCCCCCTCCCCCCCTTTCCGTCTCTCAGTAACTGATACCATGGGATACAACACAGTCTCAGCAGGAATCCAAATCGGCAACACCGTAACAAGCAGCTATATAATCGACAGCTACCCACTCCAATCCACCAGCGTCGTCATCTTCTACGCTGTATTCCTCAACCTGAGTGCTTTTATCAACCCTGTACCTATCCCCATATTTCACCCCCACACCTATATACCCGTGATATAGAACTCTAACAAGATATAGTTCTTCATCGCCACTTGGCACACCTCTTCTGGCTGGACGTGGACATTCACAACACAAGCCCTAATTGTGCTTATAGCTGGAACGGGCGTGTTCGCTGCGTTACAGCGGTATGGGGCGGTTCTGAGATCCAAGGCAAAGGTGCCGGGATGGGTAAATCCGGAGTTTGATTCTTGATTCAACTCTTTCTCCTTTGGGGGATATGGGTGTGGGGGGAGATTTAGGGACTTGTTTTCTTTGTATATATTTTGTTATGGGGAATGTCTGGTTAGATGATAAAGGTAGTACTAGTATGGAAGGTTTGGATATGTATGGTTCATGAAATTATGAAAATATGAAGACGTCTTATCATATTGTTAACTTTCACCGTACTGGTATTGTCTCGTTGGATGAATTTCCCCTAGGAATGTCATTGCGAACCATGGGTTCCGTGAACTTTGAGGAGCCCGCCCCGTTTCTATAGTACAGTAACGTCCCGCTGAGTAAGCTGTATATCGATTGTAGAATTCTAAAGTTGGGGGCAGGAAATGGTAACTGGGACATGGTTTAAATTTAATACGTGTAGAATATAGTATAATACAGGGTTGTTGGTTGTTTATAAATTGTATAGAGAAACACAAGGTGGGCTACTAGCGTTCAGTACCGCGAAGAGACAGAATTTATATATACGAACCATCCATACTACGAGTATATTGTTTAATCCGAGATAATTTCGATAACAGTAATGTAAAAGTACGATACACACGAATCTCAAATAGTATAAGAATACCCAACTAGTAATTAAGTAATAGTGAACGTTGTGGTGGAAATGTAGTAAATTAAAAGATAATTTACGGGGAGCATATATCGGTATAGTAGGTATAGTATCAGTATCAACGGTTCCGGTCTAGACCTCATCCAGCCAAACGTGAAGAGGCAAAAGGGCAGAAAAAAAAGGAAAAGAAAAAAAAACTTCTCCGCCCCCCACAATTTCATCCCGTCCAAAAACAAAAAATTCCCCTTTTCTTGTCAACAGCCACTTCAGCGTTATTATCATAAATAGTAGTCATCATGGGTAACGTACGGGCTCTCAATATATGTCTATTCTTTTTTCCCTCGGGAGAAGCGACTGATGGTGTGTCACTAGGGAGCCAAAGCCGCCTCTAAGCGTGAGCGCAATGCCAAAGATGCCAAGGGTTCTGCGAAGTCGCAGCTCAAAGTGGTATGTTATATCTTGAATAATGTTTAACTGTAGTTGATTGTCATGCTCACAGAATACAGAACGAAGCTGCCAAGGATATCATCTGCAGTACTTGCAGACAGACTTTCCTCAAGACTACCCGTGGTCCGGCCCTGACTGAGCATGCTGCCAATAAGCATAGCAAGACGCTTCAGGAATGTTTCCCCAACTTTGTGGATGCTCCTAAGAAATAAATAGGAGATTTTCCCACCGGGGTTGATGATGTTCTAGTGCTTATGTGGGGATGATGTGCTTTCTTTCGGTTGCGGTGTTTTGGCTTTCTTTTCGGTGTTTACAGCGGAGGCAATGATGTAGCATGAGTTATACCATATGGTATTAAATCGGAGCATGACAGCGTGTGCTTTTATCTTGTTCATGTTGAAAGAGATTAGAGAAGCCCCCTTGATGTAGGTAAGTTAATGGTGCCATCCAAGTCTTCAAGTTAGATGTATGATGACTTTAAATTCCACATAGATGTGATCATTGCCATATATTAGGGCGTAAAAGGACACATTCCCTGAATCATCGGAACTATCAACTTTTATATGGAAATGTAGATATCTTAATATTTCGAATAGCTTCACTTCAAAAGCCGTATTACACCAGTAACCTGCTCGGTCGTGAGGCCCGCTCGCTCGAGGTCAGCACCCTTGTCAAGCAGCAGCTTGACCACACCCTCGTGTCCGTTTTCAACTGCACATCTTAGTGGTGTCCAGCCATCATGATCTTTGGATTCTAAGTTAGAACCCTTCTCGAGCAGCAGCTTGACTATACCTTCATGTCCCTCAAGAGCAGCATAGTTCAGTGGTGTCCAGCCACTCCTGTCCCTGGGGTCTATATTACAGCCTTGCTCAAGGAGCAGCTTGACCACGCCCTCGTGTCCTTTCTCAGCCGCACATCTTAATGGCGTCCAACCATCCCTATCTTTAGATTCTATATTAGAACCTTTCTCGAGCAGCAGCTTCGCTATATTCTCATATCCATGGAGTGCAGCAACTGTTAACGGTGTCCAACCATCGTTAGTTTGAGATTCTATATCAGCACCTTTCTCGAGCAGCAGCTTCGCTATATTCTCATATCCATGGAGTGCAGCAACTGTTAACGGTGTCCAACCATCGTTAGTTTGAGATTCTATATCAGCACCTTTCTCGAGTAGTAGCCTGATCATACTCTCATGTCCATCATAAACAGCACTTATCAGCGGTGCGCAGCCATCTTCGTTTTTAGACTCTATATTAGCACCATTTTCGAGAAGTAGCCTGACCATACTCTCATGTCTATTCAAAGTAGCCGATCCTAGTGCTGTATCACCATCTTCATCTTTATAATTTAAATCAACACGCTTTTCAAGCAGTAGCCTAGCCACATCCTCGTGTCCATTGCCAGCAGCATATATCAGGGGTGTCCGGCCATAAAAATCTTTGGCTTCTATATCAGCACCCTTCTCAAGCAGCAGCCCGACTATATCTGCATGCCCATGGTAAGCAGCAACGCTCAGTGGTGTGTCACTGCCAGTGTATTTGCACTCTAGGTCAGTGCCCCTCTCAAGCAGTAGATGAACAGATTTCGCATCTCCAACTTGTGCAGCTAGTAATAGCTGTTCCTGGTCATATTTCGTGCCTTTGAACTTCGGATCAGAACCTTTCTCAAGTAACAGCTTGACCACACCATCATGTTCCCCATCAGCAGCCCATCTTAGTGGTGTCCAGCGGGCCCAAAAATAAGTCGTTCGAGCTTCTATATCGGAACCTTTTTCAAGCAGCAACTGCACTACACTCTCATGTCCATGGGTAGCAGCAGATACTAGTGGTGTAGCACCGTCTTTGGATCTGCACTCTAGGTCAGCGCCCGTTTCGAGTAGTGCCTCCACCGCTGATTTGCACCCTTTCGCCGAGTACCACCGCAGTGCTGAGCTCCCTGAGAACCTAATGTTGTGTTTGTAAAGAGGGCTTGTTTGTTGGATAGCATATATTCGAGGACTTGTCAACAAAATAGAAAGAATGTCCTTCTCACTCTCCAGGTTCTCGATGATTAGAAGTAGTAATTCGTCTGGAAGATCGAGTAGAGGCATCGTAATTAAAAGAGATGTTCTGATAACAGAGGAGTTTTCGGCTTGCTTAAGTGAAACTCTCCGCTGCAGTAGTTGAGTCGAGCTCTTGATGATGATCGAAAGAACGAAGGTTATTCAGCGTCGCAAGGTTAGGTAAATGGGAGGAGGAGGAGGGGGAAATGTCAGTCAGTCTTAATGGTTTTACCATAATTGGCATCACGTGGTAACCAATCGTGTTCGCTTGGGTGTTTATTTGAGAAAGTTACAAAGCATCATGAGCTGAACACCTGTTCGTCCTCAGTCAGCTAGCCACAATGTCTTTATGCAACTCGGCAATTGACTTGGCAATGGATAGTTTGGAACATGCCGATCGATCCACTTGGCTCGGGAACTTAATCGAACCGCAGTGAGGGAGGGTTGAGAAATACACGAGAAAAAAAAGAGAAAAGAAACGAGATGGCAACCACGCCGAGGATCATTGACCTGCAGGGCAGGTTTTTGAGGTTAGGCGCCACTTGCAAAACCTGGTCTCTGGCTATGGTGCCTACCATGGTGCTCTTTAACTCTTCTAGCCCACCAACATATTAGCCCTCAACTTGGGTTCAAACTTCAATGAGCAAGTGAATTTTGAAAAGAGGAAAGCGAACGAGAGATCGACAGACAGTGGCGACTTCGGAAATACAATACCGTGTACTAATAGACTAAGAAGTCCCCATACTCACTAGCCTATCACGAGTCATTTCAGTGATCCATCATAATCGAGCCGGGGCCCATAGACCACAGCCCATTGCATGAATATACGAGTGAGACTCTTTATGTAGGTTTAAGGTTTATTTGCCTTTTGCTGGCCCATGTTACTGGGAAGGCTGGGGTACGTGGACTGCACAGTTTCTACGAACATGCTTTCTGTCCAAAAGCCCTCATTGGATTTTCAAACTACGCTAATACGAGGACTATGCAGGCGGGTACAGATTTAACTGACTGGTCAGCTCGCTTAGCTAGTTCAGTTCTAGATCCGTCGAAATCTGCCCACTTAACGCGGGCAGGACACATCGAGACCACTAGGAAGAGATCTCTAATTGTACCTTCATTTCTCAAGACTCTTGCCGAAGCACACGCCGAATTGCAAACATAATATACTAAGCCAAACCAAATAGCATGACCTTTGTTCTGGAAGATCATGTAGATCTATAAATGTCTTGCTCTCCTCCCCCGATTAGCCTAATATTTCCGCCTAGCGGACTCCGACTACCTCCTAGAATGGCTTTTTGGAAGAATTATACTACATCTAGACTTCATAAGTTTCCGAACAGTTCGACACTTACTCGACCTCGCCGACTCTACACAGAGAGATCAAAAATGTTGTTTCACGATAACACGGCATTAATACCAGCTATCGTGATGATCAACGATATTATATACATATGTCAGGTTCTATAAGAGTAGCTCTTAAGCACTTTATTTAACGAGGAACAGCCTGATACATCCCGAAGGCCTGTACATTGTGTTTCTCGCATTCAAGAGGTACTACTTTATTGTGGGTTTGCTAGTTATTGCGGCCCTGTGAGGTATCTGGATACTACTGTATCAGCTAAATACTCTGTTCAGATCGGCTTTGGGACTCCAACAAAATCTCTGATTCTAGCAGCGAGACTTGTTCTAGAAGAAGCTCTCTATTATCGGAATAAGTTAAAGGCAAACTTCATCCTTGTAGATGTGGAGTGTTCGGAGATGGTACTAGCAATTAAAGATTATGTCCAAAACGTAGCTGACCAAAACTGGACCATACATCCGATAAGGTGAGCAGAGCCACTCCTGCCCCTGAAGACAGTGATGAATATATAAACGGATCTCGAAACCTGCAGGTCGTGTTCTCGAGCGGTTCACCACTTAATCCTTTCACGCGGC